ATTCTTCACCAAGAGTGTTTGTAGGAGTAACCATTGATAGTAAAATGACATTCGAAATGTCACAAAAGAAGCTTCCTTTAGTGTTTTTTCTATTCGGACAAATTATAAATAAAGTATCTCTTGATAATCTTAAGCTAATGTGTTTTAGCCTTGTCCAGATATTATAAAATCATTGCTGATTATACTGTCCTAAATGAGTTATTATATCATTACACAAATAATTCTAAAAATAGGTGTCGTGACATGCAACCCAAATGGCATGTAATAGAAATATCATATTTGTATATTTATATATCTGAAATAAAATTGTTCTGTTTTTAATAGCTTTTTATTTCATAAAAAAGGTAGTCCGGCAATATAATTATTTTTTTTCGACCTGTAGAAAAGGTTTTCAAATAGTACCCATGTAAAAATAATAATAAATGGCTTTATATTTTTACTTGCTCTTTGCTCTTCATGTATTTAAAAAAATATATATATAATAAAATACCAACAAAAATGTTCTTCAACTTTGAGCTACCTACTATTTTAATCTATAAGAAAATATATAAAATGACTTTTTGAATGCCCTGTATAAATTGAATATGTTTTCTTTAAATTTACCTTTGATTCCGAAGACCCATAGGTTATTGATTTGGTCATTAAATAATTTTTACTAAAAATATATGTAAACCCTCCCGAAACACTACGTCAATGTGCGACGTACGATTCCCCTTTCCCCGTCTGGTAAAACATGCGGACAGAAGGTGTATTGGGTATACAGTGTGTAGGGCGAGTCTATCTTAGATAATATGATGTCTATGGTCTTTTCCAATGAACTGGAGTGGGGTAGAATGCTTGTCAATAGACTTGATGTGCGACTCTATGGGTGAAGATAGGTTATTTTTTATCTCACTCGGGAGTATTTAAAATAGCCAGTTTCTATTTCACATTGTTATTGTCTGATCCACCAGCTTGTGGATTGAACAATAACAATGTGAAACAGAAAATGGTTATTATAAATAGTCCCGAGTGAGATGAACAATAAAAATGGCTGCGCCCATCGAGTCACTCCTTGTTCTAATAGTACAAACATGTACATTGGCATTCTACCCCCCTCCAGTTCATTGGTCTTTTCCTTTGCATCGAAAGTGTAGCACTAAGCTATGCCGCTTCTGAAAATATCGTTCTATCCATACATTTTGTATAAATGGAACGATATTTTCAGAAGTGGTGTAGCTCAGTGCTACACTTTCGATGCAAAGGAAAAGACCGTATGTGTATCATTGACCCTGTCAATGACAACAGGTCCACAGGGTTGCCATATCTAAACTGTCAGTTCCCACTGGCAGCATTTTGACAGGTCGTTGGAATGCCTAATGCGCTAGTTCAGTGATGATGTAATTAGGCATTCCAACCACCTGTCAAACTGCTGACAAGTGGGAACTGACATTTAGATATGGCGACCTAGAAATAAACTAAAAACAGTAAAAACGTATATGTCAAATTTATTGATGTTTTTGTTAAAAATTTGGTTAGAATTAAATGTCAGTGGAACCAAAATGACATCACACTGAACCAGCGCATTATTAATAATTTATACTGGGCTTTGAATCTAATCACATTCCTTGAATATAATGCTTTGAAGGATTATCTGACAAGTACATGTACATTATTAATATAAACTGTCAAAATGTATGGAGACAATCAAATTTTAATAAGAGATCTATTATTGTATTTTTTTTACTTATGATGGTATTTTTATAAACTAAAAATTGTATATCTGATGTAAGTTTGCTATTTTTTTAAATAATTTTAAATAATATTTTATTTTACTATTTATTTTTATGTTAAACTTGCAAATATGATCCTATTATTTATTTTAAGTTTTTAAGGACCGATTCCAACGTTGTGTTAAACGAAGTTTAAAATGATATTTTTACATTAACAATGTCATTTTAATCTGCGTTTAACACAACGGTGGAATTGGCCCTAAGAAAACTTTCTTATTTTTTCATATATTATTTATTTGCTTATTTTATACCCAGGCTAGGAGGCCCCGAAAAATATCTTGCACCGAGCCCCCCTATATCAAGCTACGCTACTGTTTAACCATGGTTTAACCTGCTAATAAATCTCGTACATAGGTATCAAACCGAGTCATCAAGGATTTTTTAGAAATTTTACAGAATGTTTTTTTGTGTGACATCGGCTTCAACTGCGAAGGTTATCTCGCCTCATGTTCTGTGTAGGCTTTGTTGTTGTTTCCCAGCGCCACTTTAGGAACATCACTTAATTAGAACCCAACAGTGAATGGTCGAGTGGGAAATCTTACCAAAGCATCAGAATTAATTTTAAATAATTAAATTAATTTAAAAAATCCCAGCCAACGGTGGGATTCGAACTTGGGACCCTTGGATCCGCAGATCCGCAGGCAGAGACTCTACTGCTAAAGCCACCCACCCAGTGACGGATTTAGGCTTGCTGCCGCCCTAGGCCCCGTTCGATACACCGCCCTTTTTGATAAAATGAATTTCATTAATTTTTATCCAATATTTTTATTTTAAAGTAAAACACTCAGATAATAAATAAAATTCTTAAAACTTTTTATTTATATTTATAATAACCACATAAATGTAACCATATCATAAGTCGACCACTTTAATATACATCAGCTCACATACTTTAATTTAAACAATTTCGAAATTCTTGCACTTGGATTTTCAGAAATTATTGAAATTTGTAGATCTAATTGAAGATTTTGCAAATATGAGAAATATCGAATTAATTTTTTTTTATTTTAGATAAAACTTTCAATTTTTTAACAGTTATTTTGATAATTTAAAAAATTGAATATGGTAAAAAGAGAGGATTTATTTTTCATAAAAAATTATTTTTATAAACAAAAAATGTTCTGACACTTTTAAATGAATATCATAACGATATTCAATACCCCTGAATAAAAAAAAATATTGACACAAAGATAAAAGTATTGAAAAGTATTGGATTGAATAGAAAACCAATACTTTTTTCTTTATGTTAATACTTTTTTTTTAATCAGGTACATGCAAATCTTCGGTATTTTTATTTCACACTATAAACAAATAGAGAAGTCATTCGGATTTAATAATTTCAAAATGTTTCATACACGTAAGATTAATGTCACTAAAGGAACAAAAAGTAAAGAATATTACTCGATAAAGACTATAGTTGATCGATTAAAAAATTAATATGTTACCCATACAGATTGAGAAGTAAATTAATGAATTGAATTATAATATTTTCTATCAAATTTTTTTTATAAAAACTAATCTGAACCAATTTTTGAAATTGATTGTCTTTACTTTTTTGTGCCTCTAAAATTTTGGCATTTCATAAATTTTGCCGCCCTAGGCCCGGGCCTCACGGGCCTAGGCGTAAATCCATTACTGCACCCACCCCCTTTTACAGAATGTTAAAATTAATTTAAATTTTTAAAACTGTTGTAGATTATCTTTGATATGATCCTAAAAAGTAATTCATATGTATCCATCAGAAAATCTCCACTTGGTAGAACAAGTATATTAGATTAGATTAGATGTGATTTACACATTTTCTCGGAAAGCTTAGATCAAACCACCAATCTTAAATCATAAAAAGTAACAGAACAAATATTTTATTTACCTTTAAATTTGCAATTTAATATCATTAAAATGACTAACTGCTCATACAAATAATGGTATTCGATCAATAATAAATCTAATTTGATTTTGAAAACATTTAAAAAAGAGGACGACCGGTCGACAACTTGTGCAGGCCCGCAAACTCACCACCCTGTCTTTGCATTTTTATTTATCAATAGCCATAGAAAAGTATTGGCATGTGAGACCCCCCATGGAGGAAGGATTATAAGTGTGATCAGTTTTGTTCGCAAATTAATAAAAATCGGCAACCTAATACTTATGCAACCAGTATTGCAAAGAGTATTAAGTGTTGCATATGCTAACATTCATCATATTCAGTCAAAACCATTGTGAATTTGAAACTGTGTCCTATCAGTTCACTTTATAAAATAAGAAAAATGATTAATATGTTCCTAATTCAGCCACCAGATGGCATGATGAAAAAAAAAATGCGAAAAGCTGTGCTGTTTGAATTATAATCACATGCATATTTGACATTACAACTTAGGTATTATTCATAAGTGACATTTTTTTTATATTAATTTTTTTTTTTAATTCAATTAGTCGCCATCTATTTGTTGTTTTCACAACCTTCCATCTATAGGGCATCTTTCTCTAAGTTTTTTATAATCTGTGAAATTGAGTGTGTGCATAGTTGCCAGATTAGGGGATATCCACAAAAATTAGGGAATTTTTTTCTTTGTCCATATATTTTTGGGATTTCTTCTGGGAAAAATATTTATCTGGGGAGTAACAGTGGATTTTAGGTTTGACACTACTCGACTCAAATTTAACCTAGTAAATCTCAAAATCAAATAAAAATACAAAAATCCAACTATTTTTACTATAAAATGTAAAAAATATTTAAATTTTACTAATTTTTAAGTCTTAAAGTTTATTTCCAAGCTGCGCTGCATCTTATGAGTGGCGGATACTTGTTAGTTTTATTCAGAGTAAACAATAAAAAAAATGTAAGATACATTTTTTAATGTATGATATTTGTAAAGAAAATGAATCGGTTTTGGAGATTTTTGCAGACATTGATATTTAACTTTTACTATTTTCTTAACTTTATTTTATATACCTGCTTTAATTTATCGTTTTTCTATGGATATAGGACAATATAGGTACAATGTTTATATTTTATAAGGATTAATTTGTAAAACAGCTTAGGTATTTTAAGGTATTTTACAAATGTGCGGAAATATTTTAGACACGAAAATTTATTAAAATCCAGAAATAACAAACCATAATCTACGAAAAATTTTTTTTGAGATATTTTTCAAAAAGTCCAAAATTTGGGCATTTTTTTATTTCGACTGGGGAAATCGAACTTAACGATCTGGCAACCCTGTGTGTGTAGTGTACATAAGAACGCGAGTGAGAAACCGGTTATTTGATGTTTGTATTTTTCATGTTTTTCATTATTCAAATTCATACCTGTTCTCTTTTCATTTGACCTATTTACCTATACTTTCACTATTGCTATATTTTATTTACTTTACATTTTACATTCACTGTGTAAATTTTAAAAAAACTTACTTTTAAATACATAACCTTAAAATACAAAAATCTAAAAATTTAGGAATTCCAATTATTCAATAAATATTTCCGATAGGTACTATAAATTCCAGTCAAGAACGCGAGTCTATATGTATTTGCGTTGAGTAGTTTGTGAATGTGGATTTTCAGTTTATCAACAACCTACGTCAAAGCAGTGTGTAGATGGTGTTTCGTGTTTGGGATTCGGACTGATAAAAAAAGATAAAACGCTTATAATTTATCATTTTAGTAGATCATTGAAAATCTAATCAAACCCACTTTAATTTTTTTTATCATTTTTTGTTATAACAATGAACATAAACATTTTAACAAAGTCTACGAAAATATTAAGTACAAAGTCTTTTGATATTTTAGCAAGGAATTTTAGTTTATCAAGTGCTAAAAAAATGAGGTTTGTTCAATATAGACTGAAAACTGGTGGACCACAACAACTAGGAGCACAAATTAGTTCGTCGGGCGATATATTTGATATCAGTGGCGTAGATCATTCAATTCCAAATAGTTTGGTAAAGTTTTTGGCAAGTGGAAATGGACTGTATGAAAAAGCTAAAAGGTAAAATTTAATTTAACTAATTTGTTTACCTAACCATTTTTAAACAAAATTAAATTAAGTGTACCTACATAGAAGAGAATTCATGGCTCATATGTGACAATAACCTTTTGTACAATTCAAAATAAACATACATTTTGTGTTAAAAAAATATACCTACCTATACCTTGAAAATTACAGAGTACAAAGACAAGGACACGCGAATTTCAATTTTTTCTTTTTCTAGTTTTAACAATTAAAGTGACATTTTTTGTAATTGTAAGTGTCAAAATGATCAGTTGCATAATGTTGGACATTATGAAACTGATTTCAAAATACCTACCTATTTATGAAACCAGTTACGAAATGCCTTATTTTATGTAACGAGTGAATATTCGCGGGACGAGCAGAGCGAGGTCCCGCAATATGAACGAGTTACATTTAAAACGGGATCTGAGTAATGAAGTGGAGAGGGGTAGAATGATAATTGTCAATGAAAAAGTCTAGACATTATGCACAATTTCGTTTTGCACATTTTGTAAACAAGATTCAGGGACAACATTTTGTACAACAATTATAAAATAGTGTATCGAAAAATAATTAACAAGTATAATTTAATACTAAATTGAAATAAAAGCACAAAAAATCACAAATATACCTACGCAAGATAACAAAGAATTTACGCCAAAAAAGCTTACAACAGCTACAAAACAAACAAAAAACAGAGCTGAACATGAACATAATCGCTGAACAGAACCAATCCTGGAATTTGTTTACAGTGCTTTAGAGTAACCTGTCCTTGTCATTTACATGTATAAAAGTGGAAGGTTGAATCACACATAATTTCTACACTTGTCATGGATGCGCAGATGGTACTTTATCGTTCTACCCTCTCTACTTCTTTGGATCTGAGGTGCGAATTTTGCAAAAAAATAAACACTCAAAAGTAACTAGTTTCTAAAGTAAATTTTCGTAAAAAAAAATCCTGTAAAAACCAGTTTTTTGCGAGAAAAATCTAATTAAAAACCTCAAATTTACAGGTTATATTCACATTTACTCTAGATGAAGGATTCGCTACTAAAAATTACAATGTTGCCAAGTTGTTAATGAAATTGTCAGTTTCAGGATTATTTAAAATGTATAAATTTGGAGTTATAAAAAAACAAGAAGACGAAGAAGCAACGACTTCTCGTGCGGCCTGTAATCTCCACGGGTTGCTTCGCGAAGAAAAATTATATAAAATAAGAAAAATTAAACAAATATTAATAAGATAGTTCTGTTAAGCTTGGAAAATAAGTTTTCCCTCAAATGATGCATTTTAGTATACTCTTTTTTCAAAGTAATTAATCATATTTCCAAAATGTCCATTCTTAAAAAAATCTGAAGTAAATACTACATTGGCAGGCCAGTTTAGAAAATCCTACACATGTAATGTATCACACAAAAATACTAACTTTCACAAAATTTGGTTATATTTACTCAAAAAATAATTGAATTATTAAAAATTTTGAAAAAAAAATGTCTCCACCATGTGACACAAAAATGGAGGGTTTCAGAGCGTATACTACCTTCCTTTTAATTCATCGGATAGCTTGAAAAATTTCGCTGCAGATGATCTAAGAAAAATAGCAAAATCTCACTCAGAAAATACCAAATTTACATATTTCAACTTCACTTGTACCTATTTACCAAAAGGCTAAGCTAAATGGCTACATATCCATATACGACACAACGACACAAGAACTTTAAAAATAATAGTTAAAAAGCAAAAAATAATTTAAATTAATCCAGCGGTACCTTTATTATTTTTTTCTACTAGATGGAGCGGAAAAACAACTTTTAGAAAATGTGTTTTTTCTCGAAATTCGCTTCAATTGAGATACCGCTTTTTGGTTTAGAAGGGCAGTATATGTTAATTAAGTAAACGCTACTGTATTATTTAGAGTTCTATCAGCCGTATCATTTTTGCTGTTTTTTAATTTTTTTTTACAACTTGTTTAATCTCAATAATTGAATAATAATTTTTATATAATACAAAACAAATGGGTATCTAGAACAAGAATATAAAACTCTAATTAGGAAAAACAACCATTCAATACAATGTTTGTAGATACAGCAATTTTTAGCGATTTGGTAATTCCATAAACAAACAATTTTTGATAATGGATATAAAATGTGTTGCGTGACGTATTCAATTTTGTTCTCTGTGCATGTCTATTCAAAGAAAATTACTTTTAAATAAACAATTTGGATATCTATTGTAATAATGTTAACTGAAAGTTTCTATGAATTTGTAAAAGGCATAAAAATAGTAGTAGAAGGTCATTTCGATTTTATGTTTAAATCGAATATTATAGGGTGGTCACTTTCTAGACTAGTCGGAATATACATACATCGTGAATTGAAAGATTTTTATTGGTCTAAAATTGCCGAAACAAATAGAATCAATAAAGGAAATATATAAATAAAAAATCCTTCCATTTGACCTTTCATCTGCGCGGATCTTATTAACAATATGAAAGTCTTTCTAGTTGTCTACACTGCTGCAACTCTCCGAGTGTATCAGCGATTCACGCGGTTGCCGCTATTCGACCGTCGAAACATACATTCGCACGGAATCCGTGTGGATTTATTACTATCGCGTACAATTAGGCTTCGTTCACACACAGCGGAATCCGCGCGGTGTACCTCCGCGCGGATACGAACCGCGCGGATTTCGCTGTGTCTGAACGAGCTCTTAGAGCGTTCACAGCCAACCCTACCGATTTTTCGTATTCTATCGATATAGGTAGAGCTCGATTTTTTTGTGAAGAGCACATTTCGTCATAGCTATGCCACAGTTCGCGCAGTACGTCATAACTTTGTGGAGCTTTAGTTGATGGCGCTGGGCTGAAATCTGCTGCGGTAGAGGTACCTGATATCTTAGCAGTGGCGTGTGTACATTAATAAAATATTTTAAATCGAACATATTAATAAGTTAATGTTAAATTTTAACTATTCGTTAGTTAAATTGTTGTTAAATTAATAAAACAACTAAAAGTTTAAATAAATAATATATTTTAATTTCATTTGTATAATTTTAAACATTTTCATCATTTTTACACTAAATATGAGGGAATCTGTAAATTCATCCATAAGGTGTTCTCTTTGAATATATTATGCATCATCATATTTCGCGAAATGGTCCACCACGTTTGCCCATTCCTCCGGCGTTATGCTTCGGAATTTTTCTCTTGCCAACTTTTCAACATTATCCAACTTGAATGTTGTGTTATGTTGACCCACCCAATTTTTACTGTGGCCCATATTTTTTCTATGGGATTTAATTCGGGATGATATGGAGGTAATTCTGTGTCCATGTTCTTCGAGAAGATCGTCTAAAAGAAATTTCGGTGGAGGTCTGTGAACTTTTATTAATATGTACAGTTCTGGTTTGGTCATTTTAGCATCATGTGGTATATTGTTTTTAACGAGCCAGTTAATTAAATCTGCTTTTTTGGTCTGCATTGTAATCGATTTTTCAGATTTTACATTATAACTTGCATTATCGATTACGATTACAAGTACAGACCTTGGAAGAAGATTTGGTAGTAACTGCCTTCTAACCCATTGGGAAAAATTATTCCAGTTCATTTCATCATGATAATCTCCTGTATTTTTCCCTGAACAAAAGTAAAAAAGAATTTATTATCTATAATGCAAGTATATTTTTCATAATTATTTTTGTATGATACTTAAACTTACACAAAAACTTTTTAAAAGAAATAATTGCTTAGTTAAGCAAAAATTATTAGGAATTTTAAATCACTTAAAAAATAATCTGTTTTTGGAAGAATTATTTCTTCAAGATGATAAGACTTATTATAATAATCCTAAGAAAAGTTGTTACTAAAAACTTTCCCTTGTATAACAATAAAGGATTAAGTACAGGTAACGATCTTTTAACTAAATTCTGAGTATGATCACCTCAGACTTTTTTATTTTTTTTTTCTGCGTTGTGGTAATACTTTTTTGTTGATTTCATACTACAGAACTGTAGTTTAAGTTACTATATAGCAACAAAAAAAATATCACGTACAATACCTTTAATATTAAGAACTTGGTGATAAAATATATAAAACCTACGAATTTTATCTCATTACCGCAGCAATAGCTCTTAAGATAACAAAAATATGGTTTACAAAAACTCTGGTTTTAAAAGGTATTTAAAATATTTCAGGATGTTCGGTTTCTTCTGAGATTAATATTTATAGTTTTGTAAATGTACTTACCAAAATATACACAAAATTAATCAGGAATTCAAAAAATATAACAAATTAAAGTTTATATACACACAAATCGAAGCACAAAAACTCAGGAAACTCAAAAAGCGAAGCACAAAACTCAAAATAGCTAAATAAATGCAAGAAGTACAAATAAGTAACACTACGCTACTGAATTCAACTTGTATGAGCGGTGTTAAGCGGCAGGCGGCTTCGATCACGTTTAAATCTGTCTGACCACGCCTACAAACGTTTTAATCCATTTCACTTTCAGAATTACAACTAACATGCGTGCAATAAATTTCAATTTCAAATAAATTATTGAACTCATCACATGACTTAACTGTCAACTGTCACACGTCGAAATGTTAACTGTATCACGAATATTTGTTTGCTTCTCACCTGACATACTTTCATGGGACCTATTTTCAAAGTATGGGAGTACTAATTTCTCTCAAGATTCTCATCAGAAATGTCATACGTCAATGTGGAAACGCTGTTTTTAAGCGCCTCAAGGATTAAAATTCTTAGGAGAATTGTAATTATCTCTAAATAAACCGAGAGAAAGTCAGTGAGTTCACACTGGCCCTAAAAATACTGTTTTACGTGACATTTCTCTTGAGAAAAAATGAATTTTCTCAAGATTTTCATGAGAAATGTCATAGGTTTTACGTAAAAAACAGTATTTTAAATTCCAGTGAGAATTAAAATGCTTAGGAGAGTTTGAATTCTCTCGAAATAAACCGTTGACATATGAGATGTCTTATGAAAATCTTGAAAGAAATGAGTTCCCCCAAGTTTTAAAATAGGTCCCGTGGTTTATGACCGTCGAGGTATGGCGAAAGACTTTAACATCAGTTTATTGCCGTGAACTGTTTACAAATGATCACTGTAAACTATTCAAAGTTGTGTTAAATATAACAAGCACAAATAATTTATGTATACACAAAAAAATAAAAGGGAATTCATTTATTAAACTATCAATGTTTATAAATTAACAAAAAATAATCAACAGGTATAATTATGCAGAACTTAAAACATAAACAAGGTATTTCCATATATTATGAAACAACTATTCTAAAATTACTACCGTCACACTCATCGTAAAATTTCATAAATATTAATCTCAAACTATAGATAATGACATATTAGATTTTATTTAATTTAATCCTTGGATCTTTCTCTATATCTTGACCGGCGTAGTAGTCGAGAGTCATTGTATTATAAAAGGTCCAAGGATATTGACATGACCCATTTTGCAATGATGATGTCTGTCTTCCATCCTGCGGTGAGCTGATTAGATTTTGGGCATTGTCGGAACATCTGGAGGGGTCCTTTATAGAGGGTCGATTTTCTACTTTATGGAATATATGTTATTTATACTTGGAAAAGAAAATTATTTTAATAAAAGTTGCTTTTTATGTGATTCTCTATAATATTTGTTTTGTACATGATTTCCTCAAAATTGACCGTAATGGAAAAATTTAAGCAAAAGTGTAAAATTTTAAGTTTTCAGTATTTTTGTTGGCAATGAATATATGTAAAAAACTGTTTCGAGTAATATGTGTAGAAAATGTATATACAGTCTGTTCGCTATACTTGCGCGGATTTCGGATTAACAAAATTATGCAAATTAGTCATTGACAACCAGTTCCATAAGCCTCTTCCCAAGAAATTAGGTAAAATTGCCCTAATGGTCAGATTTAAATTAAAATAACATTAGGGTAGGTACTAAATTTGTTACAAATATTGCAGTTGAATTGATAATATAAAATTATTATTAGGTTTATAATAACCACATTAGACTACATTAATGAAGAAGTTTAATTCTGATCTCAATTATACAAAAGATTCTCCATTATTATTTAATTAAAAAGTTGTACATTATTTTTCATTTCATTTAACCAGTTGATATTTCCCCAAAGAAAAGGTCAAACTTTCGGGTACTACCTGGAAATACTCATAAAATTTTTAATCCGAAACCCGCGTAAGTATAGCAAACAGACTGTATTTAGTTCATCCTCTGAACATTTACAGGGGTAATACAATATATAGGTTGTACAAAATAATCGGAAAAAGCCTGTAATAACTAAACAGGAAAGTCATGTGTTGGACACATCAGATTTTTGAGAGAGAAAGCTCCGTAAGCCTAAAAAGGTGCAGATTTTACAAATCAATTTTAATAATTCAAAAATGTTATTCTAACAATATTTTGTTCCTTGAACATGAGTGGGCCAAAAAAATGAAACTTTTAATATAAGATATAGTTATCCATGTTTTAAATGAATCTCTGTGTTATTGTCTAAAAAAAAATAACTTCATATTTTTATTTTATGGTCCATATATTCTAACTTTAATTGCACTATTATATCAGTAGCAGTAGATAATTTTTATTGTTTATTGTCAATGACCGTTTAATTTAAACGAATTTTTATTCAATTGTGTTTTGTGTTAATAGGTACATTCATATTACGTATTCCAAAACATATTTAAAATATTACCTACTGTTAGACAATATGCAGTTGAATTTTAAAAATAAGAAAAATGTGTACCATAAAATTTAAGTTCTAAGCCATTTTTACCATGAACATATAGGGTGGCCCTTTAAAATTGTAGCTAGAAACATCGTTATTGGTAAACTTCCTATTTTCGTTTATAATTAAAAAAAAAATACCAACCAACATAACATCTAACATAATTTTATATTATAGAAAAAATGTGTTTTATATTTTACTGTTTTCTTTTCAGAATAGTAGCAGAAGGAAAATCTATAACACCAATTGACAATGTAGAGTTGCTATCACCCATCACAAGGCCTGACAAAGTAGTCTGTGTAGGACTAAATTATAGTGGCCATTGCGATGAACAAAATATACCTCGCCCTAAGGAACCAATGTTTTTCAGCAAATTTTCCTCAGTCATTGTAGGACCTCATGATAATATAGAAATACCACCAATAACAAGTGTAAGTTTTATTCAAATGAAAGACAGATTTAACATTAAAACAATTAAGTTAACATGAACAGGTGACATCTTTAATCATGGCTTATGTTCCAAATAAAAATGATTATAAATAAGGTGAAAATTTAAATTTTAAACAAAATAACAAACATGGTGATTTAGCAAGGTGGAATCCTCCAATATTTAATTATTGGACAAGCGATGTCTTTTGACTCTCAATAAGCACTAAAGATGGCGTAAGCGCTTTGCTAATTTAAATAAATAAATTTTCACGAAATACAAGTTTTCTTTGCTGATCTAAGCTGCGTCCACACAGCAGCTGTTAACCTCTTAATATATTTAACAAATATCACATACAGGGCGCTTGTAAGTTACATCATTCAAATTAGCATTTTGTCCCAAATACAGACCTATAGAAAATGTATTAAATATCTAAATATGGCCTCTTAATGTTTCAAATGTCACCCAAAAAGATCTGATGGTCTATCGAAATCGTTTGAAGTGACAACGGGCGTCCTACCTCTAAGTCGCTTATTATTTGCACGGTTTATAGCTGACTTAGATACTTTTTTTATGAAAACGGTGCCCAAGGTATAAATATTGATGACAAAAATGATGTTTTGTCGCTAATATATGCTGACGACCTTGTCATTTTAGCACACTCTGAGTTTGATAATTTTTACTTAAACAACCAACTTATTTCTATAACTAATAAATATACATATCTAGGAGTAGTATTTATTTCATCTGGTCTCTTTAATGAAATGGCTCATTTTACTGCCAACAAAAGTAAACAGGCTATAAATTTTCTCCTTCCGATAATGTCGAAAGCTAAAATTAATACTTGGCACCCTAGAATCAAATTATTTGAGTCACTTGCCCTTAGTGTTATGTTTAATTATATTTCTGTTTGGGGCCTAAGATACTTAGATGTATTGGAAAGAGTCCAGTTATAAACCATCCTTCTTTTAGTTCATATAGAAAAGAATTGTTTTCCAAATATTTTACACATTTACATGATTCTGATGTTAGTATAGCGTCTTGCTATCCTTTTATGTATTTATATAATTATGTTCCTACCTCTTGTGAACCAAGTACGTACTTACTCTTTAAATTACCAATCCAGGTTACCCATACTCTTGCTCAATTGGCGTATGTCCAACCTGTGACGAAGTCACTAATTTTATTTTAGAAAATGCATATGTCAATTCCCGCCTGAGGACATGTATTTCTGTTTCACAGGAATTACCGTTTTTCAACAATTGCGAGTACCCTCGTAGATTAAAATATTCCTATATTTGCCGAAATCCGAATGGACATTTTGTAGAGACGATTTCGTACCAATTATCTACCTTTATTTGTCAAGGTACTAGAAGGACATTTTTTTTATTTTTAAATTGTAAACAGTCGGCTGTAGTAGTGGTATCCCCCACTCGGGCTTACCGAAAAGCATAAATTCGATCACATCTGGGAATTACGCTCTCTTGATTTCCGGCAGCCGAAAACTATTCTCTCTCCTGCAGTGTCGAGTGAAATACTCTGTGAGTGACCGTGATATCGAAAGATTATTGAACAACCCCGTTTATTTTCTAAGGTAGGAATCCGCATATTATTTTTTTATTTTATTTTTCTATAATTAGTTGGGCACCCGTGCGACAAGTAAAAATTTTGATTCATATCCAGGATATTTCATTTCATCCCTCAATGGGAACCCGTTGGCAATTTTTTATTTGAGGCTAGATATAGGCTAGACTCTGAGTGCTCTCATTGTCAACGACTATATCCAATCTCTCTTAGAAAGCGCCCAGTTAACATTGAAGTGAGAGGTTCAACCCGTTTTCAATTTTTTTATTTTATTTCTTTTGAGGAAAAACCGGCCCGTTATTTTCTTTTTCGGAGATTCGATCCGTCCTCGGGTTAAGAGTGATCTCTGTCCTGACGGCGTTATCTAATTTCCCAAAAAGACGTCTAAATTAATTTTCGCGCCTCACTTCATGTAAGTTTCTTTTTTTTTATTTATTTATTCAGCTGTATTTGAATCATTCCGTTCCCCGTCCACAACTAATTATTGAACGAAGCCAGACGATTTCTGTAAAATTAATTCACACACCGTCTCGATCGACTTTGGGCAAATCTCAAAATAATCTTTTCTACCATCGTCGGACAGCGTACCAAAGACCGCGTAAATTCCCATCATTCTCACTCGACGAAAATTGCTGCGGCCCATCGCTCGAGAACAAGATACAAGGGGGTTCCGAAAACTTTATTCCATTATATAGTAGGTTTTCCTTTTCTGAACTTACATTGTAGGTGGGTTAACGGTGGTAATAGTAAACTTTATTTTCCGTATACAGGGAGTGTCGTAACTACCCGTTTTTTTTCTTTTATTTTTTATGAACTTCCCAGTTGGTCAACGGTTTGATAAAAAATTAATTACTCCGTTTTAATTAATTACCGTTTTTTTTTCTTTTTCGTTTTACTATTTTGACCAGACTATTTAATTTAATTTCGTGATTTTGGAAAAACATACCTTCCATATACCGGGTTGTTCATAATTTCCGATTTAAATATTTTCCCGTACTAGTAAAGGGTAACACGAACTTCATTGTATTAATTTATTTTTAATAAATTTTCCGTATACAGGGATTCATTAATATTTAATTAGTTTTCAATTGTAATAATTTGTTTTTAATAAATTTTCCGAATACAGGAATCCGTCAATATTTATATAGTTTTCAATTGAAATAATTTATTTTTAATAAATTTTCCGAATACAGGGATCCATTAATATTTAATTAGTTTTCAAGTGAAATAATTTATTTTTAATACATTTTCCGTATACAGGGAGTTTCATAATTCCCGGACCGCTTAGCCCCCTGTGCTAGCGAACCGTAATTCTGTACCATTTGTGAATAAGTCGGAAGTCATAAATTGAAGTTTTTCAGTATGGCCATTTTAAACATTTTGATGTTTTCAAAAGATACAAATTTTAAGTTTAGTTTCGTTTTTTTTAGAAATAGGTTGTTAATTATGCAACCAACAAGTGTAAATAATTATGACCTGTCAAATTATATTATGTTATTACAGGAAAAAATCTGACTTTCCTATTTATTCAGCCCAAATTTGTGTTCTAGTGCAAATAAACAGGACCATTTTTTAAAATATTTTTTTATTTATTTATGAAAAGCAAAGTGAACTTAATCCAAATAACATAAATTTTGATCAAAAAAAAAAAAAACTAAAAAACACTGATCATCTGGAGAAATCTCTTACAAATAGCTGTAGTTTTTATGATTTAATATCTAATTTTTTATATCTGTACTCATTGCTGTAACTCAGGTTTAGATGCAATAAATATTATTCTTATTATTAAATGTCACCCGACATGATTCTTCGTTTCGTTTTACCAGATTACTTATATTTTTTTAGAGCGTTGATTGGGAAGTGGAACTAGCTGTAGTAATAGGAAGAAAAGCGAAAGCAATTCGACCAGATCAAGTGAATGACTACATTTTTGGATACACTGTCGCCCAAGATGTTAGTGCAAGAGACTGGCAGAAAAATAGAAACAATGGACAGTTTCTCTTGGGAAAATCGATGGATACGTTTTGTCCATTAGGACCTGCCGTAGTTACCAAAAATAAAGTAGATCCAAACAATTTGACAATTAAATCCTGGGTAAATGGAGTTTTGAAACAAGATGGGAATACTTGTGAACTCATTTTTAAAATTGATTTTCTGGTGTCATATTTGTCACAGTAAGTAAAATTTTATCATTTATGTTAGTTGTTCATAATTTTGCAATTTTAAGGGAATATAGTTACTCTCTGAGGTTTTTTGCTTATTGTTGCAAGTTTAAAAAAGAAGTTAATACCAGGATTAAATAGATTTGAATTATAATAAGATGTAGTGTTAGAACAACAAATCAGTAAACTCAATTTGTAATAAGATAAGCACGGTTTTTAAAATTTTACCATAATCTGTTTACAAATGAAGAGTACAGGGGAAAATAGAACAGTCAATTTTTGTTAAAAATGAACTAACACCGCCATCTTGTAGTTTTAGATCCAATCTTTCTACTGGTGTGTCCTGAGTTTGAGTAAAAGGATCACAGTCTCTGTATTTTACTTAAAATTAAAAGCCATGCAGCATAAAAATGATTTTGTAAACTTTTTTGTTTATAAAGTATTTTTGTGAATCTGATAATTTTTCCCCTGTGCTCTTCAAATGCTATACCGGGTGTTCAAATTAAAGTGTTACAGTTAAATACCGCCGAAAATATCCATTTTAGAAAAAAAAGTTTTAGACAGAAGTTTTTTAGGGGAAACATTTTGGTTAAATTAGAAACTTTTGATGGAAATATTTTTTTATTGAACTTTTACTTTTTGAGTAACAGCTACTTGAAAATTTTGCTGGGCAAAAAAAAAGTTGGCCATATTATGGTTAGCTATAAAAATCGATTTTGGCCAAAATTTTTCCCCACAAAACTATAAAACTTTCGTCTGAAACGTTTTTTTTTATATAAAAGGCGGTAGTTATCTGTAACACTTTAATTTGAACACCCGGTATAATTGTTTTTTATATTATAGGATTGTGACCTTGTATCCTGGAGATGTCATTTTGACTGGTACTCCTGCAGGTGTTGGCATGTACAGGAACCCTCCAGAATATTTACAAAAAGGCGACATTTTGGAAAGTGAAATTGAAGGAATAGGCAGATTACGAAATGTTGTTGCATAATTGAAAAAATTGTATGTGCCTTAATTATTATTGTTTATTCGTTTTAAAATTATATAGAAAATTTATTGCCATCAAAAATGCTACAAATTTTAATTTTTATGTTATTTTTTATACCTACACATTTTTAATATAGACTTTTAATGTAAAAATAAATCACCAAGCAATGTTGTATTTTTTTAAATAAATAATTATATTTTGTGCTTTATTGTTATTATCCTAATGGATATTTTCCATAAGACAATTTCACTCATTACAAAGAATAAGTTCAAGAACTGATTTAAAAGTGTTTACTTCAAGCAGAACTGAGAAAAAAATGTCAAAAACATTGTGCCTCATTACAAAGAAAAACCTTCCTCCAAGAGATAAGCATTTATTTAAAAAAAAAGTCCTTTGAATATCTTCACCCTTTTAATTGAAGGGCTGAAAATTGACCATTATCAATGTACCAACAATAAACCCATAAGCAATTTTATATTCTTGGGTCACTTGCATGGACACCATTAGAAAAATTTCCAGGGGGCAAGTCTTATAGGAAGACTTAAAACGCTGGAGGCTGTAGACTAAAGCTAGGGGGCAGAAACCCCCCATAGAAATAGGGTATTTTATCTTGAGTGATGTTTCTTGAGCACTGATGATACACATAAATTCAAAATATTGATTTATTTCTAGTGAAAGGGACTGATCTTCATTTTGATTAGCTTTAAATAAGTATAACTGATTTAGTTATACAATTTATTGATAGAACCCACTTTTTAACACATCTACATATTATTTAATAAAAATGTAACACTATATAATGTATTTTATTAAATTAAATAATAATTACACATTCTTATGATGTATTCTCATCAGAAGGATAATATGGTTTTGGTTTAATACTTGCTAACGTAAATTCTTCTCTAGAATGATAAGGCTGGTAAGGATCATCTACGTAATATCTTGGTTTTCTCCAATAAGGCCCCACCATTTTATCTAACATCCAACTTTGGGTTGAATTGCAGAAAACGTGCTGTCTTAGCCTACGTTTTCGAGGAGGACTCTTTTTCCATAATTTCTTCTGACGACCAACTTTTGTTCGAATCCAAGCTCCCCAATTTAACCTATAAAATCGTCTTGTAACTGCCTTGACTGACTTTCTTTTTCCTTTTCGCATTGAATATTTTGTTAGGGTCCTGGTACTTGTATTCAAAACTGCAGGCTTAAACATACTTTCTAATATTTTCGGAGGAACAATTGGAACATGAGTTTGCAGTACAGAAAAATTTCTTCCTATCAGTGGTTTTAAAAGGCTCTCCTTAGTTACATTTTGCAGTAAATATTTTGAATTTGTTCTGGCAGGTACTGTTGCTAATCTAGCAACGGAAATTAAAACGTTCCTAAACATATTAGTTATAAAAATATTAAATAATCCAAAATTTTATCATATCTCTCGTTCTGCAGAGCACATTTGACATTTCCATTTGACAATTGACACTATTGATTGATAGTGGCCGGACGGAACAGTGTTGCCAGAATGTTTTGGTTATATGGCCACTGCAGTAATCTATGGCCACTGCTATGCCAGCCGCAGTGTTGCCGGCTAGTACAATTGTACTAGATCGAATACATCTAAGACTCTTGTACACTCGAAGTAAAATCTAGTACTTCTTTTATTTTCAGCGTTACCATTTGAGGCGTGTAAAATATATTGTTGGGACTTTGCTACTTGTTTTGTTTTTTGTTCTTTCGGACCGATTCTACCGTTGTGTTAAACGAAGTTTAAAATGACATTTTTACATCAACAATGCCATTTTAATCTCCGTTTAACACAACAGTGGAATCGGCCCTTAATGAACCAAACCACATCACAATTCATTATAAAAATCTAGTACATTTTACAGAATCTAGTACATTTTTATGTAATCCGGTACATTTTTTAGGCAAATCTCGTACATTACAAAAATATATTCTGGCAACACTGACCAGCATAGACAACCGACAACCCTGGTTTAAAATAGGGATTTCGTCTTTTTGCTATTTGTCATCCTGATTTTTTACATTTCAAATAAAATTTGATGTGATTACATTTTTATTTAAATGTAATAAAGATCGCAACAATTAAAATTGGCATTTTTACAATTGCCATGTTGCCAACATAATAATCAAAATGTCATTTTACTTTATTCATAACCTCAATATATTTAAATAAATGAAAATTTGATATTTGAATTGTTTTTATGACAATTTAAGAATTAGAACAAGTTTAATTAAAGAGAACAATTCCGACATTTTTCTATTTTTAAAGTTTTAGCGGGTGAAGTACTGTACAATCATTGTTTTACTTTCAAAAAATACTCGATCAAACCAAACGATCGAAGCAGACAGATGACGGTCCGATACTCTTGAATATTTTCGGGTGTTCCTGAAAGTCCTAATATTCCTGTTTTCATTTTCACCCAAAGTGGCTCTTCCTGAAAATGTTGAGAATCGCCAGAGGAGTACAAAATAAAAAGATATGGGTAAGTATTTTTGATTTTTCACACTTTTAGTAAAACTAGGTACTTGTTATGTCATCCTTATATTTAATTATTTTGTGAGTTAAATATACCCATACGATCTACAATAGTTGTGTTATGCCTAGATTTTAATTTCCTTCGATAAATTAAAATATTTGTGTTTGTAATTTCAGTTTAAAAGTCACATTCATAATTCCTAACCTACAAAAGTGTTTAATTAAAAATGTATCACATGCATATATTTTACTGCAAAAAAAATTAATTAAATAATTGTTTTGAAGAGCTTTAATAGATAGAATGTGCTGGATTATTCTATCCGGGTGTAAAATTTCACACAGAAGAGTATTTTAGAAACATAATCACCCCTAGGTGCCTGTACAAATGTTAAATTTTGAAGTATACTCTTAGATTATACAAACCTTTCTCACTTATTTAATTATACCTAGGTTAAATGTTCCTAAAATCAATATGTAATACCGAATAATGGATATTCACTTTATCTGTGATATTCGCTCACTATTTTCATTTACTGTAACTGCATCCTCGGGAACCATGTAGGAACCTCTCAACTCTAAGTTATAAAATTGTAAAAATGTTATCCTTCCCACAAATAATGTATGTATAATCCATAAAGGAGAAATTAAAACAGTTTTCTAAAAGTTTTATTTTCATTCCCTCAAGTCAAAAAAAAAATAATTTAGATACTACTGGAATGCTTTGAATTATTTCTTGTTTTTGAATAATACTTTTGAAGTTCTTGTGGTGTTTAAGGATATGCAGCCATTTAGCTTAGTAATAATGGAATGCCCCTAACCTTTTAGTAAATACAGGTAAAATTGAGGTATATACATTTTTCTTAGTTTTTTTAATGTTCTGAGTGAGATATGGATAGTTTTCTTAGTTTATGTAATGCAGATGTTTTCAAGATATCTGATGTGTTAAAAAACAAAAATGTCATTTTTTTATACCGCTTTTTGGCTTAGGAGAGCAGTACTTGGTACATACTGTCTTTTACTTTCTTCTTTTTTAAGTTATAATTGCTTCTAATTAATATATAGGTTGTTCCTGAATGTCAAGTAAATATTGAAGTTTTAATCATAAAATAGGGCTTGAAATTACCTCCTTCAATATCAACATGACATTTAGGAACATCCTGTATATCTAAAATGTTCTTTCTAGAAGCAACACACACTGCCAGTACTCACAGTTCCCAGACCCCTTAGTTATAATAACTGTTATACAATAATTTCATCTCGGCAGTACAGTCAAAGTTCAGACTCACAAAGTGGTGGTAGTGGAGGCCGAAAACTTTTGTTAGCTGTTGGAGCATTAGTAGCAGCTGGAGGAGCCACCTTGGCATATGCTAAGCACGACAATGATTTTAGGTAAGTTGTCAGCAAAAAGGATAAGTGGACCATTTTAAATTTGATTTAGAAACAATGGTACTAGCGTTTAACCACCTAAAGACACAGAATGAGTAAGTTGCAGTAGGATCCCCAATGAGTAATACAATAAGCCTTGAAGGTTATAGTACCATATGCTTGATCCTTAGGGTGCCTCAAACTAGTGATTAGCAGGGGTTTCCAAAGAGTGAAAAAGGGTTAAATTTAAATTTTCAAATACATAGCTAAAGCTTATACAATATTTGATAGTATAAGTGAAGTAATTAAGATAATACCTATAAAAACTAAAACAACTCATGGTTATACAATGCAGATTTATAATATGCCTAATTTATAATGAGTGAGCTACCAAATTTTGTTCTAGAATTGGTCGTTGAAACTTGTCATTCTTCTTTTTCTCCAAATGGCCGTACGCATTTAATTTAGAGGCTTGTGTTGTTATCACAGTCAAGAACATTTTTTTGTTGTCATTCTTTTCAATATTATAATGTTATATTTAGAAATAATAGGTACATATGTAATGAAAAAAATATATTTTCAGGAAAACTTTAACGGGAGTGGCTCCATTTACTGATGATTTTATTTCTGTGTTGTGGCAAGAAAAAAGTACTGGTAATAATGTATTAGTTACTTCATATCAAAATGTTAAAGGTTTTGTGACTGGTTTCACAAATAAGGATGATACTCCACATCCAGTTAAACAAACATCCGCACCACCACAGTATAAAGGTAAATATATCTATGTTTTTTGCAAAAGAAATTATGGCAAAAAAATAATTACATAATTCCGCGCTATATTTTTTGCACAATTAGTTTTAATGTGTCTAATCACTAAATTTTTTTACTCATCTTAAATCTAAAACTTACATCTATGTTCTATTTAACTTAATTATCAATTTAAAAAAAAAATTAATATTTTTATATTATTTGGACCAATCATAATTACTAAATTATACAAAAAAACTAATATTAAATTGTGTTCTCTGTAAACTTAAATTAATTATGCTTTTGTTTTACCATCCACCATTTTTTTGCTGGTGTTATTTTGCTAACATTTAACTTCTAAAAGCAGCGCCACCAGTTCCAAAAATTAAGAAAGAAGACACAAAACCGTCGGAGACATCTGAAGTCAGACTGGAGAAGATGGAAAGTACTAAACCAGGATCTTCTGTTGATATTGGTATTAACCCTTTTGTAATTAATATCGTTTTAGTAATAATAAAAATAATCTCCCTACAATTCATCCCCTTTTGAGTGAAACTGAGAAAGTAGAGCTTGTTGGTCATTATCATTCACAACATATGTAACAAAAATTGTCTCCTTATTGCAAATGCAAATCTATTGTGTGGAAATTATCTTATATATTCTGTGGAAATGGTCATGGAACTACATATAGCATAGACATGCCAAATGCTCTTAATAAATTTTACATAGACAGTATCCAATCGATTGCTAGTATGATTGATCATACAATACCAGATTATCAAATTTTAGACAGACACAATGGACATTTTCTTGGAAAATTTCAACTATGTACGATGGATTCTTCAAGAGATATACTTTCTGCAATGTAAAACAAAAGTAGCACAGATGATCTTAACATTAATATTTTAAAAAACTGTTTTCCCAACCCCTCAGAACCACTTTTAAATTTGATAAATTCGTCATTAGAAATTTCAAAAATACCTAATGCTCTAAAAATTGCTATGGTAGTGCCTGTTCCAAAGACAAAAAACGCAAATAAAGCTACAGATTTAAGGCCTATTAGCACAGCTTAATCATACCCAGCTAGAACACTCTCTTGGCGGGAACGGTTTGCGTCGATCCCTTCGCGCAGGTTTTATGCTCCGCCTTTTCGGGGAAAAGATGTCTTTGCCGTGCAGTCGGAAGATCGGTATTACTTATTCTACGTTAAGCGGACATAGCCGTGCGTATATTTTTGTGTTTAATTTGTAATTCTTTTGAACATTTGTGTTTTATGTTTATTTTTTACTGTAGTAAAATGAGTGACAAAAAACTGTCAGGACATCATCATGTTTGTGCAGTGCGAAATTGTTTTATAAAGGTTATAATTGTAAGAAGAAATTCTATTGTTTTCCTAAGGATGCTAACCGGTAAGTACTTACCTACACGATATTTTTTGCATATTTTGATGAAAAGTAAACTTTCGATTATTTGCTATGTTGTAGTAAAAGTAATTTAAAGTCATACAAAATCTTCTTTAATTATGAGAAGCTATGTTTGGCCTGTATAAATATATACCTAAGGGGGCGTCCATTAATTACGTGAGGTGTTCAAGGGGGGGAGGGGATAAAACTAAATCTTTCTAAATCTCACTTGGGGGGAAGGGGGGTTTTCGTAAATCTCACGTAATTTTTTTTCTAGTAGAAAACGGTGTAAAATTGCGTGAAAGTAAAGTTAAATTATAGTAAAAGTATTTCTAGAATAAAATATGGAAAAATCTTATTATGTTTATTTATATTTTATTAATTTCCATTTAAGTATTTATCATTTAATTTTATTAATGTGAATTTAAATAATTGCAACACTCTCAAACACTAGTCTTTGCTAGTCTTAAATAAAAGTAATGGAACATATTGTGTTTTGGTTTTTTTTTTAATAATCCAACATATTTACACCCAAACACGAATTTTGAAAAATCTCACGTGAGATTAGGGAAGGGTGGGAGGGAGTTAAGGAAAATCTTACCAAATCTCGCCAGGGGGGGAGGGGGAGTCAAAAAATCCTCAAAAATACCTCACGTAATTAATGGACGCCCCCTAAGTAGTTATTAATTTAATACTTGTTAAGGTAAAAGAGGGTTTATTGGTGGTTTTGTTTAATATTTTTGCAAATCGAAATAATAAAATATGTATATCAACAAATATTAATTGGAAGCAAATAGATACAGTATGCGCCAGATCTAAAGAACCAAGGATGCGCATTTATAATGCTTCTAACACGCCTACGGATGAATAGAATTTGGTAGCTTACCTACAAAGTTGTAAACCAGAGGTCCGTATATTTTAAGACATAAAATAAATGGAAAATAGTAAATGATACTTGTTCATACATATGGCTTAGTGTTATTATTATATATATATTTTAAAGATATCTCCAGACAATACTGGTTTTTATTTAGAAAACCGGTATCTCTTTTTCATCTTTGATGTGCCACATATTATTAAAGCGATGAGAAATATGTTAATGAAATATGACTTTTATGTTAATTGTAGAAAAATTACGTGGCAATATATTAAAGACTTCTATGAATTAGATAAAAAATTTCCTGTTAAAGCAGCACACAAATTAACTGATTCTCATATTTACCCGACTAGTTTCCAAAAAATGAAGGTCAAACTTGCCCCCCAAGTATTTAGTTACTCAGTCCATGTAGGTATGAGTTTTTATATAGGATTTGGTTCCCTTCCCTCGGAAGCGACAAAAACTGCTGAATTTGTTAATAGAGTAGATCAACTCTTTGATATTTTAAATTCTTTGCAAACCTTTGCCTCAAAAAAATATAATACTGCCTTTAAATCAAACTCATTTCAATTAGAGTTTTTAATGGATTGCTTGTCCTTTTTTAAAAGTCTTGAAATTCGAGACAAAAATAATATAAACGTTGCCAACAAAATAAAATTTATTAAAAGCTTAATAATTTCAATCAACAGTATTATTCAATTATTTTCCTATCTTCGAGAAAATGCTGGGTTTGAGTATATACTTACACGAAGATTAAACCAAGATTGCCTGGAGAATCATTTCGGTAAAATAAGAAGTGAAAACGGTAACTGCATTAACCCCACAGCCATACAGTTCCATAGAACATTTAGAAAGTTGCAATGCGTCAACTTGCTTAACTCAGGTACAGAAAACTGTGAGGCAGATTCTGATCAGATGCTCTTAAGACTTTCTGACTGCCAACAGGATTTTGTACCTGAGGATAAGGATAAAGTATCGGAACAAAGAGACGCACTAAATAGCATGGACTATTAAAATAATGAAATGCTGCAAAAAAATTTCATACGGTACGTGTGTGGGTACCTTTTATATAAAGCTTTAAGAGTTCACACTTGTGATATATGCAATAAATATAGTAAAGACCATGATGAACTAGATGATTCATCTTATTACTGTTTCCTTAAGGCATATGAAAATGCAAATAAGGACACCTTCGGAAATTTGCAAATGCCTAATAATAAATTTGTGGAATTAGTTTGTAAAATAGAACAAATATTTCAAGAAAAATTTGCTACTAAAAGGAATATTTGCCAAATGCTTTTAGATATAAGTAACCATTTAGCTTTTAACCATCCCTGTAAATATTTCCCCAAAGAATTTGTAGTTAGATTATATTTAAGAGTTAGAATATATTACACATTGAAAACGATAAATGGTAATTTTAGAAATGTAAATAGAAATAAACTTATAATATGGAGAAATTTGTAATGATATAGTACAAAATGTATTATAATTTGTTATTATATATATAATATACGTTATATATACGTAGGTATAACGGTATAAGTAAATTTTTAATTTGATTTTTTTTAATTATTTAGTAATAAAACCTATTTAAAACCTAAGCTACACAACTTTATTTTATTACCATTTTTGTCTTTTCCCTAAACATCACCGTGCGACTGTCAAAAGCAATAATGTCTAAGGTTCTTTTTCAGTTAGGCCAAATAAGATTTTTGCATCCGAATTTAATTATTTGACATACTCACAATTTGAAAATTTTAAGCCGTAAATGCCAAATTGCAAGTTTGTCGAATATTAAAATTCGGATGCAAAAAGCCGATTTTCGCAAAGCTGAGAAAGGACGTTAACAATGACATAGCGTTCAGGAGGAAAACCTAAAAATAAATCATAATCTTGAACAACCAACATCAACGACTATTATAAATCACTATTTTTTTCGTAAGATAACAAACACCCCATTATCGTAATTATTCTGACAATTTTATAAATCGCCCTTTTTCTGCCCACACAAGTTCTTTTAATCTATAATAACGAAAATGTATTATTTTTCAGAATAATTTTAATGTATTTTTCAACAACCCTTATTAACTCCAAACCTAATTTTATCGTAATATTACAATATAGATTCAAAAAAAATAATCCAATAAAATTTAAAATTACCTACTACGGTACTGTCAGGCAGAAATTAAACATTTTACTTCAATAAATAATTGTTATAATCCGGCTCTGACTTTTCCCTCTTGTGCAACAGAGAAAGCAACGCTTCTACCTCGCTTGATCGCAGACCACGAGATCAAAAGGGCCGCCGAGAGTGTTTTAGCTGGATATAAATAAGCTGTGCTATTAGTATGTTAAGTTGTATCGAAAAAATCATTGAACAAATTGTTAATTTTTTAGAACAAAATAAACTTATTACTAGAATACAATCGGGCTTCAGAAGCAAACATAACTGTGAATCAGCTATCCAGTGTGTTTTATATGATTAGAAATATAAATTTAATAAAAACTATCTAACATTGGTAGTTTTTATAGATCTTCAAAGGGCTGTTGTTCAAAACTGTTTGATAAAAAAATTGAAAAGTATGGGTATAGTAGAGCAAGCATTGGAGTGGTGTGTGGATTATCTAAGTAAGAGGAAACAAAAGTAAATAACATTTTGTCAGAGGAAATTACCTATATCAGAGGTGTTCCACAGGGAAGTATATTGGGTCCCCTGTTGTTTTTAGTGTACCTATATCAATGACATTGTTGATTTCAAGGGTCAATGTGACATTCACCTGTTTGCTGATGATGTCCTAATATATTTTTCTTGTAAGGATTCAGATAACTTAGTAAGAGTTGTTAATGAAACACTGCAACATGTTTATAAATGATGTTGCAATAATTTGTTGAAAATTAACACAATAAAACAAAATAAGTAGCAACTATAACTATACACAGTTTGTTGATAAACAATATAACATAACAATTGGAGGACATTCTATACAGTTAGTAGAAAAATTCAAATACTTAGGGGAAATGATTGAGAAGCAAATGAGATTCATAGATCATGCAAACACTGTTATCAAAACTATTGCATTTAAGTAAAATTTCCAATTTAGAAGTTCATTTGGCTTATCACAGTGGACTAAATGTATTATACAGGGTGTTTCCGAACTTGGCGTCCAAATTTGTAGGGGTGGTAGTTCGCATAATTTGAGACCGATTTGCAGATTTCATTTTTCCAAAATATTTAAAATAAAAATAATTAAAAATTTTATACAGGTACGGTCCTGCACAGCGATGGGACCAACTCGACTCACGCGCGCTACGATCGAGTTCTCCGTAAGTTTGCTTAGAATCGACAAAATTGCAAATCGCATCTGTTTTTGAGTTGTAAATCCCGATGAGTAACCGATCAGGCGACTATTGCGCTTCGCGCTCAGGGTAGGACCCACTCTTTGATTTTTTTATAATGGCTCTATTTTGTTTATTATAATTTTTTTAGAAAAATGAAATCTGCCAATCGCTCTCAAATTATGCGAACTACCACCCCTACAAATTTGGGCGCCAAGTACGGAAACACCCTGTATATAATACTATAATTCTACCTCACTTTAATTATTGCTCTACAATGCTCTTTTTACTAAATCAAAATGAGTTGAACCGACTACAGAAGCTGCAGATCTAATGCTTGAAACTTTGAGGTGGATGCCAACCAAAAGTCTCTTATTACGGAATGCGTTAATTTTAACACGGGTTACTTCCAATGTACCTAGAAGTGAAGCTTAATTATCACTCTAATGTGCACAATTATCCAACGTGGAAAGAAATAACTTTTATATTGAAACAGTTGTTAAGAGTGCAACACAAAATTCACTATTTTTTAAAGGTCTAAATCAATATAACGCACTTCTAGATAAAATTAAATCAGTAACGTCTGTAACTACATTTAAAGTCAAAGTGACAGATTTGTTAATTGATGAATATTTCTCCAGAAACAGTAACAACCTATAGAATTTTAGTTAGTTTTAATTGTATCTAAATTATCTATGTTTTGACTTATATGTATATGTATACTTTTACTAAATTTGTATATTGTGATATTAGCAAACTAGCTAAATAAAGGAAATAATAATAATAATAATAGAAAAGAAGCCTATATGTTGAGCTATGACAATGTACACAACACGTAAGATGATTTCCACATAATAGATTTAAAAGGAAGGAACTTTTGCCAAAACTTGTTAAATACGTTATTATTATTTGTCATAGTGCTCAATAGTGACTTATTTTTATGCGAGGGGTATTGAACTTATTCTAGATAGGACCCTACTAATAAAACACCAATAAAAACAAAATTGTTTTTTTTTTTTTTTTAAATTTGAAGATTAAAATTTAGTTGATTGTGTTTATATATAACAACTAAAATTTTAAATTTGTCTATATCAGGAGCTAATTCAAAACCGAAACAAGAAAAAAAATCATTTGGCGATGCTGGAGAATACTCTGCAGAAAATATAACAAAATTGGAACAGAAAATTTGCCAGTCAGCCGAAGAAGCTGTTAACGCTTTTAACAAGGCTGTGTATATCACTAAATTGTACAACGCTGATATAGAATATATTGTTGACGAGGCAGTGAACGAGATCAAGTCGGAGACTTGGGAACAAATCAAGAGTAAGACAAGATCGAAGATTGAATGTGTTAAAAGAGCGGTGGAAAAAGCAGATATCGCAACAAAGGATATAAATAAGTTGAAGTTTTTAATATCTAGGTAAATGAAATGTTTTTGTTTATAAATATAGTATATTATTTATAGTGAAACTTTTGATTGTTTATATGAGGGCATCATTTTTTACAAACTAAAAAATTGATACAAAAAAGCAATTTTGTGACCATTTTTTTTTATTTTAGTCGAAATTTCGATGTACCTGAATCAAGTAAACAGATAATAAGGGACAATATCATAAAAGTTCAGGAAGACATCGAAAATGCAAGGAAAGAACTTGAACGGGAACAAAAAACTGGAAAGGTTTCTGAAAAGTACTGGGATAAAATTGAAAAGGCTAGACATCACTTTTCAGAAGAGTTGGAGAGTCTCTTCCCCACTGTCGATCTAGCAAAACAAGAATTAAATGTTAACAAAGAAGATTTGGGTACGTATAAGTTTAAAAATACATTTTTTTAAATTCTTGATCCTTTGTTAATACAATTTTGTTTATACTCAAATATTTTACTGAAAAAAATTTACAGCTTTTTTGTTTATTTTATTAAAATATTTTATTTTACTTTTTTTGTTCCAAAGTTCTCAAATTTTCAATAGAAATAGAATTTATTCATCTTTGAGAATTATACACTAAACAAAGACACTAGGTAAATAATGTAAAATCCTATCAGACTAGTCAAAAAAGGGTTAAGTAAAATACATTAAAAAATAAAATATATATAATGGACAATTCATGTTAAGATTAGTTTAAAAGTTCAAAAAATCTTCTATACTATAAAATACATTATTTACAAGAAAATCATTAAGATGTTTTCTTAAATCATTACGACTAATTTGATGATAACCTGTAGTATCTTCTAATATGTTACTGAACTTATTGTAACACTTAATCCCAATATATTTTGGCGAATGCTGGCTTATTTGTAGTCGTGAAAAAGGTTGATGGATGTTAAATTTTAATCTAGTATGATATGAGTGCAGGTCTTTATTTTTCTTAAATATATGCTCATTATCTTTTATGTATAAAAATAGTTGAAAAATAAAAAGGGAAGGTAGTGTTAAAATTTGCGTTTTCTTAAAAAGTTCTTTACATGATATTGTTGGTGTCACCTTATACATGGCTCTCAGAACCTTCTTTTGAGATACAAAAGCTCTTTCAAAGTACGGTGAAGAACCCCAAAATATTAACCCATATTGTAGAGTTGAATGAACCAAACCAAAATAGCATAGTTTTAAAGTATCAAAAGATAGAGTCTCCCTTAAATTTTTGATGATATAACAACAAGTACTTAATTTTAAAGTTACCATTTTTACATGAGTTTCCCAATTTAATTTGGGATCTAATATTATTGCTAAAATTTTTATGTCATCAACGCTTTGAATAGTTTTTCCGTCAACGTGCAAGTAGGGTTTGTAATCTGGTAATATGTTTTTGGGTAGAAATTGCATGAAGTTTGTTTTTGTTACATTTAATGCCAGACTGTTATCTTTACAATACTGGTTAAACTCACGAGATGCCTCGTTGCTACTTTGAGTGACCTGTTCAATTTGATCATCTGCCATTACAATATTGGTATCATCGGCATATTGAACTATTTGTTGAGAGCCTAAACAAAAATTACTTATATCACTTATAAAAACTATAAAAAGAAGTGGGCCCAAAATTGAACCTTGGGGAACTCCTATTTTACATGGAAGAGGATCAGATTTTAGACTATTTGTTACAATTACTTGAGTTCGATTTATTAAGTAAGACTATCCATTTATAAGGTTTCCCTCGCATTCCTAAACCATTCATCTTTAATAATAAAAGATTGTGATCCACCATATCAAATACACGGCTAAGGTCATAGAAGAGTCCTAAAATATGTTTTTTATCATTGAGTGCTTGATATATAAACTCTAGGCAAGCTGCAATTGCAGTAGATGTTGACTTATTTTTTCTAAATCCATTTTGAGTATCTGGCAACATATTAAAACTTTCAAGGTAATTAGTGAGTCTAATAAAGTATGCTGACTCAAATATTTTAGTTATTTTACTAGATATACAGATTAAACGATAATTTTCTATATTAGATGCAGATCCCTTATTTTTATAAACAGGAATTCCTTTAGAATCCTTCATATTTGGGAATAATCCCGAAACAAAGGATTCATTAATCAAATGTGATATGGGTTCAGGAATACAATGAGCAACCGATAACAGAATTTTACCATTTATTTCATCAATACCTTCAGTGGGTTTAGAAGTAGTTTTTTGATTATAGTGATGATTGCACTAGGAGTTGTTGGAAAAAGAAAAAACTTTTATGATGTTTATCAATACTCATAGTCTAGTTAGGTACAATATTATTTTTATTTACATTAATAAAATAGTCATTGATATAATTTACTTTTTCTAAGGGTGTTAATTTGTCATCATTTGTAAGTTTAATAGGATTCAATAAGTTGTTTTTTCTTTTTCCCCTACTCTCGTTTATTATATTCCAGGATTCTTTCATTACGTTATTACTTTTTAAAATACGATCATTATTTTTTCTTCTCAAATATTGTTTTGTTATTTTTTGATACTCTTTTTTTAAATTATTGTAACGTTCTGTATAATATGTAGAATTTATTTCTTTCTTTAACCTGTTAATTTCACATAATAGATTATGTAACTCTTTAATATGAGGTGGAAACTGATTTTTTAATTTTTGTGGTTTTATCGCTTTCTTTGTTTTCGTAAATACAATATTGTAGTGGTATAGGAATGATTCATAAAAGATAGAAAATTTATCATTAAAATTAGTAGATGTGTATACTTCACGCCAATTTTCAACTGATAAAATATTTATAAAAGTTATTGCGTTAGGATCACTTAAATCTCGTTTATATCTGTATTTAAATTCGTTATTTTCAAAATTAGGTAGTTTAGTGGAACATAATAAGTAGTTATGATGAGACAAAAAAAGTATCATATATACACCCACCTTATCTAATTAATATTTACGGCACTTTTTTTCCTTAGATCTCTTTGTTTTGCACGCGTATGCGAATGTTTTATTCTATCAGAAGGAATTGGCTAAAATGGAAACGATTATTAACGAAAAGATGAGATTAGCCATCGAAGCCGCTAAACAAGGTGGCTTTGAAGAGTTAACGGACGCTCAAATACGCGAAGCATTGGAACAGGAGAAAAGGAGAATAGCATTAACTTTCCAGCATCAAGTAAGTACTTCTAAAATACATGATAAAGATCATCCATATAACCAATGTTACTAAATGGTAAATATCAAACTGAAAGTCCCATCACAAAATGTTTATAAATGTAAAATAGAAAAAGTGATGTCTAGTAATTTTGTATTTACAGTGTAACTAATGTTTTTGAATTTATCTATTTGGCCAGTACCACGTTCAATATTATTTATAAAAAATAGTGCATTATTCTTTTTATAACTTGTTGCTTCTATATATTTCATTGATATGCCTTCTTTGAAATGTATGCGAACATATTTTATAAATAATTTAAAACTTAGGTACTGAAGCTGAGGAAAGAACATGAATTAGAGCTGAGAGACGCGTTAAAAAGACAATCCCAAACTTTTACGGATCATTTGGAAGACGAAGTGAAGAAAAGGGAAGAAGAAATCCAAAGATGCTTATCCCGGAAGTTTGATGAAGTTTTAGAGAATGAAAGATCTAAGGCGAAAGTACAAATGGCTGCTGTAGTGGGACGTCTCAAAGGGATTGATGAAGCTCTTCAAGGTAAGAATAATTTATTTCTCGAGACATCATTTTCAATTTTAATACAGATCTACAGTTTATTCAAATTATTTTAATTTTGGGAAACGTTTCCCGTTTTCTACTGGCTCATTTCCACTTTTAAATCGCTCATACCACTTGTAAACAACAACTTCAACATTTCGTGAGTTTCTTTTGCACTTTTTTGCAATTTAAAACAGAATATAATTTTCTTGTGGTGACTGATAAGTCAGAACGTGTTCCAACTTGATGCTGCATGTCTCAACAGTTCAGGATATCAGAAAAATTACATAAAATTGTTGTAGCGCCAGCAGTTGCTGTTAAAGGAATACATTCATCGTATTTTTTGATCACACCTCGTATATAATGTCTCCGTGAACAAATTTTTAATTCTTATTCTATAATTATCATGTTTTACCCTGTAAATTAGGATAAACACATCGTTTTAATTGGTTGGAACGAATTTCACGTTGTGTGGCTAAAAATAATTTGAAAACTTTGAAGTTTCCTTTTTTACAATTTATAGAATTGACAGATCTGTTAAATTTTTGAAGTAATGTATATTATGTTTTTATCCGAATTTTTTTTATACATTTTTTCTAATGAAGTTATGGTAATTGGTATTTTTCACGTAGGCAGAGAGTTTATGTGTTATTTTTACATCGTTAAAGGTAAAATATACGTATTTATATATTTTTTTAATGCTTTCCAAGGTAACGACGGTTTATTAGCAGGTATTTTTAAAATTTTAATAATTTTTATTATAATTTAATTTAGTTTTTACGACCTTCTAAAAATACACTTCTATTAACTTTTAATTAGCACTGTAATTTAAAAAATATATATGATATTATGGTCAATGCATAATAAATAATTTTAGAATCAATTTGATTTTAAATTTATTGTTATGAAAAATCCAAAAGATATACCTCAATTCATTCAATTAAAACACAATTTCAAATAAAGATGCAAGAAACAATGATACAGGAAAATAAAGTACCTTTACCTAGCCACTAGAAAAATTGCAAAAACAGATAATGAAGAAGAAGAAGGTTAAAGCTTGTTTCCTTCAAATTTAATATAAAGTTCATTGAGATTGTAATAAAATTACCATTAAATTAATTATATATATAAAATGTACAGGAATAACTAGAATGCAACTACGCTTACATATCCCTTAATTTATTTATAATTTTGGAAGGTTGTCGTATATAAAGATTTTTTTTTATTATCGTTGTATAGTATGGATTCTATTTGTAGCTGAATATATTTTAAGAGTAGATAACTTTGTAGTTCATTAAAAAATTTCAAATAGTTGCAACGGAGATGTTTCTGGGATATCAATTGGCGGGATTTTGCTTGTATTTATATCTCTCAAAAGATACAAATGTATTCAGCCACAGAGAATCAGATTTATCTTAAACGTCTAGTTTAGTTATCTTAAACGTCTAGTTTAGTATAATTAATCTTTTTTCAATCAATATTTCTGTATTTTTTTTAGAAAAACATAGGTCAGAGGAAGCTGCTAAGCAGGGTCAAGTATTATGGAGCGCCTGTCAATCTTTGTTAGGGGCTCTTACGATTGGGTGTCCAGGATTAACTTGGAAAGATCAAATTCGACCATTGGATCCTGAAATTAGAGCTGTAGAAAAAGCTGCAGGTTAGTAACATACACTAGAGTTGCTAGCGTAGGATTTATAATGTCCTGGTAAAGTGACAGTTAATCTAATTCTCTTATTAGAACAAAAATTACAATTTTGAATCTTTTATAGAAATAGAATTTGTTCATCTTGAGAATTATACACTATACAAAGACACTAGGTAAATAATGTAAAATCCTATCAGACTAGTCAAAAAAGTGTTAAGTAAAATACATTAAAAAATTAAATATATATAATAGACAATTCATGTTAAGATTAGTTTAAAAGTTCAAAAAATCTTCTATACTATAAAATACATTATTTACAAGAAAATCATTATGATGTTGTCTTAAATCATTACAACTAATTTGATGATAACCTGTAGTATCTTCTAATATGTTACTGAACTTATTGTAACACTTAATCCTAATATATTTTGGTGAATGCTGGTTGACAGGTTGATGGATGTTAAATTTTAATCTAGTATCATATGAGTGCAGGTCTTTATTTTTCTTAAATATATGCTTATTATCTTTTATGTATAAAATTAGTTGAAAAATAAAAAGGGAAGGTAGTGTTAAAATTTGCGTTTTCTTGAAAAGTTCTTTACATGATGTTGTTGGTGTCACCTTATACATGGCTCTCAGAACCTTCTTTTCAGATACAAAAGCTCTTTCAAAGTATGGTGAAGAACCCCAAAATATTAACTCATATTGTAGAGTAGAATGAACCAAACCAAAATAGCATAGTTTTAAAGTATCAAAAGATAGTGTCTCCCTTAAATTTTTGATGATATAACAACAAGTACTTCATTTTGAAGTTACCATTTTTATATGAGCTTCCCAATTTAATTTGGGATCTAATATTATTCCTAAACATTTTATGTCATCAACGCTTTGAATAGTTTTTCCGTCAACGTGCAAGTAGGGTTCGTAATCTGGTAATATGTTTTTGGGTAGATTTTGCATTAAATTTGTTTTTGTTACATTTAATGCCAGACCGTTATCTTTACAATACTGGTTAAACTCACGAGATGCCTCGTTGCTACTTTGAGTTACCTGTTCAATTTGATCATCTGCCATTACAATAATGGTATCATCGGCATATTGAACTATTTGTTGAGAGCTTAAACAAAAATTATTATATCACTTATAAAAACTATAAAAAGAAGTGGGCCCAAAATTGAACTTTGGGGAACTCCTATTGTACATGGAAGAGGATCAGATTTTAGACTATTTGTTACAATTACTTGAGTTCGATTTATTAAGTAAGGTAGTTTATTTTACTTTTAACTCTAGGACTATTTCTGGAATGAACTATTTCACGAAAGGTACAACTTAAGTACTATGCTTTTTTTTATATTCACGTTAAATGAACATTATGTGAAACATTTTTGCATTTTGTATTTAATGCGTATTTTCATTTTCTTTGATGTAAATTTCTTCTAAAATGATAAATGTTCATTGATTTTTCAAAATATTGATAATTATGTCTTTTTATTCGGTATTCTTCTAGCTTTACACTGCCACTGTCAAAACTTGAGGTTGTTTATTTTACTTTTAACTCTAGGACTATTTCTGGAATGAACTATTTCACGAAAAGTACAACTTAAGTACTATGTTTTTTATATATACACATTAAATGAACATTATGTGACTGTTGTCATTCTACAAATAAGACTTTATTTTTATTTTTAGTTGAAAAAGATGATCTAGTGTCTGCTGTAGTCAATGGCATTCCCAAAGAGGCTCGAGACAGGGGAGTTTACCCAGAAGATGCATTGCGAGAACGGTTTCTTAAAGTTGAAAAAGTCGCAAGAACGGTTGCGCTGATACCTGCAGAGGGCGCGTCACTACCTATTCACTTATTATCCTTCTTGCAATCATTACTGTTGATTAGGGCAGCTAGTCCAATACCACAGGCTGAATTAAATGACGAGAAAGTAGATGTTAGCAAATTAAATACTATTGAAATTTTGCAAAGAGCAAGGTAAGCAGAAGTTCTATTATTAAGGTTACGTTTGCGTTGATACAAGGGTCGTACAAATGCAATTCATTTATTTAACGGGAAAACCTCTTTATAGTAAAATAAGATTTAACCTACATAGACAAAAAATAAATACATTTATTAACGAATCACAGATATCATGTTGTTAAAGCTTTGACCTCAACTTAGCTTTAAATAAGAGCTTAGGGAAGAACCAATAAAATCAAGCATATTGGCTGTTCTTGATAAGCAAGAGACAGGAGTGTGATATTCATAATTTGTGTAATGAAATGGAACAGCCAATAAACTGTGGTTACGAGTGGTCCTATTCTGAAGCTTAATTGAGGAAAAGGGACAGAAGTTCTGAGCAACAAATATCCCCTGACAATAACAAAGTCATTTCATAAATATTCTACGGTTTTCTAATGTTTATAAGTTAAGTGTATTCAAAACTTCCTCATAACTGTAATTGCCAATCTGTAAGTGCATTTTATATTCTGCATATCTCAAAAATGTGTGTTGTATTCGTTCAATTGCTGAGATATGAACTGCGTAATAGGGCGTCCAGACTATAGAAGCATATTGCACAATTACCAAACGTATAGTTTGAAATATAAATATATGAAAATTTATTCGTAATATTAAAGAATCATATTTATTTTGAGCACATGTACTGTATTATGTATGTACTGTACCAAATTATGTATCAGGGGTCGATTCCTTTCCTATGGGAATTTTTAAAATTTTCCTGGAAATTGAAAAATTTAAAAGATTCGAGAATTGACCGCAAGAAGGCCAGACATTGGCTATCTACCAATCGTTCCTTGCTGCACTATATTTCTTAGACGAGAGTTTTAATTTGTATATCGTCCATGTCCAGGTAAAGTATTATCATATGGGCCATTTAAGTAATTTTACAGAAAGCACTTTGTTTAAAAGGTTTTAGAACTTTAGCTATAGAATGAAATGAAAGTGACATAAGCCTACGATATTTTAAGAAGATTATGGTGGATACAAAGCGACAAATGTTGATAATACTGTAGCTTTCGATATTTTAGGATTTGTGGGAGTGTTCGATGGTAAACTTTTAAGTAGAAATTTGATGTTTTATGAATATTGTAGCATATGATATTTTTTGTCGACGTAGCTCATTTAGAAGATTCAGACAACACCAAAATCCCAGTTTCGCAAAAAAATGTCATGATACATTGCCTGGACAGAGACGATATACCAAATTGGCAAATATAAACCCTAATTTAACTTCAGAATACCATTTTGTGGAAATTTGATTTTTTTTTATTTTGATATTGGAGAAAATGTTTTTTTTTATGAAAACTGAGATGTTAGGTTTGCTTTGACAAGCTGTCTTTTAGACCTTACAGATTTATAATTGATTCGGTGAGTTCAAAAACCGTACATGTCCAAAATCAGCCTTCCGAGAAAAACAATAAAAACCTTTTAAAAAATCATTCCTATGTACAGTTTTTCGCCTAATTTCACGAATGTAATCAGCTGTAGTACGTTAACGGATAGATATCTAGTACGGTTTTTAAACTCAATCGATGAAGAGACAAATTTTAAACAAAATGGCTATCTTTAAAATGTCAAATTTAGGACTTGTATGGTTTTCGAATTACTCAATTGTTCATTCTGTTTGTAGGTATTGGTTAGACCGAGGCGATTTTGCACAATCCTTAAAATACATGAACTTACTGACAGGTGCTCCCAGGTGCGTAGCAAGAGAGTGGATGAACGAGACAAGAATATATTTAGAAACTCGACAGGCTGCAAATACATTAATGGCATACGCTACGTCTAGTGGTCTTTCGTGTTTATAAAGTACTGAGTCAACTAGTATAAATTTTATTAATTGCAGTTTGTTTAAAAACCTTTTGTTTATAATGATCAAGTTAATTCCTTTGCATGTGTTGTAAAATATTATTTCCAATTGTCATAAATTTTCAACTTTTTTTAGAATAAAAAATATATTTTAGCAATCTTGTCCATATTTGGTCCGTTATATTTAATATGAAATTAAAATTTTTAAAGTTTTCTGTATTTTTTTTTACCTAGTTTACGTTGTGTGCTGTAAAGTATTGTTACTTTGTGTAATTATTGAGTTAATGATCTCCGAAACTAACGATTTTTGGTAAATGACAATGATTTGTTCATACAAATCAGAAGAAGCTGCATTGAAAATAGTCCCGTTTCTACAATGCCATGGATCGTATGAACTGTCAGAAAAAGATTCCAATGAATTTTCCGAATTGTACATGAATGTTTCAGAGGATTATCGAAACGATCAGTGGTTCATCAGTACAATTTATCTACATATGCTTCTAAAATATCCTTAGTAAACAGTTTATTATTCAAATTATACGCTAATAATCACAATAAAACAAGTTCACACTTAACTCTGTCAATAAAATGTTTAGGTTGCCAAATTTAAACATGAACCATAAAAAAAAGTAAAAATCCTAAATTAATAAAGTCATTGAAATAAATAAGAACATTGATGCTTTCAATTCTTTCTTTTTTTATAATTAATAATAATTAATAGTAGTTTGTGCAACAAGAGGTGATATGGACAATCTACTCGAGTTAATAATAACAATACTCCCTAATTCCCCCCTTACGAGTGAATTTTAACCTCAAAAGCTGAGCTTGTTCGGGGAAAGGGACGGCTATTATTATTTGCTGTGGCGCTACGGGACGACTTAGAGATGATTGATGGGGCCATTTGACTTACAGCCCACACCACACCCACCATCAGTATATTTTTTCTATTACAAACTGTTGGCCCCAACAAAAACCTTTTTAATTAAGCTTTGAAGAATATACCCAAAGTGGAACTGTTTTTTACTTCATTGGGTAAGTCATTGTACTCACCAATCCTTTACCGAAACACATTATTTTGGGTCGATGTTCTGGAAAATTGAACATGAAAATTTAGCCTACCTCTAGAGTTTAGAGAATATTAGTATTCTAGACCAACTTGTCATGAAGATATTTGGGTGATGACCAGTCTTTATTTTATGTATAATAATCATAGCTAAGAACGCAACATACCTATTAACCGAAAGCCAACCTAATGCTCTCAACATTTCTGTTATTGGTGTAAGCCGAGAACATCGCATACGTTTATTTTGTGATTTTGCAATCTATTCATTTCATTTTGTTCATATAAAACTCAAGTATTTTTCCCATATTAAGTGGGTGTAGATCAGAAGCTTTTATAGACTTAGCACTGATACTATTGTTATTTTAGTATCAATGGACACTTTACCTCTTATAAGTTTAAAATTGGAGTTTGCAAATTTCCAAAACACTACTATTAGTACCAAAATGGTACTTTAAATTTTTAAATATCATTATTTCTAGCTTGTCTATAAAATTGCCAATCTTTACAAGTTTTTGTATCTGCATATTGCTTGTAACATTCATCTCTACGCTTAGTTGCTTCACTTACTGTGGCATTCCAACATTCTTGATAATTTATTATCATAGGTAAGATAACTTTTCTCACCAATGAACTTCCTGATGAAGTACTTTTTTGACATTTTTCTTTGTATAGGTATAGGAAAATATCATCATTTGTAGAGTTGATTATTTAATTATCAAATAATTGATGTTTGGCATTCAGAGCTGGGCTAGTTTAATAAATTAATGAAATATGTTAGATGTAGTTAGCAAAATGCGGATTTTTCCCGAGTGTCTCACGTTGGGCACCATTTATGTTGTCGAGTCCTACACCACACTGGGTGGAAATGGAAATTAATCAATCCATAACATTATTGTTATTAAACTATTATTGAATTGAATTTTGCCTTACTGGTATTAAAATACATTTTTTGGTAGAAAATTATCCTAATTTTTTAGAGTAAAACACATCATTTATCTATTTACTTTTTATTAAAAATATATTAAGTATTAGTACAAACTCTTGTCATTAACATAAATTTTAATAAATCACTTATAATAATTAACAATATTTGTATCAATTGGAAAACTACTCTTGCCTTTCAATATACAATTTTGGATTTTCTGAAAAAAAAAAAAGTTAAATTTTTAAGTATTTTAATAGACAAATAGATTTAGGCAACCAGCATTACTATCATGAGAAATCTTAAAATATTGACCCTTATTCAGTTTGTGCTTAAGACCAAAATAAATGAAAATAATTTAGTATTTTAAATGAATCTCTATACATGTTAAATTACGTTTGTTTTGTTAATTAAATGAAGTGTCTGGTACGTTCCAAGATAAAAAAAACCTGATGAGGTGAATCTCAAGTTCATACTTTTTAACTGGGTACAAAAATCAAAAAAATAAACAACTTTTTCAAAAAAACTCAAAAATAAATTTATTCCAAAATGTACATCTAAATATTGTGTAGAACTTTAGTCATTAAAAAATGTTAATCACATTCATCCCGCTGTAAAAACCATTCACAAAACATTTAAAATGTTTTCATCTAAACGCACTTTAGTTTCAATCAATCATACTAAAAATCACTATATACTTTAGATAAACACTCTACCGAAACTAGATACAAATGAATACCAGTATACAATGATTATGATTCATAAGAAAAACCGAAAAAATGACAAAAACAGACCTAATAATTAGCCTAACTTTTAATACACAAGTCCAGCCCCGGATTTAATTTTTTAATTCTGTATTATCATTATTTTTGAAATTTTTTGAAAACGAAGACAACCCAGCGATAATAGAACAATCAAGGTCGTACAGATCGGGGCCCATCTATACAAAATGTATTAGGCATTCACAACGACCTGTCAAACAATAGCTGCCAGTGAGAAAGATTCGTATATCTAAAGGGGTTGCGACATAGCATTTCAACTAAATATCACAGTGATTAGTGATTCATAAGAAAAACAGAAAAAAAAACAAAAAGACTACACAAGTACATGTCCAGATTTAGATTTTTTAATTCTGTATTTTCCTTATTTCTGAGATTTTTAAAATGGAAACAACTCAGTAGTAATGCAACAATCAAGGTCGTAGAACTCAGAGCCCATCTAGACAGAATGTATTTGGCGTTCCCAACGACCTGTCAAATAATTGGGAAGGGCTCATATATCTAAGGGGGTTTAGACAAAGCCTTTCATCTTGCACGTTATTTTTATTCGAAATAGTAGTCGCCAAGCCTGCTAATTTATGAAAAATGTATAAGCATTTTTATTGTGTGCGACATAATATATTATGTAATGCATTATTCATGATTTCACTTATTATAGATAGAATACATCGTATGTCGCAACTTTTTAGACATACCAAAGCTTCCCACCAACAGTTCTTTTTTTTAGAATGCCTAATTGGTAAAAAATTATAAGTTGAATAAATAGGAAGGAGTAGGGTATCCAAATGGTCGCCCATAAGGTTGCATTGTCGCCATGTAAACCCCCAGAGGCGGGAAAGCAGGCTGGAACCATAGCCTGATTGGGGAGCCATTTTGGAATCGAACCCAGATTGGGAGAAGCAGAGGGAGTCTCTGAAAGGGTGGGACAAAATCGTACATGGTAGATTTATGGAAATATGTATAATTATTTGGTATAACCCTGATGCTGAGCAAAGATAGCAAGTCTTTCTTTGTGCCTGACTGATAGGGAGACTAGAGATTCTCCTTTTTATGTTCATGAGATCCCATTTTGTCGGTACTTTATAAATTTTTGGTAAGTTAAAACTTTGTTTGTTATATAAATAAAAATTTCTTTGGTTTTTTCGGTCTTTTTTATTTTAAATTGCTTAACACAGCACTACATATGTTTCGGAAAACTTTTCCATCTTCGAGTGCAGTCATAAATTAATAAAACAAATTAAAAAAATGTTTAAAATATTTTTAAAATAACTAACAGAAATGTTGTCTCACTAACTGCACACAGGTTTATAGTCAAGTTTCAGATTTGATTGAATGATGTTGCCAACTCGGTGCACAAATGTACAACAAAATAATATTTTAGAAATTATTTTAAAAAATCTTACTTTTTTAAACATATCCGTGATGTATTTATCAGCACTTCTCAATTTTTGTAGTCTTAAAACATTCAGTTTCTTTTGTACTTCTGGTAATTTCTTATAGTTTCTTTTCGTAATTTCTCTCATTTGCTGTTCAGTGAATAACTTGTTATTTTGACCTAAAAATTTTTAGAAAAAAATTAGAATAGTATTCAAAATGGGTTAATAATTTTTGCTTACGTTTTATGATGTTATTATTCTCATTTTCTTTTAAAAATTTTAACTTCATGTCATCCTTATGTTGCTCTCGTTCAACCTTATTGTTTAAAACGGCTCGTCTTCTGTATTCCGCAGAGTCAATGAAATCTGGCCGATTTTTCTTTAAGTGTTCCTAAAAAAAACATTTTTATATTTTAAAGTACTCGTAGATGTAATAGTAAAATAGAATTACATAAAATATTTGTTGATTATAAAAAATAATTCAAAATTTTCAAGCATTTTCTTCATTAAACAAAGTGTTGATTAAAAAATGTTTAAATTTTACTTGAAAGCCTAGTTGATTAATAATTTTTGTGGAACCCATGCGAATGGCTCGATATAATATTATGATCTAAAGAAACGATAAAGATTATTATTATTATTATTTTACCTGTAATGTGTAATTTTCATTATTAGTCCTAGTCTTCTTATCTGCACTAATTTCCTTTTTCTCTGAAGAATTAGAACTCATATCAAATCGACATTGACAATTTTCATCGTGATCAATATTTTCAACGTGATCAATATTTTCCTCATTCCCTAATTGTTTTATGCCATTCCTAATATTTTCTTTATCTTTACCGTTTTTACGATTATATGGACACGGCAATTTAACCTAAAAAAAAATTAACACTGATCCTTATTAACAAATTCTAATCATTATACCTTTATTTCCCTTAATTTTGGTTTGTTTTTACTTTTTCTCTTTCTACATCTTTCCGAAAATTCGTCCTCCAAAGTTAAAGTGTAAGCTATGCCGTTTTTGTTTTTGAGAGTTCGCCTTAATTGACTGCGACAATGTGGGCAATATTCGAAGCTCTTATTTTTAGGCCTGGGGCCCTTTGGACACGTACAGTAGGTGTCGGCTCGTTGGATGAAGTCTGTTGCTGTGTGTGATTGGTCTGATGAAGGGCGAGTATGTGACTAAAATAAATATAAACTTTGTAAAGATGATGTATGTAAAATTTTTAATTTCTAAATAATTAAAATAGAGTTATAGTTTAAGTTATGGTAGCACTGACATAAGAGGCCTGCGAACTCGACACAATACTTAACATAAGAATCGCAGTTTGTCGAACTAAGATAGGTGTCTCGACGAAGTGAGGTATCGAAAAATGAGAATCTTACTGATGGTCTTCAAAGTTAAAATGTAGGGCCAGAGTATGTTAACAAATTTCAAGAAAACAGATTAAATAGATGCGATGGAAAACTAAAAAAGACCTTAAAAATATGAAAATTGGCACCTAAAACATAAAAGGCATAGAAACTAAGAACTGGAGGAAGTAAAATATTTTATTATGGATATAATAGCTGTTTAACTAAATTTCAATCTATATGGTGTGACATTAGCCATATAAGAATTTTTTTATAAACAAGTTTGTAAAATATACACATGTATTATATAATGGGACATTTTTGGAGTACCACTAGTAAATTTGAACAATAAACTGTCACTTCTTTCATATAAAATAGGATTTATTTAAAAAGTTAAGATTAGCATAATAGCCATTTTTTAACGGGAGTTCCAGTATTTCATAAAAAAAACAGACTTACTTCTAGATCCGGCCCGACATAACACGTAGACGTTAATATGGGCTTCTTTCCCACACATTCTGAGCACAATGCGTATTCTTCTGTGTTGGTCCGTAACATAGACACCTTGTCATATGGGGCAGTCCTGTTGCACAAGGAACATACCAATACTGGGGTTGCGTCTGCGTCTGTGGTGTTTGTTGACAAAGTACCAGAGGTGGTATCTGAAAGTAAATAAAAATGTTCCTTTTTCTTTTAAATAATGATTGAATTGTCACCTCGGGATTACACGGAAGATTTAGTGAAATTGTTTGATAATGCACATGATTTTGGGGTGGTTTTTCTGAGCCTGAAAAGGGATTGTTTACACTTATTTTAAGGATAATTATAAATATTTAATTTCACGTTAAATACAGCAAAGGAGAATTAAAAATAAACAATGAAACATCTTTAACATAAAAAAAATGGATTCATTATTTATTTATGGGACAAGCAGAGCCAGATACCACAAAATGAATGATATAAACTTTCAAAATCAATATATTCGTATATATTGATTTTAAAACAAAAAAAAGGATTATTTTTGTGTTTTCTTTTGCAGCTAGAGATATTATGAACCTTATTATTTTCGGAGACACCTTGTATAATTATTCAAGAACTTACCATCGTTAGTTGTACTAGGTTCCTTAGGTTGCTCCTTTCCACAACAAATATGATCTTTTTTACAAAATCCACACTTACAAAGGCAATGACACTTCCTAGGCTTATTTGAAGTAGAATTACTGCTACTGGTACTAGTTAGAGAACTTAAACATTGCTTGCATTTACAAGTACAACTTTTCTTGTGATGTTTCTTCTAAAATAATAAAATAAACAGATATATCATGTAGCACTATCAAAACAAAGCAATTTTACATTTATTGTAAAATTTTTACAATTTATTTTTAATAATTATCCAGAAACTATATTATGTAGTGATGAGACTTTATAAAAAGAAATTTTTGGGCTAGTCCGATGGACATTTGTATAACTCTGGTCTTTTTTTTTTATAAAGTCCAGTAAAAAAACTAGGGTTGTTAGATCTGATGACCGAAAAGACTCAGAAACAACACTAACATCAACTCGGGTTGTTGTATATTAGATGACCTGAGGAAATGTCTGTATGAGGTTGCATGTTTCCTTAGACGGTGCAATATAGTGGTTTGTTGTGGAATTTAAACATTTTTGAAACGCGAGGTTAGATTCGAAATCTTATACTCATCTTGACAATTCGGAAATCTCTGACTATGTCAGCGATAGCTTAATTGGAAGTGACTGAGCGTCGAACAGGAATTAGTGATTTCGAATCCTCTCTCGAGCAGAATGTTCCCGAATTTTTCATTAAATTTGTTTTCTTTTTGGAGGTTTAAAAATAATTATCATTATTTCATAGGGGTAATATTGGGATTTGTTTGGGAATTTCGGTACTTTAAAACCGACATTCTCACACAAATTGATTTATCGAGCAATTGCGCACTAATGGGACACCCTGTAGAAAAATAAAAATAGTTGTTGACTCATATCCTGCTTTTTTCTTGCTTAGTCTGGAAACTTTTCATCCCATCCTCGTAATTACTTATTTCAATATTTAGACAACTTATTAATAATCAAAACTGTTTTTTGCAAGGAATTAAAAATAATTACCTTCTTATTACAGGAACATTCTCCAAGCTTACCATTTTTTTCTAAATTCTTTTTGGAACCACATAAACAGAAACACATATCAATAGATTTGACATCTTTTGAAACTTGTAAAGAAAGCGTTTCTTTATCTTTCTGCGGTTTAGATTTTACTGTATTTTTAACCTCAGGTGGTTCATCACAAATACAATCGTCAACTTCAACAGGAGGATCGTAATAAGTTTGCTTGCTAGTTTTCATCTTTTCTTTGTTAGTACCTCTATTACTTAAACACGTATCTGGTGTACATATTGTACTATCAGCTAGAGGAGAATAAGTAGTGCTTTTGTCAATTCCTAGAGGTTTATTAGTGGTACATTGAACTAATGAAATATTTTCTGGTACACATGCAGCGAACTGATCACGCTGAGGAGGTGAATATGTAGTACTTCTATCCATTGGTCTAGCTTTATTATTTTTCTTGCTATTTCTGTCTAGTAAAGCTTGTTCTATTCTAGAGACTAGATCGCTGAGATAATCAGGAGAACATTTATTTTGATCACCTTCGTCTTCTTGACAAGTGCACTGATCTATATTGCTACAAGTGCATTGCTCTGTTTCATACTGATCTACTTTTCCACAAATACATTGATCTTTATCATCACAAGTACACTGACATCTTTTACCACAAATGCACTCGTCTACATTATCACAAGTACATTGTTCTGCTTTGTTTCTTTTAGCGTTATTTATAGATACAGGATTCTTTTTAGGTTTTTTATCAATAAGAATGTTGACTTTGTTAATAGTCTGTAATTTATCAGTTCCATCATTCACTTCTGTATAAGTACTACCAGGTGGAGATTTATTATTTTTTTTATTACTGTGTAATTTATCAGTTGCAACATTGACTTCTGAATAAGCCAAAGCCTGTTCAGCATGATTTTTGTCTGGTTTACAAGCAGTACAAAAAGGTACTGAATTAAAGCAAGTACATTTTTCAACTGGATTTTCTACGTCAGAAGGTTGAATTTGTTCATCCAAATTATCTTTATTGTCTATGATAATGTTGATAGTGTTAATATTCTGCGAATTTTCAGTGCCAACATTCTTGTCTGAATATTGTATATCACTTTCTTTAAATGGAAGTGCTTCACTATTTTGCACCTTTTTAGATTTGCTGTTTTCCTGGGTACTGAAGCATTTTAAAAGTTTACTAACAAAGTCACAATTACATTCCCTCTGTTTATCACATTTACAATTCTTGAAAATTTTTCCTATTGATCCGGATTGATTTTCTTTTGAACTACTAGTTGTATCTAAAATAAAATATATAGTGGCATAAAAAAAACTAATAATATAAATTCCTACTATAAAATTTTTATGAGGTAATTATTCGGCAGAATGTGGTTCACTGTAGTATTATAAAGGATACTTAAAAATAATATCAACATTATTTTAATTTTTAAAAATTTGATACCATAAAATGTGTTAAAATATTTTGATAATGAGAATTAAGTAGGTTTGTTGTCAGGAATTAAGGTAAGTGCATTAGTATTTGACACTGCACTAATAGTTAACACGTTCCCTTTTAAAATGATAAATTAATGTACCTATAGTCTAGAGCAGTGCTCCGCAACCTTTCCTCATCTGAGGCACACCAAACTGCTCCCTAGAATTTCGTGGCACACCAAAATCTAAAATATATTTATAGCAGTGGCGTAGCTAGGTCGGGGGTCAGTTCACTCCATGTATACTAATTATTTATGGATGTCCAAACTACCTTAGTTTTTTTTATTGTTTTAAAATGTGAAGAAGCCCCTTTCAGATTTGGGGCATCAAAATTTTCACTCAGGACATAATACATATTTTTTTTTTTATTTTTTTTTATTATTCAGATAGAATGAAAAATACAAATAGGTACATACATGAGAACTATACTAAATACTAGATAGGACAGGTAGGTATACTAAATTTACTTCTGTTGACACGTAAATAGTAATAAATATTTTGACATGATGATGACTGATTAATGTGATACCTGCGCTTGCTTCGTTGAACACAAAAGTTTTATATTCGGCTCAATTTTAGACAGCGCTACTCTCATTTCTTGGTCAAGATCTTTTAAGCATGACCGTTTATCATTTTTAATTAATACAAGCGTTGAAAAACTTTGCTCACATAAATATGTTGTGGAAAACGGAAGTAGTGTGAAGATGGCCTTGTCGGTGATGCGTGGATATTCTGTCTTGATGGAAATCCAGAAAACATCTAACGGAACTTCGTCGAATTTAAGTTTTAGGGTCATATCATTACTTAATTCTGTGAACTCCTCTCGAGTTTGCAATGGCAGTGCTTCCGTGGAACTTATTGCATTGGTTGCGAAAGGATTTCGAATCCAATTGTATTGTTCCGTGTTGATAGAATGGAAATAGTATTCAAATTTTTGTTGAAGCATACTTAAATGTTGTTGGGCCAAATCCACAATCAACTGCTTGTTTTCGATCGTACTGTGGTTGGTCCTGTGATACATTTCTAGACATCCTTTTTGCAACTGTTCCTGCCAAAGTTCAAGTTTCTTTTTGAACCCTTGTAATTTATCGGAGCACGTCAATATATTTTCATTCCGTCCTTGCATTTTTTTATTAAGTTCATTCAGATGTTCGAATATATCCGCCATGTATGCAAGTTTGGCTATCCAGTATTCATCATGAAGGTGCTGGCATAGATCGTACATATCTTGACTTGAAAGAAACTCACGCACTTCGTAGCGAAGTTCAAACAGTCGAGCTAAAACTTTTCCCCGGGATAACCAACGAACTTCTGTATAAAACAGTAAGGATTCATGTTCGCTTCCCATTTCTTCACAGAGTATTCCAAAGATTCGCGAATTTAAGGCTCTCGATTTAATTATGTTTATGATCTTAATACATTCATTCATTGTGATCGAAAGCTGTTCGGGCAAATTTTTGACCATCAATGCTTCTCGATGTATGCAGCAATGTGTAATTTGTATTGACGGATTTTTTTGTTTTACACAAGATACAAAACCTTTCTTACTGCCCATCATTGCAGCAGCACCATCTGTACAAATAGCAACGCAATTGGTCCACTGAATATTATGTATTTTAAAAAAATTATCAGTTACTTGGAAAATTTGTTCACCGGTAGTTCTCTCTGGAACCTCCTTACAAAATAAATAATGTTCTTTAATAGAGTCCTCGTCAACGAAACGTACAATAGCCATCAGTTGTGCTTTATTTTTAATATCGGTTGATTCGTCGATTTGAAGCGCAAAAATTCCAGCCGAAATGATTTTTTTAATTAGTGTTCCCAAAATATCACTTGACATATCTTGGATACGTCTTTTAACAGTATCGGCCGACAAAGAAACTTTACTCACGTCCTTAACTTCGTTTGGCCCAAGCATAAGTCTAACAATTTCCATGCATGCTGGTTTAATAAGCGTTTCACCGATAGTGTGCGGTTTTTTTTGTTGTGCAATTAATTTTGCAACAAGGTAGCTTGCTTCTAATGCCTTTTCAGAAACCGTAACCGCCGATTTCATAAACTGCTTTTGTTTCTTATTTTGATCCAAGCGCCGTTGGAAAAATTGAATGTCTTTTTTGACGCAACTGGGATGATTTGTGATCAAATGACGGTTTAGTTTGCTGGGTACCATTGCTTCATTTGACAACTGTTCACCGCAAATGACGCATTCAGGCTTTGGAGCCGCTTCGTCGCCACACCAAGTGAAACCATATCGAAGGTAGTCTTGATTGTACTTCCTTTTCAGCACCTTTTTTGCTCTTTTTGCAGCACTTATGCTGGAGCTTGTGCTAGGTTCTTCGTCATCTGCTCGTGATTTCAGCAAAAATTTATCCATATTTGAAGCACTATAGTTATTTATAAAAGTAGATACTGCAACAAAACTTAGTCCAGTTCACTTATTTATAAGGCACAAGAATTTATTTATATAGCAATTCACTATTTATTTCACTCTACGATTTATTTGTTTGCCCGCGTATTTATCTGATTCACTTGACTATTCGACTCTCTCTGAGTCTCTGAGCGACGACAGGCGCGCTTATATAGGCAGTGGCGATGTTCAGGAAAACATCGAGTCGCGCCTCGAACGGCACGGATCTATCTAGTTTAGTCGCCTTCGAGAATCAAGCCGCCGCGCCGCGCCGATAGACGGATAGACGTTTACCATCGGCGCTGTTGTCAGATTGCTTTATTTTTCGCGGGTCTCGCTACAATACGAATCTGATTCGTATTGTCTGCAAGAGCGGCACACCTCAAGTCGGCTTACGGCACACCAGTGTGCCGCGGCACACCGGTTGCGGAGCACTGGTCTAGAGTACGCCTATGGAATGTGACGTTATATCCCTACTTTTATTGCACTCCTATTTTATTCAGACTATAATGATCACACAGACCTATTTCGAAGACTTAATTTCTCAACGTTCAAAGTGCCCCGAGTCAATGGACCCTTCACTACTCCGTCAATCAATGAAATCTTTAATACACTACATACCGTCGATCACGAGATAACGTTGCTCTCTTATCCGCCACTGTATTAAACCGAATCCTTTAATCAAGGACAGACAATCAAAATAGGTGAATTTTAGTCAAGTTTAATTTTTCCGAAAATCTGACCATTACAGTTCAGGTACCCCTGTTTTTTTTAATGTATAGCTATAAAAATAAATACTGCTTTACTATAGTAATGTCTATAAGTAGATGCCAAAGCTGTACGACTGTGCTATTAAGGGATAATTTTATTTCTTTTTAATTTCATTTTATTTCAGAACCTTTTGGCTGGTGACAGTGTTGCCTTAATCCCTTAATTATTAACCTATCAGTTGTTACAAATTGTTCTTTAAACTAATTGGTTGTTACAAAAACAAGATATTTGTACTAATTACTTTGTTACTTCTTGTAGCAAGACACACAATAGAATGAATTATTCACATTTAATAGGTTGAAATTAACTTACTATCACTTAAAGCTAAGTCGCAAAGACAAACTTCCGTTTCCTCCTCTGTTCCATTGGGGCAAGCTATATATCCCTTAACTGGAATTGAATTACATTCAGTTGGTACTTTAGAGGTTTTAGATTCACAATCGCAAGCACGAGGAGAACATTGACAATCAGAATATTTACTGCTTTTAGCTTCTCCATTATCGTTACTACATATGCATGGTGTTTTCTGGCAAATTCCACAAGGACTTCTAGCAGGTCTCAGAGTTCTTCAACAGAGAAATAATATAAAAAAAGGAATATAAATATGGTCAGAATAGCACTTAGTGTTTTTTCATGTATTATTACTAATTTAAGAATTACTAAGTCTTTTTATATTGTTTTGGAAACTGGTAACATAAGGACCTATTCAGAACCAATTACGAAAAGTATATCTTTTGACACATACTGCAATTACAAAACATGTCAATTAAATTGTCAAAATTATAAACAAAAATCGCTGGATTAAGAAAATATATGATGGCGACGATAGGTACAAAAAGTTATGCTACAAATTTAGCTATACACAGAAAAGAAATGTGATTAATGCATTTTTTTTTTTTAAACATTTGGTATATTACAGCTGTTATTGAATTTTTTTTTGTTGCAATAATTGACAAACTCTGTGATAGTTAATTTTGTACCATCCATATTATGAACCAATGTTTTAGTAATTTTTAAACTCTATACCTTTTGTCTGAATACTTGCTACTTGGTCTTGTACTACAGCAAGGTTCCTCATCACAAGGAGATGTGATTTCACGTTTAGTCAAGTTTGCTACTGAATCACATAGACAAGGAACATTATGACACACACTGCATACAGTGTTTACTTTAATATTTGTTGTTTTTTCATCAGAATGCACTTCTATATCTGCAATAACAGGACGAGATTTTTTGTTTAATCCTGATTCTTGATCTTGAATTCTCGGATCACAAACGACATAGTTCTGACCATTTAAACAAAAATTACGTGGCTGAGTACCTAGAAAGAATATTAAAAAGAGTTGATTTTGTTAGTAACATTAATTGAAAAAAAAAAACGTGAATTCGGAATGAAAAAAAGTAAAAATCTGTGTTTTTAGAGGCGCCTAAATGTAAATATTTCACAAACTGTTGATGTAATGACAAAATGATAATTGTTTTTGTTCATGCTCATAAAACTAACCAGTTAAAAATACAAAGCATTTTTAACAGTAATAAATAAAATATACACATGACATTGTTTGCCACAAACGCAGAGTCTGCTTTTTTTTCCTTGCATGAAAGTGATAATGTCATTTCTAAAAATAGAATTCAACTACATCTAGGTATAAAATGTTTTAAATAAACATTGTGAGTTCTTAATGTTCGCGGATGACCTACTTTACTCATCTAACGTGCAGGTACCTTAAATGGTGCGACCATAATAACATACAGTTGAATGTCAATAAATGTTGCTTTATAAGTTTTTTTAAAGGGAACAAAAAGTGCAACTCACAATATTACATTAGTAATAAGCCACTATCTCGGGTTAACTCAGTGAACAATTAAGATTTATTGAACATATAAATTCAATTTCAATAAAATCATCCCAATATTTAGGGTTAATATTGCGTAACTATTCTGATTTCTCTCTAGAAGCCATAAAAAGAGTTTATTAAACATTTATTGTACCTAACTTATTTCCTAGTATACCTCCTAACGAAACAGTTAAGCTAGTAGAAAACTTATTAGATCTTAATCAAGTCAATATTATAATCAAAGAAGAAATCCTAAATTTGTTAAACATTTGCCTAAAACAAAATTATTTTTAATTTCAAAATAACATCTACTCAGCAAATGAAGGTCTTATTATGGGAAACCCATTAAGCCGGTTGCTTGCAGAATTATTTATGGATAATATAGAACATAAAATTCATAGCAATAATTTAAGTAAACATTGTCTTTATTGGCATAGATATGTTGACGATATACTGACTGCTTTTACTGGTACTAGTAGACAGTTAAATTGATTAGTTTTTATCAATACTATACACCCTAATATTAAATTTACTATGGAAGCAGAGAAGGATAATTAAATTAATTTTTTAGACTTAAATATTATTAAAATTAATAAAGGCCATAGTTTTAGGATATTTCATAAGCCATCACATACTGATATTACAATAAATAATAGTTCATCTCATCCATACAAAAGCTGGCAGCATACAACAGTATGATCCATAGATTAGTTAATATCCCCCTTACCAAAGAGAACTTCACAAAAGAATTAAATATCATTAAACAAATCGCAGTAAACAATAATTTTAATTCAAAGATAGTAGACAACATTTTAGGGAAAAAACTTTTTAAACATGCTATTCAACAAGTTTATCCCATAATTAAAGATCAAAATTGCAGATATAAGACTCTTACATATATAGGAGCTCCTAGTGAAAAGGTATCATCATATTTAAAAAACCAAAATATTAACATAGCTTTCAAAACTAATAATACGCTTGGAAAGTATATTAAAAACAATAAGGGTAAAATTAATCCTAATAATAAATCGGGGGTATATAAATTAAATTGTGGTAGTTGTCCAAAATTGTATATTGGTCAAACAGGCCGTACTTTCAAAAAGCGCTATTCCGAACATTATAATAGCTATACAAAAAACAAATATAATTCTACTTACTCAAATCATATTTTAGTTGAAAATCATTCTTTTACAGACAACTTTGAAATTTCACATATAGAAAATAAGGGCATTCAACTAAACCATTTAGAAACACTTGAAATAAATAGATTTAAAAATTCAGATAACCTACTAAATGATCATTTAGATATTAATAACTCACCTTTATTAAATCTCTTTCCTAGTTTTCTGTGAGATAATCCTGGTAATAATACTATCTTATTGTTATCTGATTGATATCATAATTACTTAAGTTCCCTTATTTACTTTAAATAGTCAGTTTATTTTGTTATGTTATTGATGTATTTTCTTAATTACTTTGTTTGGTTAAATTACTTCCCATATATATTGCACACCAAATTGTAAATTATAGTATGAGAGCCCACTGCAAATTTCGACCGTCATCCGATAACGAAATGAAATATGCTCCAAAGCCTCCAAAGGCATGTAACAACATTGTACTTTACCAAATTGCACCTGTGCCAGTCCCTATCCTGAGCAAAGTGGTTCAAAAAAATTATTTTATATTCAAAAAATCACATAAGACAACAGCGACAATTGTGTTTTCCCTGAAAATTACAATCCTAATTCATTGTGAACCTAGCTTTAAAACCTAAATTATTAATCTTTTTACCTACCTTTTAAACCATGTTTATGTATGAAAGAAAGAAGGATAGCATTGTACAAACCATTTGCAGAGATAGTCAATAATAATTATAAACTCTTGTTAGACAATTATTTTAAGGAGGTCCTTTCGCCACCCCTTTCGCCACCAATGTTAAATAAAAAATATTAGATTATGACTAAAATTTATTTATTTCTAATAGTTGAAGTCCTTATTTATCTAATAGTGAACTTTTAACTATACCTTAACATGCAAATTTTTGAGAATTTTTTTTTTAAAAATGTGAGTATTTGTACAGTGTCTTACGAGAAAGTAAGACTTTAACAACAATTTTCGAATTATACTATTATTTATTTTTGAAAGAGTAAAACCAAATTTGGTAGATTTTCACACTTTTATTTTAAAAATAAAAATTTTTAAAAAAACACTAACATGACATATGTTTCGAAGTACAACTTCTTTTTCAAATGTGACTATTTACAATTCGGTATCCAATATATATACGAAATAATTTAACAAAACAAAGTACTTAAGAAAACATCAATAACATTACAAAATAAACTAACTATTTAAAGTAAATAAGGGTACTTAGGTAATTATAATATCCATCAAATAACAATAAGATAGCCCGTTACCGGGATTATCTTACAGAAAACTGGGAAAGAGATTTAATAAGGGTGAATTATTAATATCTAATTGATCATTTAGTAAGTTATCTGAATTTTTAAATCTATTTATTTCAAGTGTTTCTAAATGGTTTGATTTAAGGCTCTTATTTTCTACATGTAAAATTTCAAAGTTGTCTGTAAAAGAATGATTTTCAGCTAAAATATGATTTGAGTAAGTAGAATTATTTTTGTTTTTTGTAATGGGCTATCTTATTGTTATTTGATGGATATTATAATTACCTAAGTACCCTTATTTACTTTAAATAGTTAGTTTATTTTGTAATGTTATTGATGTTTTCTTAAGTACTTTGTTTTGTTAAATTATTTCGTATATATATATTGGATACCGAATTGTAAATAGTCACATTTGAAAAAGAAGTTGTACTTCGAAACATATGTCATGTTAGTGTTTATATAGTTTACCATGGAATTTATTGAGAAATTAATATAAAAAAAAAAAAATTTCAAGTAACCTAGTTGAAAATTTTTTGTGATTTTTTAATATTAATTTCTCAATAAATTCCACGGTGACCTATATATTTTATTGTAAAAAACAAAACCTAAACATTTCAAAAACCTTATTTTTAGTTTTTTTCTACTCCATCTAATCAATAAATAATAGTATAATTCGACAATTGTTGTTAAAGTCTTACTTTCTCGTAAGACACTGTACAAATACTCACATTTTTAAAAAAAAATTCTCAAAAATTTGCACGGTAAGGTATAGTTAAAAGTTCACTATTAGATAAATAAGGACTTCAACTATTAGAAAAAAATTAATTTTAGTCATAATCTAATATTTTTTATTTAACATTGGTGGTGAAAGGACCTCCTTAAACCATTATCATAGTAGTTGTTTTGTCGTTTCTATGGCAACCTGTAAAAATGAATCACAATAGGCATGCAAATAAATTGTTAAATCAGCAAACATTGATTCATATTTTTAATGATTTTTACCTACTAATCTTGGATAGAAGTTTTTGTGCGATGTTAAGAGGAAGAAAATATTCCCCTTTAACTTTACATATCAAGATATATTTGAATGTTATTTTTTGGAAAACTTTAAGGGCAAACAAAATTAGCACTGTTAATGCCTTATTTGATTTTTTTAATATAAAATAATTTTTTTAAGCCACTTTGCTCAGGATTGGGATTGGCACAGGTATTTGGTGTTTTTCCATGCTTTTGGGGTATATTTCATTTCGTTATCAGATGACAGTAAAAATTTGCAGTGGGCTCTTGGGCTATTAGTCACATTTGAAAAAGAAGTTGTACTTCGAAACATGTCATGTGTAATGTTTTTAATTTTTTAATTTTAATTTTTTTACAATAAAAGTTTTGTGAAAATCTACCAAATTTGGTTTTACTCATTTAAGATATGTTATAAATGTTTGTAAATTTCAATTTTAGATTTTTATATTATTATATTTACTTAGGTACATTTTATTATATATATATTTAGTTTTAATTGCAATTTGAGGAGCCATAAAATGTAATATTTTCTCAGGTAAATAAAGATATTGTATTGTATTAAGTTGTTCTTAATTTTAAGTTACATTTAATACACTTACCTTTGACTCCTAGATTAGTTTCAATTACATAATTTCTTCTGGGAACACTATTGCTTCCAGATACCATATAAACAGAAGTAGTCTTCTTTATATTTTCTCCAATTTCAAATAAATTTTTTGGTTTCTCCAAAAGAGACTTAAGCTTTCCTAAATGATTAATCTCTCTATCTATCCAGTTAAGTTGATATTGCCTTTCTTTGTCAGCAAAATTTATTATTAAATGGTCTCCATCTCCAACAGATTTACTATTTTCAAATATTAATTCGGAATTGGTTTCTAATTTTTTCCAGTTTTCATATGATTTTGGGGTGGAAGAAGATAAATAATTTTCTGTAGGACTAATTTTATCACCACAATGCTCTGAAATTTTTGTAGTAAGAGTAAAAGGTCCCTTTTTTGTTTCTTTAAAATCTTCTTGTTCATTATTTTCAATATTAAATAGTTCTTTGGTTGAGACAGTTCCAGTTTGAATTTTATTCTTTCTTGGACTAGATAAGCTTGATGATTTAGATTGCACATCTTTTGATAATGTAGCTTTAGATGAATCCTTTGGCATAATTTGTTTTTTGGTAAATTCAGTTTTCCTTTTGCTTGGTGAGGTCTTTTGATCTTCATGTGATTGATAAGATGATGAAGATTCTTCATTTTTAAAGAAAGAATGTTTGATTTGATCTTTTAGAACTTTAGATGGATCTGTTTTAGGGTAAAATAATTCTGAACTTGTGCTTGAATCTTCTAGATATCTAGATTCAATTATTTTTTGTAAAATTTTTTTGGTATACTTTTTTTTGGTAGCTGGGTCATATTTTTTAGACTTTAGCAACTTCTGTAAGACATAAATATTTTTTTCTATGTCGCCTGAATTTTTAGATGACTGAGGTACTTGATTATTATCTTTGTTAATGGGTTCATTTGAATTATCTTTCCCCTTATTCTCAATGTATTCAAAACTATCACAATTTGAAGCTATACAATTTGAGCTCGATGATTTTCCTGTGTCTGTATTGGTTTTTTCAGTATCTTTTGTTATGATTTTCTGTGATTTATCTTTAATTTGAGTACTTGCTTCTGTTTGTATTCCAATTGTTAATTGTTTTGTAGTAATTGTTTTTGATACACAGTCAACAAGTAGTGGCTTTGTAAGACATAAATTTACAACTTTTTTGGCTAAATTAGATGACTGTTCTTCAGTGGTTAGTTTTTTTGTACAATGTTCCATTGTTTCTAACCTTTTCAAAGATGGTGGGTCAATGATTTTTGGTTCATTTAAATTTTTTACAGGTTTTTCACGTTTTGGAATAAATGGTGTATTAGATAATCTTTCAATAGAATTTAACTTTAATTCAGCCTCATAGGGAGTTGAATGAGCATCTGGTAATCCAATTTTTGTTTTTAAGTAATCCAGAGTTTGTTTAAAACTTGAAACTTTTTCTTCACAGCTAGAATCAGAAGTAGTAAAATGTTTCTGAGCAGCACTACTTAAAGTAGTACTTGTAGGCGTAGGATCTTTTTTGGAAGGCGGTGAATATGAGGAGGAAGTATAATTAATATGTGCGTCATTGCTTTTATCCTCTGAACTGCTTGAATATGGATAGATTATTACTTTTACATTGCTACCATCTCCACCAACACTTTTTAAATGCTTTGAGCCTGTCGACTCATAATTGCTACTTAACTGTGATATAACTGGCAATGATGAACTACGATGAATTAAAGTGGCATTGTAATATCCAATATCTGCCAAATTATCCCATTCTAGTTTTTTATTTGACCCTATTGAACCTGTGGGCGATAACTCCAACTCATCTGCAATTTGCAATGTTTTCTGTTCATCTTCAGTAGTAATTACAACATTTATATTTGCATTCTTATTTGATTTCTCTTCATCTGCAATTTCTGGCAAATACGCTATAGATGTTCCTGAGAAGTATTTGGGTAATTTTTTATTTTGCGAGTACTTTTTATAATATTCTAAAATATATTTTGTTGATGAGTCCTCATCGTTTTTATTATCTTTCGGGTCTGGTTCCATTTTATAAATTAATTCGTACAATTAAAATTATGAAACATGTCTTTTCATGGATTTTCCCAAACTTAAAAAAATCATAATACTAAAATTTTGACAATCAATAATAAAACAATTAGGCCAAGGTTATAATAATATCGAAATCCACAAATTAAAAGTACAGTACCTGATACAGAAATGTAAAATCAATTATTTTCGAAATTCAAAAACAAAAACAATAAACAAATTCAAAACGGTCATTGTGTCAAATGTGACACAGAACAATGTGATTTGTCAATTGTCATCCGTCTAATACATTTTTTGACGACGCACTGTAAATGAATTAAGCACGCGAGTCAGACGTCATTATCCTAGGTCAAATTTTGACCCACCCTATTTGGACCTCAATGTCGCTAAAGGGGCTCACTTTTTTTCATAAATAAATGTGCGCTACTGAAAAAAATATTCTTTGCTTCTATAAAATATAAACTTAATCGAAAAACGTTAAGCCGACCCCATGCGTTTTAGAATATTAACTAAATTTATCTATTTTTTCAAATAAACGATCTCTGCTTAGAAAATATGTTAAAAAAATTTAAAGGATCCAACTATACAAGGTGCTATTAAATTTCATGTGCACCATTAAAACAAAAGTGGCACCCACTATACAAAAAGTACTTTTAAATTTCTTTTTTTTTTTTAATTAATATTTTATTTCACTGCTTAACAAATAAATTAAAACTATAATAAATAGTTTTATTAATAACAAAAGAATTGGTGCGAGTAGTATTTTAATAGTAAACTTTGTAGGACAAAATAATATTAGAAATTATAAGTTGAAATATATTTTTTCTTCAGTCTTGGTCGCATTTTGCTAAAAAATCTTCAGTACCATCATCACAGTAGCCCTGAAAGTTTTCGTCAATGTCCTTCATCTTGTCCTCGATCGAACGCAACCTCTTAAGTTCTCCACGTATTTTCTCAACTTGATCAGTCTTCCAAATTCTTAAAACATTAATTGCTTTCTCCTTTGATTTAGAATCTAAAAGAAAATAATAATAAATAAAAATTATTTAATAATAATAATAATAATAATTTTTTTAATTAAATCTCAAAATCATCATAAAACAACAATCTAGTTAGTTAAACTTTAGAGTGGAGAATACTACACATTTCTTCTTTACCAAATAACTCACCAAGTTTCTCGATAGATTTAACCCCAGCAGCCTCTTTAAGTTTTTCTAACTCTTCTTCGCATTCAACGGCACTTAATGTAAATCCTGGTACGTCTGATGCAGCTGCTTGATGTCTATTCAGAATTTCCGAATAGTTTAACGAAAATGGAATGTCTTGGGTTACCAAAGTACTAAAAATAAATATTTTAACCTTCAATTTTTCAAATAAAACTAAATAAATTTAACTCATTAATTTGTATCTGCTATATTTTCTTTATACCTCGACCCTAAGGCTCCTCCACCGTAATGTACCGACTCATCTAACTGATTCGCGGAGTTTATTTCTTGTTGCAGGTCAGCATAGTCCTTTACTAAAATTTCTTCAATTGCATCGATGCAAATTTTTACATCTTCAGTGTAGTCTCCGTTTGGATCCTGTATGGTCTTTAGAAAAGCCAAAGCCCATTGCAGTTGATTTATACCTATATGTATAATAATAACAATTTAACAATGAGTTATATTAATCAATAGTAAATTATTAATTGTTCATTATTTTATTTTACTGAAATCCGCCTAGAGGCAAAATGTTAATTTTGACCGCGTTTCAATTTGTCTTTCAGTATTTCTCTGGAAATTGTTGTATAATATTGTAACGATAGTTTAATTTATTTACAGTTTATTTATTTATTTATTTATAACACTTTATAACATACTAATTAATTTATATAATACTGAGATACTATTGTCAGGCTTTGTATAAATTTGTTTTAAAATGTAATCATGTGCAAGGTAATTATTTAAATAATTATTAAATATAAATAAAATAATATAAACTAAAAAGAAGAATTTATAAAAGGTAATTGGAGGTCAGATTGGGATTCTCCGCGTGGCTAGGCCGCAAGTTGATCGCGAGGGATTAGAGCCTGTTTTTTGTATTAAATCGCGGTATTGACTTTAGTCAAAAGTTGTGACGTGTACCCCAAAATTGGAATTGGTAAGTTAATTTGTTTTTAAGATATTTATTATAGTGTTAGCCCGTATTTGTGTATGTCCAGTTGCGACATTGTTCTGTGTAATTATTGTGTAAATATTTATATCATTATATTCGTTTTGAGAACACTGTGTTTTCTTCAGCCATTAGATTAGGTTCTGATATCAAGAGTAGAACCCTTATACAGTTAAGGGCTACGAGGTCAAGTCTAGTAATTTAGTGCTCACACTATTTAGACCCTTATAGTCTAACCCCCTGGGACATAGATAGTCCCAAAATTATTTAAAACACATATACCGTGACACTATTATAACTCAAAATTATAATTTATTTATTAAAATTTATCTTTTCTGTCCAACACTTCATTTGAATCTTCTTCCTATCGACAGAGTCACGGCGATTTATATAAAGCCAGCTCTGTATCAGAACATTCTAGGCCACCTAGAAGCTTCGTGAAGTCCCTCCTTATGACTCACAAGCCACACCGCGATCATTCTGGCAGTTTTGAGAAGCGGTGCGTTTGTCTCGTCTCTATATGGTCAGCGCTAGACTTCATACCGCGGGCAAGGAGTCACATTATTTTATGATAACGAAATAAAAACATCTATAGAAATGATTGATACAAACCGTTTTAAAGTGGACAACAATGATTGCAGAATATTTTCCGAAATGTCCACTTTCTGCAATGATCAATTCAAGTAAGTAGACTTAATAATATTTTCTCATTCTTTTAAAAATTTGTAGAGAATTTCGAATTGTCTCGAATGCTTCAGGTATTTGTTGTGTTTTATGTGATTTTTTTGTATATGAAATAAATTGTCTGGGGCCAGGCGCGTCATAAAATTTGCGCTGTGCCAGTAAATTATCTTAGGTCAAATCGTGGCACATTTGGTTATTAACTGACGGAAGTTTGTCGAGAATATTGGCTTCAAAAGAGATGTGCCTAGCATTTGGCTGAGGAAAAGAGGTGGCATTGGTACTTTTTTGAGTTCTATTAATCAATGGGTATCCGATGACATAATTTTTATGTCGTTATCAAATAGCGTAATTTCTAGCTAATTATGGCACCGAGGTGCAATTATTTTAATCACTTTGTTTATAATAGTGATTGGCACAGGTGCCGTTTGGTAAAGTACAATGGTTTTGCATGCCTTCCGTTTGTTTCGTTATCTGATGACGGTCGAAATTTGCTCTTGGGCTCTAAATAAAAATCAGTATGATTTAAATCGGGCGACTGCGGTGCCTCAAGTTATTGTAACATCAGTATCTCTACAAATACATCGACTAGGAAATTGTTGGTGTAAAAATATTTTGCCGGAGTTGTAGTTGCAAATCAACATCTTCCAAAAGTTCTCAGCACCTTCTAATCTCTAGGTAAAAAGGTGTTCCAACATATGATTGCTCAATATCACTGTACAAACGTTAACTGAAAAACGATTTTCTTTTTCTAACTTTGACATGTTAGGTTCTTTCGTTCGTCCTACTGGTGTAGGAATGTACTACACCAACGGACACTATAGGTTCTTCCGTTCGCTGTTGGTGCAGTGCCCACCAGTGTAAATTACACCAGTTACACCACCTTATTTACCATAGTTTACTTTCTTCTTATTCCTTATACACATGTCGAGTGTAATCCACACCTGCTGGTGGAGAAAATATTCACCAATGGACACCACATCGCCGCAGGAAGGTGTAGTGGATTTTACACCGGACCAAACAAAAGGTTTGGGACGAACGTAAAAACCTTATACCTTTCGTTTGGCCCGGTGTAAAATCCACTACACCTTCCTGTCGGCGATGTGGTGTCCACTGGTGGATATTTTCTCCACTACCTATTTTGCAGGAGTGAATTACACTCGACATGTGTATCAAGAATCAGGAGGAAGTAAACTAGGTTAATAAAGGTGGTGTAACTTGTAACTTACACTGGTGGACACTACACCAACAGAGAACGAAAGAACCTTAGGTAAATAAGATGGTGTAATTTACACTGGTGCACACTGCACCAACAGCGAATGAAAAAACCTCTTGTATCTTAAAATCGATGCATTTTAGAAATAGTTGTATTTATAGGATTTTTTTTATTTATATATCATATTTTTACGTGTACTATCTTCCCTATAAGTTTGTTGCACTAATTTAAGGACACATTTAAAAAGACTTTACCTAAAGGACAGTCGTAAGTATTTTGTGCAAAAAGAAGCCATACAACTGCAATAGTATGATCCAGTAATATATGAAAAGGTGGACTTCTCGCTGTGAGGTTGGCAATTTTAATAGGAATACTGGTACCAGGAACTCTAAAAAATATAGTTAGGTTTTATATACCTCAGTAATTTAGTGCCATTAAATAAAATAAACCCAACACTGTATAGATTAGGCACACGAAAAACAATTTATGAGGGAATAAGAATATTGAAAATTCATTGTCATCAATGAAATTCTGAGCAGTAAATAAAATTAAAATCAAATTATCAACCGGTTGTAAGAACTAGTGATGGGCAGTCCTGATCTTTTTAAAGATCTGGGTCAACAAATCTGGCTCAGTTGAAAGATCCGGATCTTGGTTCAGTTGAATCTTTAAATATTGTATATTAGTTCATCAGCCCCATTCGTTGACATAATTTATAGTAACATAAAATATGTTCCAAGCTGAAAATTGACTAGGTAACTAAACCTGTATTAATATTTGAAATGTTTTTTACATACTATTTACATTTTTGTTTGTTTCTGCATCTATAAAAGTGATTTTTAAATGATTTCAATAGTTCCCTTTAGAGACAACTAAAAACAATTACAAACAAAATATCTACTAAATAAGAAGTATATTCAAGACGAAAATTGCACAATAAATTATTGATATTCCCTACTGCTGACTGATTCTAGATTCAATTTTGTCAATAAATAGTAATTGAATCTCAGATCCGTGATCCGCACTGTCAACGCTTTCTAAAGATCCGGCTCACTAAATCGGATTGGATCCGATTTGCCCATCACTAGCAAGAACGTTCATTAACATTTACAAGCCTGATAAACTTTGACAGTTGTTCAGATTGTGAGTAATTTGAAATTCTTGTCTTTTAGAAAGGTCACATTCTCAAGCTGTGTTAAAGTTTATGAGGAGCATATATTTTAATGTACCTATTTTTTTGGAAATGGCTGACTGTTTTAGTAGGGTTAAAAAAAACATCGAAAGCGTTTGTTGATCCAATATTCAAGTTATATTAACTCAAACTAGGCTATTTCAAACTTTTTATTTGGCTCTGCTCATAAGGTTGTTTAAAGTCAACGAGAGAAATATGTTTTTAAAGTAAAATTCAAGTATGTCGGAACGGATAATTGTTCTTCTTTTAAAGTGTCAGTTTAGATTTAATTCAGTGCCATGCGTAGTTATTACGGACATGACTCGTATCTCTGTCTTTGTCAGTCAGCTTACGTAAAAAACGTATTTAATAAAATTATGTGTTAAATGACTTAGTTTTCATTCCTTGTATGGAAATGAGGGGAGGGATTTAGGAGTTACAATAACCTTCTCCAGAAATGATAATGATAATGTTTTAAAAAATTGGCTAAAAAAAAACCAAGAAAACTTGATATAAATCTAAAATAAAATTTAATTTCTAAATATTTCATTGTATTGTATACAGTTTAAGTGTTTAATAAATGTCTACTTTCTTATTAAACGTTATAAAAAATGTCATACTAAAAATAATTTATAAAATATCTGGGTACGCCGCTGATAAAATTACGACATCTGTGAAAAATGGATGATTTACTCTTTTTTATTTAACGTCGATCTATTTCTAATTACGACGATTAAACACAGACGCTAAATACCAGAAATGGTGTCCCAACCAGAGGTAGTGATATTTAACGAGCCCAAACATCCATGGACTCGGAACCGACAACTTTACATCTCCTCCGAAAGATGGCCCACCACACCTATACCTCGTACTCATTGATATAACACCTTGAGTGGTTATGGTATTCAAGATATCGATACACGATAGTGAAACCACTAAGCTGAGCCACTGCCCTATAACTCTACTTAATACGATTACTAACCTGAAAATATAGGGCATTGGATTATAATTTTTTGATTCATGTGGTAAAACTGGTAGTCTGATCGCTAAATTATCTTCTTTCCTGGCAGCTAAGGATTTTGCAGGCTTTACTAGGACTCTTTGAATACTAGAGAATAATGGAGGTTATTAGAAATTTAGGATTTAAATGCCATAATTATACCTAATTTGAGTAAATATTTAATAGAGTAAAATATCCATATTTCAAATAATTTTTTATAAATATAATTTTTTATAAAGTAAATAATTATCAACAAAACAATAATATTGGATAGGGTTAAACATTCTAATTTTTCAAAATGTTTATTACATTGTAATTATTAACAAAAGAAAAGTTTTTCATTAAAAAAATTAAAGAACACACAATTAATTTTTCTCATCTATTATTGGCAGCATTAAATTTTGCAAAAACGCAAATATCCGAAATATAAACAAGTTAATAAAAAAAAATTGCTTACCTAAATTTATCCGCAGAAAGTCGTGCTGGACATTCATCTGTAAATAATTATAAATGGTGTTTTCTAAATACGTTGAGATGTTTCAAGGTGTCATTCCACAATAAATTTTAAGTTGAAAATATCAAACAAAGGTGTATCCTGTACTAACTCTGAAGAAGGCATCCAAAGTTAATGTTTGATTATTAGTACCAAAGTTTGTGCATACATGCTTTTTTAATAACTGATTCATATTTTTCTAGATGCCAATATTAATTCAACAATCAATACACTGTATTTGTACGGACGGAGCGAGGATACGAAATTTTACGAAGATACTTTTTTATCAATGAATAAATGTGTAAACCGCTGTGCACTTATAATAGACAACGTAAATATCCATGCCGGTGTAAGCCCTGTTGCCACTTCCAACCTAACTTTACTAGGTTTTGGAATTTATTGAAAATTATTACATCTAATTTAGTGAAATTACATCTAATTTAGTGAAATTACATCTAATTTAGTGAAATTACATCTAATTTAGTGAAATTACATCTAATTTAGTTAAATTTGATATGACTAATAATTCAAAATTTTTTGGATTCAGTTGCAATAAAATAGGTTGAATTATTTTAGCTTTTTTAATATATGTAAATAATTTTGTAAACAAAACGAGAATAATGAAATAGGCATATGACAATAGCGGATATTATACCCTCCTGTGTCCCTTAGAATATGCCTCATTCAGGACTGCACGATATTTGTTAGTAGTTACATTTCCTGTTATCTTTGATAAGAACTTAAACATTGTCGCTGCCATTACGTTTTTCATGGGCTAGGTGTAGGCTATTTGCCTTTGCCCTCACTCTAGTGGCGCCCATGGCCTTAGATAATAGAGAGGCACCATTGATTTTTTTTAAAATATTGAAGTATCTTATTTTTAAACTTTGACGTTATAGGAAAAATAAAAAGTAATATTACGAAACCAAAAAACCGACACCGCTAATAATACTAAAAATAATAAATCTTAAGAAAAGACAACCCAATTACTCCAAGGTAACGTTAAAACTTAAACTGAAAATAAAATAGATGTAAAAAAAACAATGTAAGAGGAAAAAATCAATTAAATAAATAACATCACTGAAGAAGGCACTAATCAATGCTGAAATCTCTAAACCAAAGACAAATGATTTTCATTTAAAGTATACGCTGTCTGGGTAAACGCTAAAGTGTACAAAAATCAAAAAATTATATACATGCGAAACGTCATATTGCTGTGGTGAGAGGTGATTGTGTGAATACGTCTTGTTTGTTTTCATTTACGCCGTGACTAGCAGTAGTATTTTATAAACCTTAGAAGCAAATTTCACATACATGAACTAATAATAATAATGCCGTGACAACAAGAAAACGAAGCAACGATGTCTCGTAGGGTGGCGGCGAAGCCGCCATCAGAACATTTCAATCCATACCTGGCTACGCCGACCGGCATAAACACCAACGGCCTAGACACAGCTCACCTACTCTGTCAAGACGTTTCACGTGTATATAACTTTTTGAATTGCGTACAAGTTAGGGTGTACCTAGACACTGTGTAAAGTATAACCATACAAATACAATCTACAGGCACCTACAACCCAAGAACCTAGCAAAAAAAGTTATAAATTAAGGTGCAAGAATTAAAGCAAAAGAAATCAGATACGTCCTTTGTAAAGTACTAATATCTGATCAACTTTTCTTAAAAACAATTTTCGATATTTTTAAAAATAAAATGTACTTAATCTTGAATAAAATTAATATTTTTCGATAAATCTGGTACATGGCTGAAACAATTTGATATCTAATGACTGTATTTTGCGTTTTTTTAGATCATGCAGAATGTTTTTTTGAAGAATAAATGTTTTCATAAATTATTAATAAAAATGTTTTCCACATGGTGTTGACTTACTGTAAGATGCTCATGATTTATTGAAATTTAAACAAAATACTTACAGTAGGTAGGTACCTTAAATGTTCCTATCATAATCCCTAGATACATTGCTGAATAATTTTGAAACATCCTGTATATATTCTATTTTTTCATTATCTCTTGGCCATAATAATGTTTTAACTTTCTAAAACTGTTAAACATGTTAACATCAATTTAACAAGTAGATAGGTAGGTACGCCTTATACCGACTTAAACAGATAAGTTTGAATATAGTTTATTTCTACATTACCTTCAGTCATTGTAAGTAAACTAAACAAAAATTTAGTAATTCAATTTAGAACTATTTGCTGATTTTGACAAATATATAAAATTAACTTAATGTCATAATTTATTCTTAACTGTCATTTAATTAATGGTAGAGGAGCCAGCGACACTTTTTGGTACACATTTGTGTAAGGCTTGATGGTATAGTACCTAAAGTTATGCTTTCAGTTCACATACTTCGATTTTCTCTTACTATACGGAGAATGGTCGCACTGCGCAGATTTCTGAGTGCCTTTTAAAAGGAGATAGAAAACTCCGCCATTTTGAACACTTATTACGTGTTGCCTACATCTTGGCGCAATAGTTTTAGTAGTATGTTATAATATTTACCCAAAGTCAGACCTCAAAGATATTATTTACAAACCTGCACTTTACAAAACCATTAACAAATAATGAATATCTTGAAAACCTTGCTCTACTTGGTAATTTTATGTTAAATCTATCCATTTGTAAGTAACAATAACTACTTTAATTTTGTTCCTATTGTTGTATTCTAAATGCTTTTTATTTTTCAGGTCTCCTAGGAATTTCGAGCACTTAACTTGAACTATGTTTACAAATTATTAATCAAATTGTTTAGAAATTATTTTTAGCTAAACTCTGTTATGTCTGTTCTCAGCATTTTGAGGAAAATTCTTGTTGCTCTTATGTAAAAAGGTATGTTATCAATCATGAAACAATTCTTTGTAGAAGGCAAATGCCAAGAAAATTGAAGCTTTTACTTCAATAGATAGGAGCAGTATTAAAATCAAACGAAATAATATAAATAAACATGTAAGTAATATTGTTTACTTTTTGGAACATTTATATTATGTTTTTATTATTTCAGGTTTACTACCTTTGGCTCATCTACACACCTGAAAGTAGAAGTAGCCCACAGCCTCACTAAGAAAATAGCCCCCTCTGCTAAATAGTTTATCTGGAACAGTTAGAAAATGACCTGTAATATTTAATTTTTTTAACTTGGTACAGTAAACTGTGTAACAATTTCGGATAAATGGAAATTTCTGAAAAGCAAAAGTATCACTGATCCAGGTACATTGATTTTGTATGTTAGACATACACAGGAATCATAAAAGTAACAAAAACGTCTTTTAGAGCCACCTATGTCGACATCCCTCTTACAATATTAAGTCGACGGACTAAGAAAAGCATAGCTAGACCATCGATTGCAATAGAAGCAGAAAGTAGGGAAATATGCAAGAGTTTTGAAAATTTACACTGACAATCTAATGTTAATACAATTAACAAACTTGTGTAATCTTTGAAAACGAGAATATTGGTGGAGGTGGTGACAGTAATCAGTAAGACGCATAGGGGTATTTTCTTGAATAGAAAATATTCAGCAATTTCTTACTATGTAACAACTAAAAGAATACTTATTTGTAGATAAATAATACATCTGTTTTAGTTAAAAAAACAACTACATATAACTAATTTAAAAAAAAACTGTTATACAAATTCAACGTGTCTGTCTCAGATAAATTATAAGATAAAAACCAACTATCTTTTGCAAGAGTATTTTCCTCTGGTAATATCTTTTAGTTAGAGCTTCTTTAATCTCTTTGTTTTTATTTTATAGTTTCGTACCATATTTACAGCTGAAAAAATGCAAAACATAATATTAGATTGTTTAGCCTCTAAAGATTTTTATTACATTACAAAAATAAAATGTTTGTTCATGGGCATGGGACTGGCGAAAAATATCATAACATTAAGGTAAAATCATATGCGCAGCTTTAGAAATAATTTGAAACCACTCACCTCTATTTCAAGATGCACTCGAAATTATAACTTTACCTCAAAGAAGTTTCTTGTATATTATTTAAAATAAATAAACGTTTCTTCTAGATTTGTTGCCTTCATTTAAAATCTCAAAATACCAAGATCATTTTAACATTTTGGAAAAATGTGCTGCCTAACCTAGTAGTAATTGCATCAAAATGGCCGCGCCCTATGTTGGGCGTGTCGGACGTCTCTCTTGCACCGTATAGTAATCAAAGTATATGTTTCAGGTACTAATATTTAAATAACTCAGTTCGAAGGTTGGTAAAAATTTTCCCTATTCGTTTTGTAGCAGGGAGTTGGAAACAGGAAGAAATAGGAGGAGCTTATTTCAAACTAGCAGTGGGGATCACCGACCTTCATATTAAATTGGATAGCTATATGTCATAAGCCCTACTCCTAATTTCTAAGCCGATATCAGTAAAAACAGTGGCGTAGCCAGAAATTTTTCATGGGGGGGGGGGGTTTCTGAGAACTATGGGGGGTTAACAAACAATTAATAGCTATCAGCGCCAATAAGATAGCAAAAACGGTGACCTGAAGGTCTTCCATGGGGGGGTCTGACCCCCCAAAACCCCCCTCGGGCTACGCCACTGAGTTAAAAAACCGATCGGTGAGCACATCTAATATAGAGAGAGTTGAAGTGATGCTATAAACGTTTTTTTTTTTTTTTTTGGCATAGACACATTGCCATTCAGCCAGACAGATTCGTCCATAATTAGAACTACCCAAGAATATTTCCTAACAGTAAGAGGTGTAAGAAGAAGAAAAACAATATAGACGGGGACACTCGCTTCTCGTCCAGGGACCCATCAGGACGTTTTTTTTTTAATAGACAAACAGCATGCGTAGTTAAATATCCTTCACGTTCACGTCTACGTAAGCTTACGGACTCTGGCGTATGAACGCAACGCAAACAAAATAACCTCTTTTTAATTGGGGAAGAAGAAATCCTTATATTGTCATTATCTGTCATAACACGTAAATGTCACGATGCGTATCTAAAAAAGTAAAAAAAATCACATGATACAAAACTATTAATCGGCAAATATAACAAAGTGTTATGAAAAATGTTAATAATAATTTTTTTAAACTTATTACCGCTGAAAAACAGCAAAAAATTGATTTAGCGCGTCATCGGGCTTTCTGTTACCCATCTTATACATTGAGTTGGAAGTGAGATAGAAGTACTTCTCTCTAAAAGTACACGCGCGTAGGAAGCATATTGTTATAACGTAAAAAAAACATAACAACAAACAAAATTTTGAAAATTTATTTAGGTAATTTTGATTATTTTAGTTTGAATATTCGGTAAAAAATTTAAAATTATAGCATTTTAAATTTTAAGGTATATTATTTAATTCAAGAAAATTAGAATTTTCGTCAATTTTGGATTTTAAAAAATTCATAACAATTAAAGGGTTGAAGATACGATGATGGGCGTAAGGACTTTTTTTATTCGAAATATCCTAAAGAATATAAAAAAAAATTTATTGCAAAAAATGCATTTTTTCTGGCTTAATTAATTTTTCGTTGTTTAAACAATAACATCAACAGATATCGAGTGTCATCTTACACTTTCATAATCAGGAAAGCCTTCCGGACATTAAAAAAAAAAAATTACGAATTAAAACAATTTTGCAAACGAATGCGCCAGTATGCTCTGGTCTATAATGTTTAATTGCCGTATTTTTGTACCATAATTTTAATCATCGGTTGACGTTTACTGTGGTAATATCTTTCTGTATCAATTTTTTTACTCTTTGTCAAATTATACATTTATAAAGTAAAATAATATGTTATAAAAGTTAAAAAGTTGAACAAGAACCACACATTATAAATAAATAATATCCATAAAGCACTAAACATATTTTAATTGAACAATTCCTACAAATAACACAGAACAACTAGAATAGTTTTCAAATAAGAGCATTTACCCAGGACCGGATTGTATCATATTCTTGGTGTTGGAATATATTATCATCTAAAAGAAAACAAAAGCAATATAGTATTTACCTTTTATAAGTTATATTAAAGAATGTATATCTTATGATGTACAAGTTGTATTTGAAGAATGGTAGAGAAGCGAAGAAATGATAATCTATTGAATATCTCGAACTAAATTATTAGCTAGCTCTAGACCGTAGTAATATTGGTGTTTTTAGGTATAAAAAATGATAAATAGACACCAACATTTTGAATATCCCCTTACTAATTTTACACTTACTTTCGATTTTTAAATTGTTACGAAAATAGCACCGAAATAATTTTCAAGTTGGTGTAAGATTCAGGCTTGTTTTTGACAGATATATGATTTATTTAACATTAGGTCATGTACAATTTTTTTAAGGATTTTAAAAATGTTCGTACTTTAAAAAAATGAGTCGAAATAGTTTTGAAAGTCTTTGCGCAAAATGTTTTTTACTAAATAAAATGTGAAACTATTCAATCATTTTTCATATTATTCCGGCTTTGCATCTTATAATTTATTTTAATTATGCCTCAAAAATATACAAATTGTATATTGATGGTTACAATTTTTTATTTGCAAAATTTTTCGGTGCTATTATCGTAGGTATTATAAAATTAAAAATAAATTTATATTTCATAGTTTTCATATGTTTCGTATATTTATGTCGATGTATTTTAATTTTTTATTAATATTTATTTGTAATTTATTTACCTTTACATCCTTTATTTTGTGTTAATCCGCATTCCAATTATACAAAGAAACAGGAATTCCAACTATTTCCAACCAAGGTTCTACTGTAATAAAAAAAAGCGTTAAACTATACTCATTTTATGTTATGGATATTTAAAATAAAACTTAATCAAAATATATATGTCCAACACATGCCTATTAAAAAAATGTATTGAGTAGAGCCAATCTAGTAAAAAAGTTTTAGAGTAGAAATTAAAGATTATTTTCCATACCTAAGCATTTTATTTGAAATATTTTTTGTCAATAATATTAAGAAAATTCGAATTTTGCGACAAATTTCTTCATTACGGTCCATTTTAGAGAAATCCTGTATTGGACCAAAAATTTAGAAAATAATATTACAAACAACTCTCATTAGAAAAATGTTCTTCTCTAATTATAACAGAAATATACCTTAAACTAGAAAAACGATCTCCTATAAAGTATCCCCACAGATGCTCAGACTATGCACAAAATCTAACTTAGCGAATAACAGCAACAGGATGGATTTTGCTATGTGGAGAGGGCGGACAGAATAGCTTCACCCGGGCATTTACCATCGGGGTGGTAGAAGCCCACCAAATGATAACTTTCCAAAAATAGAGAATCTAGAGATATCTCTCGGCGACTTTTGATAACCTGCAGGACTTTAATGACACGGGAAGATGGCTGTCTGTAGAATAGACACCTCTCAGCGATAACCAGCAGGTTTTTGACAAGTTAAGGCAGGTTCTGTATGTTCCTGGAGGATGTACAATGGGCCTTATGAGGCAAAAGTGCTGTGGAGCAATCCAATCTCTCCCATTTTACATATACAGAGTAGGATGAATTAATGTTTTCGTTTAAAATGTTGTGTCCCCAAAACGTAAAGATTCGTCGAAAACTCGAGGTCGAAAAAATCATGATTGCCTTCATGGAATGAGCTGAGTTATATTTTGGACATAGTAGGAGCATCTTGGGGGAGTTGTGTACTTCATTGGGGTCGCTTTTCTACTTCAAGATATATTTCTGTTATTTATGATTGATGAGTTTTTTCTGATATCATTCTCTAATAGCATTTTCGATTCCACTGCCCTGTCTGCGGGAAGTGCACATAAAAGATGAGCGATATATCGATACTTTTTAGAGTGAAAAGTAACTATAGTATATCGACATATCTCCCACCTTTCGTATGCTCTCAGTGCAAGCCGAGCAAATGGAATCTAATGGAGAAATTTAGAAAAAGTGCCAAATTTGAAATTGTTCAATATTTTCGTTGCCAATTAATATGAAAAAATGTTTCGAATAAAATGCGTATCACTTCTACTGGATTTACCCATTACTGGGAAGTCATGTATTGAACACATCATATAATATATTTGTTTTGTTTATGTATGAAGATCATTTTCAAGTTAATCGATAAACGATATTTATTTAGAAGTCTGCCAAGAGCAACTCCAGGCTGAATTTTGGGGAGGGGCCATGGTAATGAAAAATGTTTGTAAAAAGTGGGGTGAACATGTTTTTTTTCATGCTAGAAACAAATTTTTTTTATAACCTTAAAACAGCGACGATCTTTTTTTGCTTCTTAACCTAAAGATAAACACAAGGCGTATGTATCTTCTAAAAGGTGTATTGAACAATTCTACTTTAAATTTTTTCAATAAACTTTTTTTTTATTTTTTATTAAAATACTGTTAACATGAAAGTTTGGCTGTTCGGAAACTTGTTAACATTTTTGACCGGCAAATGCCTATCGAGACTACTAGAACAACTAAAGGAGACAATAAATCTAAAATTAATGGTATTATCCATAAAATCTATTTTACATATATTTTAGAATGTATAAATATCTAAAATAATTTCTGTGAAATGTAGATGAGATACTTGCATTTTTTGACAGTTCTGCAGCTCTACAGCATTCATGCACCAGCCGCCCCTGGATAGTTATCTATAATTCCCTACCTCTACACACATTCACTCCAGTTTTAAACTTCGACCCGTAAAGATGCCATACTTCTCGGTATACACACACATTTCGTTATCGCCTATAAGTTATTTCTCTCAACCGTACAAGATGTTAAAATGTAAAACTCATGCATATTTTTTTGCTTGCCGCTAGGCAGTTGCAAACGAATCCTGAAATAACGTGAGATTAAATTTCATACAAGCACAGTTGATTTAGTTGTGTAAATATATAAACAATTTGTATTCTCAGGTTTGTCGAATGATTAAATAAACATTGTGCCGTTCGTCAGTGTTTGATTTATGATCAAGATACAGCCCAAAAACAGTACCGGACTTAGTCCGATGCTTTAAACAGCAGAATTAATCTGCAAACTCGAGAGAATTCAATTATCTCAAGATTTTCACGAGAAATGTCATATGTCAACGTAAAAACAGTATTTTTAAAGCTAGTGAAAACTTATTGACTATTTCTCTTGGTTTATTTCGAGATAATTCAAACTCTCCTACGCATTTTAATTCTCACTGGCTTTTAAAATATAGTTTTTACTTTGACGTATGACATGTCTCATGGAAATCTTGAGAGAATTCACTTATTCTCGAGTTTGAAAATAGGAAAGGGGCATCTAATTCAGAGACTCTATTGATATTAAGATTCCTTAATATTTTCCTAATGTTTTTGGTTTTAAATGATATATTCATTATTTTTTGAGGAACAGTAAGGGCCCTATTCAGTAATTTATCGTTTATGAACGACATCGTTAAGCTAACGACAGTTCAACCAACGACTTTTATAACGATAATTTTTGAAACTCTATTCAATAACAAAGTCGTTACGTTGTTTCTAGTTACCAAATCTGAACGATGATTTCTAGTAAGTTGGTATTATAATTTAGTGTTTTGTGATAAAAGAACGTATGTTGATGATTATACCGGGTGTTTAAATTAAAGTTTTACAGTTAAATATCGACAAAAATATGAATTTTATAAAAAAAAGTATCAGACAAAAGTTTTATAGTTTTTTAGGGGAAACATTTTGGCCAAATTATTTTTTTTATAGCTGACCATAATATGGCCATATCGAGGTGGATTTTTTTTCATATTGGAACCCTCTATTTTTTTACATAGGTATTCTTAGAGTTCATAAAAAAATAAGAAACTTCTAAATAAAACATTTTTTTATTGGATTTCTACTTATTGAGTAACACCCAAAATAAAACTATAAAACTTTGTTTTTTTTTTTTATAAAAGGCGGTATTTAACTGTAACCCTTTAATTTGAACACCCGGTATAGTTGACATTTTTTTAGGAACGTAAAATAAAAATTCAACCAGTAGATATATTCATTTGTTTTTCAGAATATATTAATTATTGTTCTTAACCTACAACACGATCAGGGGGTCGATTCTCGATTCGTAGGAATTCTGTTTCTCGCGGGCCATTTTTGCTGGTCGTATTGTATGTAGGGCTTATTAAAATGAGTATGGATATATTAAAAAAAACTGAGAACTATTCCAAAAGAATACAAAAAACAACTCGAGAACAGTACAAGATGTATTTTTTATTGGATTTGAAAGACAAACCAAATTTCTGTAGGTTACGGAGAAGTATAGGTACTTCCATAGGTTTTGTTACTGTTTCGCAGTGCTACTTTAGGAACAGCACTGTTAATAAGAATCCAATAGTAAATGGTTGAATGGGCAATCCTAACTTTGAATCCGATTTATTTTTAAAATAATTAAATAAATTAGAAAAAAATTCCTTACAAATTTTACTTGCTGTATTAGGTATATGGCAATTTAGTTGTAAAATTTGTAAAAAAGTGTTTTTATTATTTAGAACATATCCTGATTCATAATAAAAAATGAGAGGGAATGCAAAAATCACTATAACGACACTTCATATTATTAACGACAGCTCTTTGGCTATCGTTGATGAACGACAATTTTACAACCATATTTGTCTATTTTCAACGACAATCGTTGTCTACTGAATAAGAAAAGTCGTCTGTGAACGATTATCGTCTATTAACGACGTCGTTCAGAGTTACTGAATAGGCCCCTAAGACAAGAAAATTGCAGAACCATGTGAGTTAGGTTAGATTGAAAATGAATGCGACCCAGATGAATCTATGCGCTAGTTCAGTGATGATGTAATTATGGTTCCACTGACAATTAAAGTGACAGTAGATTTTTTGAGTGCGTTTTGTTCGTTTTGTTTACCTAAATTATATCGTTTTTTTCACATTTATAAATATATTCCTAAAGTAAATTGATAGCATGTATCAAATATACAATCGTTTAGTTACCGATTACATACCTTTAAACAATTTTTTATGACCTGTAAACAATATTTTGAAATAAAATAAAAACAGTAAAAACGTATATGTCAAATTTATTGACGTTTTTGCTAAAAGTTTGGTTAGAATTAAATGTCAGTGGAACCAAAATGACATCACACTGAACTAGCGCATTGTGACTAATTTCTAACTTATATTTGATGAAGGCCATGGTTGAATTGGATGAAACATGTTTAAAGTCCGTAGGCACCAGTCAAGTGAATCTAACGATCTGAAACTTAAATATTTCCAAGAAACACCGATCAAAATAAATATGAACATCTTGAATAGTTACCCACAATTTTTTGTAAAACGTCAAGATATATTTATATTGTCAAAGTTAGATGTTTTTATTTTGCAACTTTTCTTCAATAAATAATTGGAGCAATATCTCGAACATTAAACATTTCTTTAGTAGGTTATATTTGAGACAACAACAATAATAGTGAGATGAAAGTGGAATGAATACTTCAGTGTGTAAAAATTTAAATAATTTTATTTAAAAATTAGGCTGAAGGCTTTCGGCTTACAAAGCCATCTCACAGCCATCGTCTATGATACTCTCCACATAGGGGTAATTCCTAGTTAAAAAGTAATTAATAATTACAAATACTCTTATCTAATTTGTAATTGTATTTAAGTAATTTGGAATTGTAATTTCAGCAAAATCTGTGGAAGAATTGTACTTTAATTATATTAATTAAATTGTCCAAATACAATTACTTTTCATGAGTACAATTACTTTTCCAATTACAATTTACGATAATATTTACAAGTACAATTACATTTTTTAATTACAATTACTTTTAAATGCTTGTTTACGAGGTGAACGTGGTATAAAAACAAGAAATTTCTTGTTCGAACCAGTCACTAGAGGTCGGTCTCGCATTCATCTCATTTGTTTAAATGAATTTAATGAATGCGCTGTGCTTTGGAAAGAGCCTCAGTAAAGTAGTGAAATTGTTGCACCCAAAATAATAACAGTTAAGTGTAGATACCCGTATTAAGACGTATTTTGTATTTAGTTATTATAAACATACTTTGTTACAAAAACATTATAAACTAAGGAAATGAAGTGATGCATACAGCAGTTTGTATGGGGTAAATACTAAATAACTACTTATTTAGGTTGCGTAGGTATTTCTAGTTACTATCTCTAAGCTTCTACATTAAACTGAAGGTTTAATTATTTCAATACACGGTCTGACAGAAATTTTGAAAAAAGTAACAATATAAACAATTTGTGAATTATAACTAGATCTTGCAAATCAGCAAGATTTTTGTGAAGTCTAAAAGACAAAAAAACAGTCTTTCATTTGGAATATTTCTGAAAATATGGTTAATGAGCTTAAAAACTGGACTACACCTGTAAGGGCGACATAAGCAAGGTAGTTATTTTGGTTTATTGGATTCTTGGCATGAGTCTTTTGGTCCATACATGAGTTATTCGGGAAATATGATTAATTGAAATTCGGATTGTAGCCATTTACTACTTGAAAGAGACACAACTTGTGGGTAAAGAACAGGTATACCTCGTATATTTTTAGCAAATTAGCGGTTATATGTCTCTATCTCATGTGTTTTAAGAGAGATAACTATAAAATTACCTTTCAAGTAGCCAATTAGCTCTATAATCGTATATTTAATTTTTGGGCTTTGATTTTTATTTGTAAAATTATTTAAAAAAGGGGAGCTCCGAAAAATTATGCAAATAAAAAAAATTAAAACGGCGTTTTATTAGATTTTTTTAAGTACTCTCCTGCATTTATTTAAAAATTGTAAGCTTAAACAAAATCTTCAATACCATATCATTTACTGGCTCAATTCTCAAGAGTTTCCTTTCCTTTATCGCAACTAGACTCATTTTAGACACACAAGTTTCGTGACTATGCAACAGTTCTTAATAATTATATAGGTATAATGTATAAGTATATTACCAGAATCAAGATTTTGATGAGAAATATCCTCTTCCGAAAGCACCAAAGATACAGCATGCGTCGTTAACCTACGGGAAGTACTAGGACGAACTGCGTCACGAATAATTTTCTCTCTTTCCCTTTTCCAATTTTCTAAAGCACTGTGACATTCAGATATGCAGATTACAAAAATGAATATCAATGCTTCATCAATAAGAACCAAAGTTAAGCTTATCCAGAAATCGGGAAATATTTTTGTCGTTAGTACATGAATTAGTAGAAAAAGTCCGGCCAGTAACGAAACAAATATCCATAATCCAGTATGAGGGCTAAAATAAAATAAAGAAGGGGTCCGGTGAAGAATGCAGATGCACGAATTTCCCAAAAAAATTTAAACATTATAAAGTTACTAGTTTTTATAGTAAATTAAAGAAAAAAAATATGCGGAAAAAACATTATTTTTCGAGAAAATTGTAATTAAAAATCTAGATTTTGTAGGTTATATTCGCGATTCAAATTAATTTTCGCGTGCCTGTCATTTGTCACCTATAAGTAAGATGTTTGTTTATTTACATGTGTTTGTTTTGGGCAGATTTTGTATTTGTGATTTTTTTTAACTGTTTTATTATCATTGTAATAGTGTTTTTGAGTTTCATTCAAAATTTTACGACTTGCACTTGGAAAATAATGAATACTTCAGTTTTGATTTTGACATTAACACCATATAGCTTGCAATTTGCTGGGGACCTTTTCGCAGATTTCATTTTAATTAAACACTATCACATAGGTACTATAAGAAATAAACAAATTTAAAGCTAAAAGTAAGAAAAAAACTCGAATTGTGATTGATACCTACAATGTAAACAATGAACAGGATCGCCAATGTTGCCAAATGATGAACTGATTTTAAAACAAAATTAATAAATGAACTGAAATTTAAAAAATCAATATAATAAATCGATTTTATAAAAAAATCCTTAAATAAATATAGAGTATGATTACATATTACTATACACAAATTTTGGTTCTTAAATAAAAGGTCTTATCCACTTCTTCAAGAGCTAAAATCCGACAGCGAAATTTTGCTACTTCTGGCAACACTGAACGATATCCTACTTATAGGGACCTTCTACAAATTTCCTCCAGAGGGCGTATTACTTAGCTTGAATCGCGAATTGTCAAATTTTGTCTTGAGAACAACAACGTTGCCAAATTGTAAATTAAATTAGAAATATCAAAGAAATTCTGACACTAATTAACAAAATCAATACTAAGATAAAATGGGTGAATATAAAAAAATGTAAAATATAATGAAGAAAATAGAAATATTTTCCTAGTAATTTAATTAAAAAAAAAACTAACCTACCTTTCCTGTGTTTTGCAGAAAAATTTTACATCCCAGGCAGCAGACTGACGACATTTTCTGGTAATTTTTGGTCATCGACGTCATGTTACCAAAAAATTACGTGATTATGACGTCACTATTTTAACGTCTTTTTGACGTCACAGTGTGATGTCAATTTATTAAGGTTTAAGTATAGTTCAATACATTTTATTTATGTAAAATGATATGGACTAAACTAAAAGTGCATAAAGATTGTATGACACCACGTGACACATGATTGCGTCTGTTTGTGGTTATTGGTGTGTGTTCGAACCGTTCGAGCAAGTACGAAAACGGTATCGCGGATGGTGTGTGCATCGTGGCTCGTGTGTACATTTGTATAATCAGGATTGTCGTTAAAAGTTAAGAGAAGGTCAGTGAAAAAAGTTACATCAATATACTTTTAGTATTTTTATATCTATATTTTCCTTATTCTTTAATGATTTTGTATCTATTACATTCATAGGCTGTTTCCTAAAATGTTCTTAGGTTCGTGAAATAGTATAAAATGGCAGCACTCATAGAATAATCACTAGAAATTAAATGTGTCTTCATAATTGTACCAAAGTCAAAATAATAACTTACAAGTTGGCCACATTTGGAGCAGTTGGATTTATATAAATTAATGTTTTTTTGTCAATAACATTTCATGTATTTAAACTGTTTTTTCTTTTTAATTATAATTATTTCATTTTATAATTTTGTTTTATTAAGGGTCGATTCCACCGTTGTGTTAAACGGAGATTAAAATGACATTGTTAATGTAAAAATGTCATTTTAAACTTCGTTTAACACAACGGTGGAATCGGTCCTAAGTGACCCACAGTTCGTATAGAAAAGTTACAAAGGAGTAACAATATCAAATATAATGTGACATTAAGACGTTATAAAAACGTCATAACAACGTTATAAAGAATACTAGGAAACGTCATAAAGACGTCATATTTAGACGTGAAAAGGACTTCTAAATATGATGTCATTTGGACTGTGACATTCACTTTATTTTACCATCATTATCACGTTAGTTTTCAGTCGTGCTGCAAGACGAAAATAAGATGTCATAATGACATCAGTCTGCTGCCTGGGATAAAATAAAAAAAATAAAAAAACCCTTAACTAATTTACCTAACCTGTGCGCTCTGGAGCCAACGCGGTTGTTTCACAGAAAAATTATACATAAAATGAGAAAAATTAAAAATCAACCAATTTACCAAACCTGTGCAGCCTTGTATTTTCGAAATTTTGTCATTCAGATTTGTATAGTTCGAACTAATGTTTCCTGAATTTTATAATTCAAACTTTTTGTTATTTGAACTTATTTCAGCAACTCATTTTATTTTTTTATTTTTAACTTCTCTTCAAAACACAAATTCAATATGACAACGTTGCAAACGAAATGACCATTATGTCAAAAAAACGGTTCCATGAATTTACGTTAGTTATAGTTTACTTTTCGTTGCAGAAAATTAGGTATTCCAAACAAACTGGCTACCAGTGGGTTTTGACAGGTTATGATATGGCAACATTATGGAAAACCTGTAAGCCTAGTGGCTAAAAATTGGTTTTAAAACACAGTTTTGCTAAAGTTTAGCTAAATAATCAGTTCGCTCACTCTGCGTCGGCACTTTTGATCTCAATGTTCCAGTTTATACACTACGCAACTCGGATTTGTATCCCTGGCACATACATAATCAAATCATAACTAATACAATATATGACAACCGCCTTTATTCAAATCTTCTGCGCATCCTGAATTTGTATCCCTGGAGTGGATGTTATTTTGGAACATCCAACTGGTCCGAGTGAGCCAACTGATTCTTTAGCAATAAACTGTGCCACAGGGTTGCCATATCTAAACGTCAGTCCCACTTGTCAGAATTTTGACAGGTCGTTGGAATGCCTAATTATTAAAAAAAGTTAGGATAAATGGTGAAAATAGTTGAATTTTAATACTATAAATGAAAATTTCCAATGAAATATATTTTTCCGTATCTAATTTTCCTTAGAATGTCATAAAAAGTAAGTTACTTCAATAATGTAGCTATAAAACTTCGAAATTAATGCATCTGGATTCTTGAGCGGAACCTAACATATTACGCGGATTGTAAAGCAATAAAATTCTATGGTAAAAGGCTTCGAGTTTTATTTCCTTTTAAAGAAACGCTACATTAGTGAAAATTAATGATTTGTTCTACTTTCACCTCTAAGTTGAAAGTAACTACTTGCTGATTAAACTATAGGTCTATTGTTTGTTAATCTGTCAAGTAAACTTACATGTAACTTTACGTAGAGGTGAAAAAATCTACCCTTAGTCAATTATTACCTGAATTTTGTCTTGACGAATACATTATTACCTAACATACCCACAGCAATAATTAAAACCATTGAAGAAGTCCATGTCATGTACAAATCAACTCTTCTTACCACAATGTGTTCGTATAAACTTTTACGTGGCAAAACTGCAATTGTACAAGTAAGCGTTTCAATTAGTATCGTAATTATTATTCCGAATATAATAAATTTTGATCTAAATTTAGGAATCATTATTATTAACTTATAAAAACTATAATGTCAAAGTGACAGTTCCTAGTGCATTTATACGGGGTAGCGAAAAAGTCTCGAAACAAGGTAGTTTCTTTGAAATGAAATTGTAGGGTGATGAATTGTTTTTTACAATCCTATACATACAGGATGGCGAAATGTATTTAAGGGTGATTAATGGGACTGTATTACATTATTAGTAAAAATGGTACTATTTTAAGGTTCTTGAAAAAAAAAAAGGATTTCCTCTGAGACAATATTCGACCAACGTTGCCATTTGATGGTGACAGCACGCTAAACGCTGACGTCGAATATATTTGCCATGTCCTCTAAAAAAATGCAAGATAGGATAATCCCATTATCACCCTACAATTTCAAACTTTTTCGCTACCCCGTATAATAAAAAAATACGAACCTATGAGTGGTTTATGTCATCCATGACTATATAATCAGTTGTCAAATTTTAGTGTAGGTATGTTGCAAATGCTCGAAAATGTCTAATTTAACTGAAAGCCATCCCGAATTATTGCATACTTCTCCAAGGGCGGGAGGCATAATTAATATCGAAGTTCCAGATAATTTAAAAGAAGACATATACAAAAAACCGGCGGACAAATCAACTAAATATTCTAGGTCATGGGCTCCTTCAAGAAACATTGCAAATAAGGGTTCTTTTGTGTCTAAACAATCATCTAGATTTGCAAAACCCAGTTTGTAAGTTAATTAGTTAATTTTTTCATCTAATAGGTATGCTTTAAATCATTTTATATATCAAAGGTTTAGTACAAATATTGTATGTCCACTTTTCTCAAAAATGGCATATGTATATGATAAAAGAAACAACCACAGAACTGTAATTAGGAGAATGGATTTGATGTCAATTCTTGCTCAAAATTTATATTAAGTTAAGGAGATTCAAAATTGAGGTTTGAGTTTGCACAGTATCTGTCAGACATGTCAATTGTCATTTGTGAAAGTAATTAGGCATTCCAACGACCTGTCAAACAATAGGTGCCAGTGGGAAATTCTTGTATATTTAAGGGGGTAGCGACATAGTCTTGCAACTTGGACGCTATTTTTATTCGAAGTAGTACTCGCCAAGCCTGCCAATTTATGAAGAAATGTATAGGTGGGTTTTTTAAATATTATTTTTATTGTGTTTGACATAAAATATTTAAATATAATCCATTATTTATGATTTACGTAAAGTAGATAGAATACACCATATGTCGCTACCCTTAGATATACCAAACCTGCCCACTGTTAATTCATTTGTTTGGAATGCCTAATTTGAAAATTAGGCATTCCAACGACCTGTCAAACAATAGGTGCCAGTGGGAAATTCTTGTATATTTAAGGGGGTAGCGACATAGTCTTGCAACTTGGACGCTATTTTTATTCGAAGTAGTACTCGCCAAGCCTGCCAATTTATGAAGAAATGTATAGGTGGGTTTTTTAAATATTATTTTTATTGTGTTTGACATAAAATATTTAAATGTAATCCATTATTTATGATTTTACGTAAAGTAGATAGAATACACCATATGTCGCTACCCTTAGATATACCAAACCTGCACACTGGTAATTCATTTGTTTGGAATGCCTAATAAATGTTAATTTTATTCATTTTTTCTGAAAACATAGTTTTATATATTTTTTCAAATTATGACCTTGTTTGGCACTCCCCTTGTAGGAACGTTTTTGTAAACTGTCAAATCCATTCTCCTAATTTCAGTTCTTTGGAAACAACAGATGAAGCATTTTATTCATAACATACCATTTGTTTGGTTCCAATCATTTAAAAAGAGGAAGAAGATATTTTATTGGATTGAAAGAAGACAGACTGTAACCCTAGATCTTGTCTGGCAACGCTGCTGTTACACGCAACTAAAAATATGTCGATACCAGTGGCGTATCTTATTAAAGATAAAATCATACCTCCTCGATTTTTGTGCGAAAAAGATTATTAAATAGCAGTAAAAGTAAATACTAATTTTGTGTAAGTTAAATATACAAAGTAAATCATGAAATACTAACCTATATGGTGTGCAATAAACTTTATAATAAAATACAATAAATAAAATAAAAACAAGATAAACAAATTTACGAATCCAATGTTGGAGTTAGTTTGAACAGTTTTACAAATTGGTAATAATGAGAGATTTTTAAATAAAAATTTAGATTTTTAAGACTAATAGATTTATAAAAGTTAATAAATCAATAAATTTTCCATATTTAAGGTGGGGATTTTAAAATCCGAAAACACGTGGAACAATACAACAATAAACCTGCGTTAGTGCTAGGCGTTGAAAAAATCTTCATTTTTATTTAAAAAAAGAAAATATTCATTTCTAAACAATACTACTTTTGTATTTATACTTCCTATTCTATTTTTCTTGAAATATCCAACTTTTTGTGGTCTCAAAATGAATGCGAATATTGAAATAATGTTTTAATATCAACTTTCTCAAATCTAATGTGTGATTTTTAAAAATATCGCCATCAAAAATGTGATCTTCTAAGAAATTGAATATGTTAAAAGTAAGCATAAGCATATTTATTTTACTACTAAAGTCCAGTGTTGCCATTAACAATTTTTGTGCAATTAATAACGTCGTAATATCAAAAGAAATAATTAATAGTGAAACGAAGGTAGATAATAGTGATATTACAGTAAAAATCTTTAAATCTACACCACTGGACAATGCAATTAGGCAATCCAATGTCCTGTCAGAATGGACAAAAATAGCCGATGTTTGACGAAAACGACAAAGCTTCTTAACCTAACTTTTTCATTAGTATTTGACTGTTATTGCAAATCATGCAATTAATATTCTATATATTCAAATACCTACTCCAAAAAAATAATACAAACTTAGACTAATAACCTCACTAAAAGTGTTTTTGTCAAGGGAAGCACGTACTTTTGTCGTTTTAAAGTCACGTGATATGGATTGCCTAATACATCACTTAACCTTACACACTTATGAAAAGACACTTCAGCACTCAGATTATCCAGTTTTTTGCACAAAATGCACTCGCGAACCATGTTAGCTACACACTAAAACTATAAGCCGATATATTTCCAAAAAAGTCTAAAAATCAACAAAAACACCCGATATGGAACAATTTACTGTATGGCAACATCGCAAACTATCCATCGATAAAATACTATATATAAGTGACGTATATGCTGCGTTTGAGAATCCACATCGGATGCATTTTTTACATCTCGAGCGTTTTTTTATCCACATCGGACACATCTGTCCCATTACATTTACGTATACTGAACCACGTGATCAAAGATTTTTTACATCTCAGATGCATCCGATGTGGATTCTCAAACGCAGCAATAGTATGAGTGAAACAAGGTTATTTTCAATTGCGGTGGAGTCACGTTTAACGCTTTTAAAATTCATCCATTTATTTGCAGGCCTATTAATGGTGTTTGCCATAGTTTAACTTAGTATTTGCAAATTTGTTATTTAGCAGGAGTATGAATCTAAAAACGATAGGTACAAAAATGCCCTGTATAATAGTCTAAAAATAGTTGTTGCTAAAATATCAAGTCTGCTAAAAGTAGTTAAAATAACTTAATGTACTTTGTACACATTTTATAAGTTTTTTGTTTATTTAGAGACTTACTATTAGAAATGTTTCGGGAAATATTGCGACAACTCTGTCCACAATGCGTCGGAGTGAAAAACACTGCACTAGGTACGAAAATGAATTGGTGGGGACGCTTAGTGTGTCGCAATATATCTCGAAACTATTCTAATTAATAAAACTTGTAGCTCTATTAGAGATTTATAGGTACAAACTATTTTTAAATATAAAAGGGATAAACTACACAGCCTGGCAACAGCGCATCAGGAAACGCCATGTCGGTTCTTTAACGAAATCGCTACGCGCTATGTTTCTTTGCAATATATGACCGGGTTTAAAGGTAAATAAATGTATCTGTTGTTTCTATAATCTAAGCATATATACAACGATGAACAATTTCTAGACTAATGTTGTTTGCATAATTCGAATTACAGTATGGGAGAGTCCTAAGCAGTGTTGCCAGAATATATTTTTGTTTTGTACCAGATTTGTCAAAAAAAATTTACCAAATTGCATTAAAATGTATTAGATTCTATAAAATGTACTAGATTTTCATTTCAATGAGGATAAAAAAGTGTATAGGGAACGAAAACAAAACAAGGAGGAATCCCAACAATATATTTTACATGCGGCAAATGGTAACCCGCTGAAAAAGTACTAGATTTTGCTTCGAGTGTACTAGGGTACCAGATTCATAGAGAATGTACTAGAGCTAGTACAGTTGTACTAGACTGGCAACACTGGTCCTAAGGATTGTGGCGTGTGAGTGAGTTAGGGATGCGCAATTTTTTTAGAACATCGATGTTGACATCAAATGATACATTGAATACAGACTATCGATATTGTAAAAAAATCGGAAAAGAAAATATTGATTTTTCTAAACATCGATGTTTCTGTCAACATCGATGTTTTGCAAAAACGTTCATTGAAGAGTAAAAAAAAGGAATCAAACCATAATAACACTTAACAAAAAACCAAAAAACATCGATGATAATTAAAATACATATTCTTTGTATGAAAAATTGTAGGTACCTATTCTACCTTTACATTTAATGGGTTTGTAGTTGGATAATGAATTCTTATCTCGGAAAAAGTTAGACAAATAATTCACCTTAATTTTACACACAATTGAATTTTTAACCTTTATTCTCTGTCACCTATTATTATTATTAGGTATACGTCCACCCCTGACCATACCACCAGAAATTATAGAATCCATGCTGCTTTAGATACAACACCATGGATACTTTTTGATGAGTCATGTGTCCAGGACGAAAAACCTCAACTTGCGAACCCTGTTCAAGAAACTATCAACATCTTAGCAATCGTTATTTCTACCGTTATGCTGTTGGCAGCTGGATACAGTGATATTCCAAAGGAACATATAAGGTAAAGTTGATTAGGTACTTTGAACTGATGTTTTAAAAATAGAAAAGTTTATTATTGGTTATACTGGATGCATGTTTGCTATTTCATCTATTTTATAATAAATTTCTCTAATTTTACACATATTTAACGTCATTACTTAAAATTTCTAATTCAAAACGATTGTTTTCCGCAATTTAACAATTTTTAGAGTTTTTTTTGAGATATTTATTAAAGATTTTTGGGGTATTTTGTCTATCTTGCTTTTTCATCCATTTTATAATGAATTTATATTATTTTTTACAACTATTTGACGTCATCACTTATACATATACTATTCGAACTATTCGAACTTGGCGTCCAAATTTGTAGGGGTGGTAGTTCGCATAATTTGAGACCGATTCGCAGATTTCATTTTTCCAAAATATTTAAAATAAAAATAATTAAAAATTAATTAAAAATTATAAACAGGTACGGTCCTGCACAGCGATAGGATCCCATCGACTCGCGCGCGCTACGCTTAGAATCGACAAAATTGCAAATCGCATCTGTTTTTGAGGACTATTGCGCTACGCGCTCAGGGTAGGACCTGCTCTTTGAGATGTTTTTTATAATGGCTCTATTTTGTTAATTATAATTTTTTTAGAAAAATGAAATCTGCCAATCGCTCTCAAATTATGCGAACTACCACCCCTACAAATTTGGACGCCAAGTTCGGAAACACCCTGTATATTTTTTTTAATTTTGACATAGATATTACATAACAAGAGTAGTAACAAGTTAATATTTACTCTTAAAACTCTATTAGCAGCCTCAAAGACTATACGACGTAAGCATGTTCTAGCTAATAATACCTATTTGTAATTATTATGCGACTAAATATTTAATTTTAATATTTACAAGTATTCTTCTTTGCAGATGGACTAAGAGTTATCTTGAACTTATCAAAGATGAACGAGGGAGTAATCCTCCTAATGTTACCGGTATTTTAAATCACTTGAATATGTTATACGGTGATATAGAATCGTATAATGTACTCGGAGAGGTAGAAGATGAAAATGAAGCAGAACTTAAAACAAATGTATTGACTGAAGATGTATCATAGTAATTATAGGTACTTTCTTTTTACAATCAGAAAAATTTAACAAACACATAATTGTCATGCAAGACTTTTCTATACCCATGCAAGTTTTCTTTTGTTCCAGGTCTTGTTTCAAGTTACATTTTTGGTTCCAACGCCTTCTCTCTCAAGTGTGATCTATCAAACTAAAAGATGATATTTTTTAACTGTAATGATATTTTGAATTACCTCAAGTCTAGCAAAACAATAAATGAATCTATCAACTAGTTTCAGAAATGTTTTATTATATGGAATGGAATGTATGTATATGTATAAGAAAGAAGAATCTCCTAAAAACTAACTCCTTTACGAGTGTCAGATATTTAGTAATTATTGCCTGTTGGATTTGTAGTTTACTAAAAGTTGAACCCAACAGAAATTATGAATACGGCCTAAGGCTCGCTTATCAAGTGGTCTGTCTCCTTTCGGTACTAGCTGCAAATATTTTTATACGGATAATGAAATTCCAACAACTTCGTAAAAACAATTTATTGTGCAAAAACGCTGCACAACTTTTAAATGTGTACATATTTACACTAAACTTTTATTTAAAAATACCTATACTCTGTTTTTAAACTAAGAGGAGCGAATTGAAAAGACGCATTTACACAGGGAAAAGTAACTAGATTTGTTACTAAGAGCGAGTTTCGAAATATAGTGTTCAAAATTTATGAAATAATTATCTTTATCGGCCTTAGTCGGTGAACGGCCAATGAGCGGTTAAGAAACGAATAAATGTCATAGAAATAATTTTTGAATTAGTCCCAGACAACGGTCGCAAATTTCACATTATTGTGATCTGAAATGTGTGTCTAAAACGAAATGTCACTGTCAAATTAAAGTCAATATGGTTGTTGATTGATGTCAGAAATACTTTTTTCTTGCTTTTGAAATCGACTTTTTGAGAATAACTGTGATCTTTTTAAAATGGATAATAAATATTTAAGAAAATTGTTAAAGGAATATCCAGATGTAGCCAGGTTAGCATAAAATATAAAGGTCTGTTTACATTTTTAAGGATATATTTGTTATAGGTATAAAAAGTAAAAGTTAATCAGTGAATGACAAGTGGATCACACAGTAACTGGTATCTCTTGTATGATTAATGTGGATATTATGGCTTATTTAGTGTTAACCCATGGTTAATGCGCTAGAGGGCAAATAAAGGCATTCAAAAGTTTACAGGCCTATGAATCAGAATTTGTTTTGAAAACTGGAACCAACATTTTCATAACACTACATGTCAACATAAATTTTTTAAAGTGAACTATTCATACATACCTATGTATTAATTTTAAGTATTTTTAAAATATTTTTTGAAAGTAATGTTAACTCATTGTCCAAATTAAGATTATCCCTAAAGTAGTAGATGGTGTTTTAAATGTTATATCAATTTTGTAAATAGTTTTATTCTATTCTAATAAATAAAATTTGCTTGAATATTTAGTTACATTTTAATCATTTTGGTTAGAAATTCATCAATTTTTAATTTTAAAAAATCAGTAATAAAATTATTTTTTTCTAAAATACTTCGGAATTCATCTCTTAATGGTAATCTCCCATCTTTTTACCTTCAAAAACCAATAATGCATTTTCTACAAAACCTTCAGAATCAGCATGTAAAATAATAAGGTGTCTTCCCTTTCTTGCAGGGCTTTTCAGGAATTGCTACCTTTAATAGTACTTAGTGTAGAAGGATCCATAATTGTAGATTTTCAATACAATTGCTTACTAAAGAACTATTATTTACGAAATAAAGTAAAAAACTAAGTAATGGATGAGATATCAAATTATGAAATGTCAAAAATGTCAACAATATCAATTATTAGCTGATGTTCATGCTAAAAAGTAATGTGTAAAACTGACTGTAATCTGACCAATTAGAAGGGTACAGAATTGCCAACTTAAATTCAAATCGCTCCTCTTAGTTTAAAAACAGAGTATAGAGGCTTAACACTGCCTTAGGGTTAATATTTTATTATTTGATTATCTTTGCTCAGAGAACTGTCATTGTGTTTCTAGTGAAACTCGTCTGACTTCTACCTAAGTACAGACCGATCTGATGTTTTGTGCCATTCAATAAAAGATATACATGTCTACCTGCCAGAAAATCGTTGGCCTTGAGAGATTTCGCGCTGATGCAACTCGGTGAACGCGATTATTGTCACGTAGACATTTATTTACAAATGTACACAAGACCGTCTCTCGATATGTTTCAAAAATATATTTGTTTTGAAACATTGCCATTCAGAGAAAAATTGATAGTGATTCGAATTCGATATCAGGCTATGTGAATTTTTCTTCAACTTGCATGGACATTCTATTATTTGATGGGTGGCGTATTAGCAGAACCTATATAATTATTCCCAGAAAACAGTTTTCATGAGGGTAATTTTGAAAACCAATAACCTTTCGGAAATCAAAACCGATTTCATCTATTTTCGAAAACTTAAATCATACAGACGACCAAAGGGGGGATTTGCTTGGGTCAGCATGTTTCCTTTGACGATGCTAGAATGAGTGTAGATTATTGAAAAATGTGTGTGTACTATTCTAGTATTCTGTCATCAAGTCAGATTCGAAACTAATATTCAAATTCTTTGAAGTCAGGTACAAAGGGCTTGAGTCACAATTTTGCAAAATTTAGATAAAAGACAGAATTTTACGATCTCTCAGTTGTTATAAAAGGCTTAATACATTTTGTTAAAGTGTAGTAAATTGGTATAATTTTAAAATAAATAACAAAAATATAAATTCAATTTTAGTAATTTTATTGTTTTCATGCATGGTAATCTCTATTTTTGGATACGCCACTGCACTCTGGCTAATCGCGTCTTCGTGGTGCATTATTCTGAGTGAGTCCGAGCAGCGAGAGGTTTTCGCGAAAATCGGTAAATAAAAGAGAGGTCAAAACGTCAACAGATAATGATGATGATAATAATAACGCGTCTTTATTTGCACAAAATAATATAATTTTTGTAACATTAGCATGGACAAGGTTAGGCATGTGGCTATTCTTACACCTAACCCTAACAAAATACATTTAAATGACTATACAATTAAGTTTATCTATATAAATTGGCATTAGTAGCTCATTATATCTAACAGTTTACACTTGACTAATAAAAAGTTGCCTGTTTAAAGCATTTTTAAAACAGATAGAGATAGTGTTTTTTTAATATCGGTGTTTAATGTTGTACAGAATAACTGCGTTATACGAAAAACTACGACTATAAATAGCACTAAAGTGACGAGGCATTGGTAAATTAAAATTGTTTCTTATGTTTACATTATGCGTAGACGATCTAAAAGTTAATTTGCTCATAAGATATAATAGTGACGCAGTAGAAAGTATTTTAAAAAGAAAAGAACATAAATTTATATGAATTATTAACAGTAACCAGCCAGTTTGGGAGAAGGCATGGAAAATATGATCGAATTTGCAAATCTGCAGCATGTATTCTGCATAATTTGCAAACGGTTAGGATCAACAGCTGTTAAACAAGGATAATACATAAAATTCCATGTAACATTTTTGAAATTACAAGGCTTTGGCAAAGTTTTAGTTTTATAGATTGGTTTTATAGGACGTGTTTATTAGAATAAAGCAAGCGACGATCACTGTAACACTTTTGTAACACATAGTTGACATCTTAACTGAACGTTATTTGATCGTCAAAGTATAACCCTAAATTTATAGATTCAGTTTGTATTGTTCTTCATAAATTCTCTAATATTTGTACTACAGAATAATAACAATTTTGATTTCGAAGCATTAATGTGAAGGTTATGATCAGACGAATAGTTATCAATTTTTTTAAGATCTTGATTATTCTTACCAACTGCAGTAATGACTTCATTCGGCAAATAGTCGAGGAACAGCTGAGTGTCATCAGCAAAGAATTGGATTGCATAATTATTTACACGTGTTTGTAGAAATCCGAGGTATAGAGTAAAAAAACAGGGGCCCTAGGACTGAACAGACTTATGTAACTGTAAGGATTTTACTCAAATGTTATCGCATCTACAATAAAATGGAAGCTAAATTTACATTACAGTTTTTTTTAAGACGATATAAAAAAATAGCCTAAATTAATTCAAGAAACTAAATAAACATGAAGACTTAATTAAATATTTACCGATATCAGTACTTGGGATGTAAACTGAACTATGTCGACATAGTGCAGTTTTATAAAGTGGCTTTCGTCTAATTATTAAGAGGTAATCGATGCTGTAAATTGCTTTTTAGAGACTTGGATTCAACGATCTAAAATGAAGGTATTATTCCTTATTTGTAATATCGTTGGAATAAGTGTATTGACTGAGCAGGAGATTATAATAAAAATAAAATGTTTTTTATTGAAAAAAACTTGTTTTCTTTGTTAGGCCTCGTAGTTGTTGAACAATTCTCGTACATTCACTTGGATGGTCACCATACTAATTCTGATTTTAGGAAGATTATTCTGATTGGCTCCCACTACCCCCACACGGGAACTACTGCAGTCATTTAAATTTATGACACTGTCATGACTGATAATCAAGTATTTGATGCATCGTCTTGTAAGTTACAAGTTCTTTTCACCTCCATCTGTATTTCATACAAAATTAAAGTGTATTTATCATGCGTAACATGAAATGCATCATCATACCCAAAGGCACTTTTGATCCATCAAAAACATCCATAGTTAGAATCCCTCCATTGTCTCAAATCAATGGCCCACTGGTTGTAATTCCTGCTAAGAAAAACGAAATTACAAAAAATGGATCCGCTCATGAGTCTCAACCGTCTCAACAAATTTCTGCATTATTAATTACTGAAGCAGAAAAAAGAAATTCGAAGCCTGGCAATAAATCGGCAAACTTACATAAATTCCAATACACTATCAAACTAAATGAATCTCGTAAATATTTGAATGATACGAATTTAGTGGGGACGAATGGAATTATTCATAAAAATAGAACCACATCTAGTGGGGACGAAAATTATAAGAAAACTAGTAATACACAAATGAATTCCAAAAGTATTCAAACTCATGTTTACCAAGAATCGCAAAAGCAAAATCTTGTTAATTGTATACCAACAAGGAACATACAGAATAAAGGAAATCACATAAATAGACAACAAAAAGGACTTGCTACGTTTCAATTTGCTGAAACTAACACATATATTAAAGACAACATAAAAATATCGCAACTGAATGGACTAAGTTGCACAGGAAAATCTTTACAAAAACAAAGTTTATGGAACGAACAAGAAAAACACTCGAATTCAAGTTCAATTTCTGTTGCTAACGCATGCGTTCAAAAATATTTTAATTCCATTAAAGAAGATTGTGCTAATAACACTGACCGACCTTTCACCGAGGATGTAGCTTGTGGAGATTCTTGTTTCAAGATGACAACAGATGTTTGTTGTGGATCCAATTGTTGTGTGTCAATAGTGGCTCGAAATAAAAATAAAAGGCCTAAATCGAGTGTACATTTTGATGATTACGTTCATTTTGTTGCCTCCGGCACTAGCGAGTTGAAAGCCTATTCACATTGGGACATAACAGACACGAAGGACCCACTCAAGCGTGCGAAGATGTTACAGAATTATTTGAAGATTAAAAAACGTTTGCAACTTTGCCAGTCATAAATATTTGTTTTTAAGTACGTAGACATTGTTTTCATTTTTTTTTATAAAAACCAAAAATAAAATGTGAGCTAGTCTGAAATGCGTTTTTCCTATCTTAACCTAAAACACTAATTTTATTAAACATGTTAACAGAAGGGATCTTTCACCCCTAATAAAAAGGCCTAAACTACTTTTTAAATAGTTTAATTCACTATCTAGTATTCTCAAAATATGTTGTTGTGGTACTGCCACTGTCTATTCGCGTACTGCTTACCACAGCCAGTATTGCCAGGCAGTGTTGCCAGAATATATTTTTGTTACGTACTAGATTTGTCTAAAAAAATGTACTAGATTGCATAAAAATGTGTTAGATTCTGTAGAATGTACCAGATTTTTTAACGAATTGTCATGTGGTTTGGTTCATTAAGGAAAAAAAGGAATTTTGGTGAACGAAAACAAAACATGGAGCAAGATCCCAACAATATATTTTACACGCTGAAAAAGGTACAAATTCTTAGAAAATGTACTAGATCTAGTACAATAGTACTAGACTGACAACACTGTTGCCAGGTCATAATTTTTTTTTTCAGTATACTGCCTGTTTAAAATTCAGTAGAGATCAGTAAGAAAATGAGTTGCCTAATCAAAGGGACAAAAAAATGTTCTCGATTGGTGTAAACCATAATTATACGTATTTTACACTATTTTTACTCGTTAGAATGTTAGACTATAAAAATAACAACCAAATCATATTAACAATAGAAAATCAAACAGCAATAAGTACTATATAAAAAATAGTTGATTATTCCAAATTCGTACAGTGTCGTACAAGAACTTTTAAAATAAATCTGCAAAAATATACAGGGTGTCCCCTTTAAATTAAAAAAAGTTGAGGGTATTTCCGGTGAAACCAGGAGTACAGTAGTAACAAAAAATATGGCATCAGATGCATTATGCGACATCGTACTTGCCTGCAAAGTTTCATAAATAAGGTCCTTTTCGTTTTAATGATATTTACTTGTTTCCATACTTTATCCCAACCCTGTATATACCATACCACAGCGTATACTGCATGGTATGTAACTCGAAACACACCACAAGCAATGAACGCCGGCCCAGATAACACACCAAATCCCAGAGACACAGAGGATGTAAGCTGTGCCAGAGATATCCACAGAATATCTTTTGTGGATATCCAATATATCCACAGGATATCAGAAATATTCTGTGGATCTAATATGGATATCCAAATGTCCGTCTATATCCAGAATATAGAAGATATTCTAATGGATATCCAGCCAAATATCTAATGGGTATCTTCTAAACAATACAAGAAATCCCAGAGATATCCACAGAATATATTTTGTGGATATTCAATATATCCAATATGGATATCCAACCAATTGTCCGTCTATATCCCAGGATATAGAAGATATTCGGATATTCAGCAAAATATTTTATGGGTATCTTTAGTAGATGTTCATAAGTAACCAATTATTATTGAATAACGTCGAAAGAAAATAGCAGAGATAAAAAATATTTTCAACACTCTGCCTTTGATTTTGCCCACTAAGGAGAAAGTCGTCCTTATTAGGACTCTTCAGCAATAAATGGAAATTCTTGACTTCAGTCTCTAATGGAGTGATTAGGACACAAATTTCGATCGAACTCAATTACGGCGGGTCGAGCATGAGTAGATGCGACAGTGGTATCGCCATCTATACTAAGTAAGCAAAATCAAATAACATCTAGTGGATATCCACGATGGTTTGCGTTCGCGCCTAGACTTTGATAAATTTAGTGTATCTCCATGGGATATTGAATACACCTTAAAAAAATTAATTTTAAATATCTGAACGGTACTATTAGCCACAATGGCGTAATTTTTTAATAATTTGCTATATAATTACTATTATTTATGGACATTTGCATGTCTATAAATTACATCTCATGGATATAAAATGGATATCAACCATGGACTAGACATTCAGTGGATATTGGGATGTTCAGTAGATATCCAAAGGATTTGGTGTGCTGTCTGGGTCTATTAATGGGACCCATACAAAAATCCTCACTCTTCATTTTTTATGTATGTTCAGCGTGAATTATTTAGTACGTTGTCCGATATACATTTAGTCAAGATCTGATGATGGCATCTATAATGAAATCAGCAAAGTGAATTTGTAATGGCATCTTCAACCGTTTCGCCCAAGCCTTGCTTTAAAATCTGGTCAATATTGGGACATTAAAATCAAATTTGGTTAAAAATTTTCGAGGAAACAGTTGCTGTTATAAAGGAAATTAAAAGCTAGTGTGTATTATCAAAAATTTATTGAATTCCTTAAAATATATTGGCACTATATAAAAATTAATAAAAATCACATGTTACACGTTTTGACCAGAAAAGATATTTTAAAACAAAAAAAATATATACGCCTAGGGCATTTCATTAAATAATTCAATATCATAACAATTTTGCAACATAATGAATATTTAGAAAATGCCTTGAAACTATAAAAATTGTTAGTAATATTTTACATTATTATTTTTGGATATCTACACCATATTTTTACAGAAGACTTTTAGAATTTTCCTATTCAATTATATTTTGAGAAGCAATTTTTGAAGCTGAAGCATTTTTTAAACATAAAATAATAGTATATAAAATTATAAATAATAGTCTCACTATTTACTAAAATATTTTAATGTATAGGTATATGGAATGTCAAAAAATATATAGAATATAAAAACTTGCCCAATAATCACAATATTATTCTTAAACTACTGATACAGACAATTCTCGTTTTTACTTTTAAATAAAGTATGCAGAATAATCATCAAGTTAAATGTTTGAGAGAAAAAAAAAAAAGAAAAACAAATTGGTAGAATGAAAACCACTAAACAAATGATAAGGAAGATTTGATCAATTCATAGGGTAAAATAAATTTCTTATGCGATGAAAATGCCTCTTTAGTTATAAAAGTATCAGCAAGCAAATTGAGAGCAGCTCGAGAACTTTGGATGGGGTAATGCTGAGAATTTCAAGATGAGATGAAGTAATAAAGCACAGCAAAACTACAAAGAACTGAAGTCATCGATGTTATTAGAAAAGTATGAAGGCCAGAAAGAAGAAAATAAGAGTTTGGCTGCAGACTAATTGGATCAAGATATTAAGAGGAAATTATGGAAAATTGGATCAACATTGCTCAAAAAAGAGTCAATGGAAGAATTTGGTGGAAGCCTATATCAACGGTGGTTGTTTATGGATGATGTTAATGATAATTAATGAGGCTGACGATTAAAGAAAAGAAAAAAGAAAATAAACATATGCGTCTGCTTACCTATTTAGGTTCCAGTCGTGTTATATTTTATTTATTACGAAGAGAATTGTCTATAGGTCATATAGTTGAAGTGCAAATGTAAATTGTCCCTTCTTATCTAGTAACACCCACTTTTAAGGTTTAAATTACTAAATACGAAAGGAAATTTTACAATAATTATACACACAACCTTATAAAAATTGCACATAATAAATTAATTCTAAATGGGCTCGGTCTTTTTTACGAAGTTATAAAAGTTTGAATCTTAGTTGTGACTTTTTCTAGAGTAGAAAATAATTTTACTTAACTAAAAAAAAAAACAAAGCCGGTTTAAAATTAAAAGAAAAACCGATATAAAATAATATAACCATCATTTATCTATTCCAAAAAGTAAGCATCTTTCACAACATAACATCAATCTAGTTTTATACAAATTTAACAATAATAGGATATTTCATATTGTTCATTTTACTATAGACTAGAAAACTCGACAAAAAATTTGTGTTTTTAAAATTACCAACGGAGTTTTCGAAGTTGGAGAACATGCAAAGGCTCTGATGGACAACGTCAAACACGACGGAAAGAACGATTTATGCCGCGTTGCCAAATTTATTATGTTCCAAGCAGCAGGCTGATGATAAAAAAATTACATTAACATTTTTGACAATTTTTAACGTTTCAAACTCGACGCAAATGTCATTATTAAATCAAGCTTTAAAATAAACGTCATTTTTAATTTTATTAGTACCTAATCTTATTTAAATACATAAGTCATCATTTTAAATAACATATTTTCAGTAAGAGAAAAATAAGAACTTTTAAAAATTGTGCTTAAGGTTGTACTAACATCCATGGTTCTTGAATACGTCCACAGATCTGGCATACTCATTTACGTGATAATTGTAAAATAATCAACAGCGGTCCAACTAAAAGGTCAATACCACATCGTTCATTTCAGAACAAAAATATTCTGACCTACTGTTTGAACCAATTTGCAACAAACATATTGGCAGATTTTTAGTAATTTTTACTTTTTATGTAGTAATTTGATAGCTCGTTGGTAGCAACGTTGTCAAGTTTAATAAATTAAAAAATATATTAGAGTTCATTTGGTACCAAAAAATTATTATAAATTCAATTCAAATTTATTACATTTTCTAACATAAAAGGAATAAAAAATATTTCAAACCAGAACATAGTTATTCTAATTTGTTATATAAAAAGAGACAGGAATAACATATTTATGTCGATGTATGAAAACTCTTTCTATTTCCGTAGAACCGACAACCTCGCATCAATAATGTATGTTATAAAGACTAGTTATTGATTGTCTGCACGTGTTCAAGGTGCTAAGAGTGATGGAAAAGTGTAATCAAAATGACGACTTACCCACATAACATTAATGTTCTATGAATATATTAGGAACGTTCTGTTTATGTTCTTTTTAGTAGGTCCTTTCCAGAATGTTCTAAGAATATACCTAGAATATACTTTGAAAGTATACACTAGAAAGTATATACTGAATACGTGCTTTGAAAATATATTCTAAAAAGTATATACTGACTACGTGCCTTAAAATTATATTCTAAAAAGTATATACTGAGCACGTGCTATAACAGGGCATTAGAATATACTACAAGTTATATACCCAGCATGTATCTCATGTTCTAAGAATGTTTTAAATGCTTACAGGTAAAAATTAACACCAAATACATGTTTATATACATATCTATTATTTTTCCCAGATGACGATCTGATAATTCGCTACCAAACGCACTAATGTTGAGTGTTCACGCCAAAAAACATTCACAACCTTAATAAAAGAGAAGAAGAATAATAACATAACATACAAATTTTACTATATTTGTAGTTTTAAGGACCTATAAGTGATGTTAGAACACAGGATATCCCAACACAGAATAATTGCTAGTATGAATTTATTAATATGGTTAATACTAAAGTGATCTGTGATACTAATGGCAATTTGAAACTAAAATACAGTGTTACCAGAATTACATACACACTTTCTACGAAAAGAATCCTGTAAGGCCAGAAATTGACCTTGAAGAACTAGAAAATTAGCTAAAGGAGAACGAAAACTACAAAATGATGGTAAGCAATTAACAAAAATATATTTAAACTTTCACTAAACTTAATAATCATTTATGCAACTCTTGTTTTTGTTAATGGAATGCCATGTACAATTTTTAATGTTTTACGTTCGACAAAAATATTTAAAATATTCCATTAATTATGTACAAGTAATTTGAATATGTACGAAATTTGTTGATTTTTTAATTTTTTATGTTCAATGAAGATCCAATGGAAGCAAGCAAATGAAACTCAAGCCATAATAAGCCATTGATACAATAAAATATTGGTTGGTTAAGGCCAAGGAAAGAATTTGTAATAAAAATAAGTATGAATTTTTGGAAATAAATATTTAAAAAATGGTCAAGACTTATGAAACATCCTGTATTAGGGTGTCTAGTATATGCCTAGCATATACTTAGAACGTACTATCAAATGAAAGGAGATACTTATTGCATACTGTACACATACTTGAAGTACATTCTCAGCATCTGCATAGTACGTATAAACAACGTCACGCAACATATGCATAGTATATTCTGAGAATGAATATGCAAATAAAGTATATTCTCAGCATATGAGTATTCTTAAAAAGTATATACTAGGAATGTATAATTGTTATCTGGGTAGGTCGATTTATATTTCGATCGATCATTTTTTTATATTTGAAAATTGAAGATTGACGAAATAAAAATGTTTTTATATCATTTAAATGAATCCATTTAATTAAATGGACATTTATTGTGGACACTTATCATCATAGCATCTCAATGCACAATGGACACACTGTTGCCAAGTTGTGTAATATTTCTTAAATAAAAGGAATTCCTAAACCTTTTTTGCTAAGGAAATAAATAAGGGGTGTTACACGGTGACAAAGAAATGATAAAAAATTTAAGGAAAACGGACTTATTTATAATTTCTTCACCGAAATAAATTTGTTACTTAGAACTATAAATACAGAGGCTGCGGCTTGTGGAACAAAATATTAGATAAGAGACAAAAAAAGGTCGAGCAAACAAGCAGTGAAGAAGTTTTCAAATAAAAGTCATTTGAAGACAATTTATAGGGAAATCAAAGGAAATTTTATGCAATGATTCCGCTGAAATCACAAAAATCGCATAAAATTAAGGGGGATTTCGGGGAAATCACCAAAATCGTGTAAAATTAAGGTGTATTTCGGTGAAATTACTGAAATCATACGAATTTTAGGTGATTTCCGAAATACAGGTACGTCTTGACCGTAGTGGTTTACCCCTCACTTTAACCCTTCCTGGATGAGCTGATAAGATTTTGAGCATAGTCGGAACAACTGGGAAGGTACTTTATAAAGGTATTTTTTCAAATTTTAATCATATTTCTGTTATTTATTGTATTATAAAAAATCTTTCAATAAGAGTTGTTTGTAATGGCATTCTTTATAATTTTCGTTCTATACATAATTTCTCTAAAATGGACCGTAATGGAGAAATTTAAAGAAAAGGGCAAAATTTGAATTTTTTGGCATTTTCATTGGCAATGAAGATAAGTCCCTAATATTATATAGATCCATATCAACTAATTATTGTTTCTATGGAAATTGAAAGTGTAGCCCTATATGTCAACTCAGTTACTTGTTCTTGTATTTTATAAAATTCGATAAAGAGATTTTTTTCTATATTATGCTTCCTCCTGAGTAAATTTTAAAACAGAATCTACAATTTCGCGAGTTTGTACACTCAAAACATCTTAAAATGCACAACTCCGCTATTCTATTCACAGCGCATATAACTTTGGCGACTTCTGCTATAGCTGTTTTACTGTATATAAGAGGACAATTTTATATAAAATGACAAATATCATTAACCTCCAAAACAAAATTTATAAAAAATTATCTCCTATTCAAATGGACAATGACCGATTATACAAAAGAAGAATAAAGTTTAAAATAAATGCATTGTTATACAGACTTTTCCAATAACTTTCGATTATTTTGCGATTGTACCTCGTATATTAATTTTTCAGCGCCAACTATCTATTCACATTTTAATAAATTTGGAATATTAAGAGTTTTTTTTTTTTAAATGATTGCACTTGAAATATCCTATTTAATGTCCTTAGCATTTCTAATAAATATATTTTTATTCTATTTCGAGATGTAATAAATAGTAGTCCAATCAGTGTTGCCAGAATATATTTTTATGTACCAGATTTGTCTGAGAAATGTACCAGATTCTATAAATTGTACAAGATTTTTCGAATTGTGATGGTTTGGTTCATCGAAGAGAAAAGAACGCTTCTATCGAGAACGAACCATGGAAATAGGCTAAAAAAAGAAAAAGTACTAGACTTTGCTTCGAGTGTATTAGAGTACCAGATTCTTAGATAATGTAATAATCCAGTACAATTGTACTAAACTGGCAACACTGAGTCCAATTGTTCAAAAGATTTTAAAAACATGGTGAAAAATAATAAAAATGACTGACTAACAAATCCATCTCGAAAAAGAATAACTGCGGCTTTTGGTTTGTTTGAGTTTCTTTAAAATTTGATGAAAACCCACTAAGTTCCAGTGGAACAGTTGAATAGAAAATTATTCATCACATATATATCTTTTAAACAATCCACTAATCAACTAGTCCTCTGGCAGTTTCAAACGTGTTTTTTGTCGAACCCAAACAAGCCTTTTATTTAACCAATCAATTGCCTAGTTCTACTGAAGCGTTTATTCTGACAGTTATATAGGAGACTACCTTAAAGCTCGGTAGTCATATGATTAGTAAGCACCTGGACACGTTTGGCATTGCAACTTTTGCACAAAACATGACCGTCCAATGGGTAACAACCTCTTCCTTCTGCTTCCGAAGATAAAACTAAATTACAATCCTGAAAACAAATAAAATATCATTTTTTTGATGTTCATTTATTTTAAAAGTAAATATTTTTTTGTGCCGTAAAAAAACTTTGGAGAATTTTATCTAACTTATTGAATTAAATTTTTTATAAAAGGAAAAAGTTCATTTAGTGCACGGAGTATTATAATAAAAAAAAATCAAGGGAATTAAATTATTTTGATACAAGTATAAGGCACGAATCGCACAGGTGACTGTGAATGGTAAAAGTAGGCGACAGGTGCCCTTGATGGTTTGGGTAAAGCCTAAAATTTATGTTTTAATTTAAAATGGACAAATCAAGAGCTAGTAAAATAATAAAACAATGTAGCAATGGCCAAAATCCGGCAATTAAAATTTGAATTATAACAACATCCACCTAATTCACCGAATTTGACCTTCAGTGACTTTTGTTTAATGCCAAACTTTAAAAAAAAAGACTCGGCGGACAACGGTTCACCTTAAACAAGAAGTAGTCTCTAAAATGTTACTTTTTAGATTGCTTAAGAAATATGGAAAAACGCTTCGAAAAGTATGTAAATCTAAAACCAAATATGTTGAAAAATAAAAAAAAAAAACTACCTAAAATAATTTGTTTTTTATCCCCTTGATGAATAAGCCTCGTATAACCTCATGGAATCAAGAATACTTAATAACTAAATACCTTTTGTACTTACCTCGCATTTATAACATTGTATATGAAAACTGTGATCCAGAGCTACTACCCTAACGGTTTCTTCTTCCCCGGGTTCGGGCATTATGGGTTGCTTACAGACCCAACAACGCGGTGCAAAAATCCTAAAAATTATAATTTGGATAACAAAAATATTTTGCAGTAAAGAGTTGCTAAATAATGTAGCCCGAGAAAAAGTTCAAACATCATAAACGAAAAAATTTCATCATTCGTCATCTTTTTGATTCATGGCTATGTACACCCCAGAAGAAGCATTAGCTTGTAAGGTTGCATCACTGACGGACGACATCGAGATTAGAACCGGACAGAGACATAATGAACAGAATACTACTGTCATCAAACCCCATTTTTTTTGTATACTGTACCTATATTTATTTGTATTTTAATATTTTTTATTCATATATATATTATGACTTATCCTATATCATGTAACATGATCCTAAAGGACAAATAAACTATTATTATTATTATTACAAATACAAAAAAAGAGAAATAAACCCTTTTCAGAAGCTATACTAAGTATGTTACTTTTTTAAGTAATAGTTTAGATGGTGTACATAGTGATATAAATCCAGATAGTGACTGATAATTCCGAATAAAAAACTAATTTCTGTACATTATTTGTATTTCAGTTAATTATTAAAATAATGACGTAAATCGTTCTCAAAATGTATGTGCATTATTTTCACGCATTTTAGTACTGTTATTATAAATGATTAAAACGTTTTAATTAGATAACTAAATAAAATTTAATTTATAAACCACTTTTTAAGCATTTTTATGTGAAATGTGACACCCTGACAGTCCATTCAACCACTTACATTGTTCTTTCAGTTAAATCTAAGCAAAAAAATTACTTTGAAAAATACAGCTATTTTTGGCAAGCTAATTCCCGCTAATTGCCGTATGTGGGCGGCCGTTTAGTGGCAACATTGTTATTTTAGTTTCCTGCTTGCACTAATGCCAACTCTCTGTAGTTAAACAAATCTACTATCACTGCATCTGTCACTGTAATTGTCAGTGAAACCAAAAGATTAAATAAATATACATTAAAATGAGTTATTTTTGTGTATAATCGATAAATAATATCATTTTTTATGGTCCACATTTAAAAAAAACTTAAATTTTAATCAAACTATATGCAACTAATTTAATTACGAGTATTAAAACAATAAAACTAAAACTGACGGTGGAGGCGAAAATCTCGCGTTCGAATCTGTGCTAGGACTTAACTTTTTTTCATGTTAATTTTATTTTAAAATTAGTAAAATTCATAAATTATTTTTTTAAATTTGTAGATTTTCGTTAGTAGCTTGAAGAAAAAATATACTGTACAACTCGAGTGGATTTTTTATATCTACTCTTGTTGTACAAACTACTATTTCTGTACTGGCGGTAATAGATTATGTTTGATACATTTTTTTAAAGTAATGAAGGGATCGCATATTTTTCACTGAACACCTTATACCTAAAGTTTATTATTTATATTAATTTTTCTAATGGGAAAAGTGGCTTTAAAAAAATTGCACAGCTGATGGCAAAACAATTTAAATGGATCGTCAGACAGCATACAGCTATGCCAATTGAAATTGTGGCTCTTTAATCTAAAGAAACAGGCTCATCTATACAGATAGCATGCAATCACTTCTCAGCCTGGATAGACAACGAATTTACCCAGGAATATCACTAGAATGTCACCAAGCTTTAGTCGAAGTATTCATCGACAATGTGTTTCACCTTAAGATGGATCAATGCTACTCTATAACGAAAGCCAAGAAGACAGCCAACCTTGGTGGAGTTGTCCCTTCCTTTGAACTAACTAGATCGGCTATAACAAACTTAATCATAAGGCATTCCCTTGCAAAATTCAAGGAAATATGACATGAAACAAGAGTATGCAACAGCAAACAAATAGTTATTAATTACTAGACAGAATTTGACTGGTCATTACCAAAAACGGAAGCATCTGTATAACATGGAGCTGTCAATCTCTACTTTCTGCAAACGGCGTGAAGAAGAAGAATATGAAACCATCTAGCATATTTTCTATGGTTGCCAGACGGTCTCATCTGCGAGTATTGGCTAGCATACATGATTTCTCCAAAATGGACCGTAATAGAAAAATTCAGTTTATCCTCTAAACAGTTTCAAAGACGAAGAAAAATTATTTGTTAACATGACAAAAAAAAACAGATTCACTGCTGATTTACTTTTACTTCTATTTTTTTAAATCGGTAATAAAATGCTTCAAAATCATATTAAAATAGAATAAATTATTATATTATTTTTATTTAGTTATAGCTTATAACTAATATGTATAATAGTAAAAAGTGTGGTGAAAACATATATAAAATTAAAATATTCGCATTAAAAATTAAAATATCAATGAAATATTAATTATGAACTTACTTGTGGAAATCTTCTATACAGTGTACTCTATTAGTAGCATCTACAGTAAAAGGTATACCATCTAGACTTTTACCACATACAACACAGCAGAAACATTTTGGATGATACGGTTTCCCAGTAGCTCTAAGAATTCTATCTAGAATCGGTTTTTGGCAAACGCAACACTTCTCTAAAGTATTCTGAAAAAATAATACATCAATAATTAATAACCTGTCAAGTGTTCTTAATTCGAAAATCTTATTCTCACACTTACCAAATAATCTTCTTCGCAATATGGTTTACCATCCAGGGCATAAAACGGCTTTCCTTGTAAATTAATAGCACAATGGTGGCATGTAAAGCATGTAGTATGGTATAATTGGTCCATTGCTGTACAACCACTATTTTCTCCCACAATCTAAAATAAATATAAATAATAATTGAACAATAATCTCAAACGTGGTCACTTATAGATGAAAATCAATAATATATTTGCTTATTAACCAAGGCTATTTTGTCAAAAAAGATGCAGTTTTCCTGAATTACAAAGTTGTACTTACTTTTTCCCCGCATTTAACGCATATTCCATATATATCTTCTTGATCGATATCGCTTTCTTCTCCTCCTCGCATACCTTGCACCAAAAGGTCAGTCAAATTATCTACCTCTTGCTCCTTATTGTGCCCCAATCGACTCACCGATTGACTCGGGCCGGTTGCAGTGCTGCTTGCTCCACTCACGTAAGGAGCGTACAATGAGTAATTGGAACGAGACGACATTTGACTGGGAGGACGAGGATTTATTGGCTCATAGATGGATTCGTATGTGGACGATGACTAAAAAAAATTATATGATAATGGCAGCAAACAATCGGAACACGAAAGAAGTAACTTAAAATTAATGTGAAGAAAATAAAGGGTGTCTCAGAAATATTTTCGTTTATCAATACGTCCGCTGGCGCAATAGGCACATTCCTGAGAAAGAAGTCAGTTGGAAAATGGTGATATACAGTGTTAAGTTTTAGTTGCAATGGAGCGATTTACGGGACAAAAAAGGTCTTTTTGTATCCATGCGTTTTATAAAAACAATGATTCTTATGTTCTTGTGCGTCGTTTGTACAGAAATCATTATAACATAGAAAGAATGAATGATGTCCCAACTGCAAATTTAATTAAGAGAAAGTTTGAGGGTACTGGAAATTAAATTAGCACTTGAGATATCTTTCATTCTTGCTATATTATAATGATTTCTGCATAAATGACGTACAAGAATATAAGAATCATTGTTTTTATAAAACACACGAATACAAAAAGCACGTTGCAGCCCAGTAAATTGCTCCATTGCAACTAAAACTTAACACTGTCGACCACCGTTTGCCAACTGCCTTCTTTCTCGGGAATATGCCTATTGCGCCAGCGAACCGATTAATAAACGAAAATATTTCTGAGACACCCTATAGTTTAATTAATTTGGAGTAATTTTGAAAACCTTCCAGTATCGTCGAAAGTAGTTATGAATTCTCTCGATCAGGAAAATTAGACGCACCTCATATTAATATTTTTCAAAAAGTGGTCGCACACTTCCAATGTTTAATTTATACGTTGGTCAGGAAACTACAATAAAATTTACTAAACTACATTTACTACTGATAATTTTATTTGTTTTTAATGTTATGTCTTTCTAAAAGTATACAAAAACATGCAAAATAATGTAAACTTGCGTTATGAATAGATCAGGCACGATCAGACACGCTCAATAGCAGTGGCCTATATAAAATTTATATTGTTTATTAAAGTACACTACGGTAAAACAAAGAATAAAAAAAAAACAAAAAATATTAATAAAAATAATAAACAAATGCACGTGTATGAATTTGTTTTTTTGTTGGTATGGCTATTGATGACGTGCCTGGCCTGTTCTTAAAGCAAACTAATATATTGATTATGACGTAAGTTGTGTTCCACTGACAACAATTAAAGTGGAAAAAGACTTATAAAAATAAGGTTTAAACTACTTTTGTTACGACTTGCAAACAATATTTAACCTTACAAAACTAAAACCATATATGTCAAACTCAATGACAGATTTTTTTTTGTTAAAAGTTAGTCAGTCATCACTGGAACACAATTTACATCACATTAATATAGACCATTTAAAAGATCCCTATTATACTCTTATTTTGTGTTAGGCATTCCCTATATCTACAGTTAATAATTCTGGGAGTTTTAAATTTAAATTACAAAAAAAAGATCATTCACAAAATACTTAAATTTTAATTGGCCCCTGGTTAATAGGAAATAGACTATTTGTTGATTGGTAATTAGAATTTAACCAGCTATAATTGATTATCAACTGAATAAGTTTTTGCGACTATTAAATAAACAAAACTACTTCAATTTAAAATAAAATAGAAAATAAATCACGAAGCCATGACACACAAAATAAAAGCGACCGTTTCCCTTCGGAAAACAACTACTTATTAATACCGCAACGTGCATTGAACTATATCCAAAGAAAAGACAGCAGAGAAAAATAAATTAATTTCAACACTCAACTTTTTATTTATTTAGGTTTAGGACAAATATATTCACCTCTAAGTAAAGTTACATGTAGGTTTACTTGACAGATTAACAAACAATATACCTATAGACTAATCAGCAAGTAGTTACTGTCAACTTTACTCAGAGGTGAAAAGACTGGCCCTTAGTTTAATAAAAAAAACAAGGCATTGATGAACAGTCGTAAGTGCTAGGTTTGTTTTGGTTCCAATTTAAGAACCGTTCTGACATGCATAGTGATTTAAAAGGGTTTTGGTTCATTTCGAATCAGTTCAGAACCAGAGGTGACGTAAAATCTGGGTTTTGGTTCACAAATCGAATTATTTTAGAACTATTATAGAACGGTTCAAACAGTTCTTACTTGTGAACAGAAATTATTTTAGAACTTTTAGTTCGAGCATACGTATAGTGAAGAAAGATATGAAATGACAACTGACAACCAATTATTGATGAGATTGTGTTTTATTGGTCCCTTTTTAAGTTTGTGTTTTTATTAGAATTTATAAAAACAAGTATATATTTACAACAGAAACGTATGTATTCATAATTCTATTATCCATGATGTGATGAGTAATTTGAAATTAAATAATTTTTATATTATTTATATACACTATTTTAAAAATATGCGAAACAAAAAACAAAAGATAAGTAAAAGTAACAAGAATCGAACAAAAGATATAAGTAAAACAAGAATGAGACAAAATATATAAGTAAAAGCGTTGCATAAGAATGGACAAGAATGCATATGAAATGAAATATGACGTTTACAACCTTTTATTAATCTTAAGAACAAAAAACAATGACAATTTACAGTTCTGCCAACAATATTTTTATGTAGTTCACAGAATTGACAATAACTGTTGGCTTCTTGTCCTCAATAATAAAAGGCTATAGTAAAGACAAATGCGAAAAAGAAGAAGAAAAGTGTTTTGGTTCATACTTTCTTGAATCGATTCTGAATCAGTTTTATTACTTTTGTAATTGCGCAATTTGTTCTGCGTAGTTCTAATAAAATTCTTGAACCATTTTAATTTCGGAACCAAAACAAACCTGCTAACAAAGACAGCGAGACTCTTTTGTTGACTTTAACAGAAATGACGAGTACAGAAGCGGCAACAGTAATGACAGGAGACCCGAAAAGTTACTAATTAGGACAGTTACTAAATTTGACATTAATAAGACTAGCTTTGTAATAAATTTATTACGGGTGATGGACAAATTATAGTAAATTAAAATAATCAGTAATACTTTTGTAACTAATTTTCTACAAACTTTTCTTGTCTATCATGAATCATAAGTTACTTCCGACAATTGACAACTGACTTAACTTCCCACATTGACAACTGGATCACGTTCAGATGATTTTACACGGGAGTAGACTAATTTTAGATTTCAACCCCATATCCAACATGTATTGCAACAATGCTATCTAAGACTGCGCTTACTGACAAAAAACATGAAAATCTGTCTCACTGAAAGTTTAGTTGTGTCTAAAATATTGTATGGTTTGATTATTTATTACCCGTGTTTAACAAGTGAAAATAAACGCAGGTTACAAGTTATTCAAAACACATGTTGCAGGCTCATTTACAATTTAAGAAAATATTACCATATATCATTAACATTTAATACCCTAAATTGGCTTAATATTCAACAATTGTGTGAATACAGCACTTTAACATGCATTCAAAAAATTATGATAACCTCTACCAACCTACTTAAAAGACAAATTAATTCCCCGAATGTCCCTTCATAATCGTTTTATTAGAGACAAGTATTTGCTTAATATGCCTCAATTCCACTTATCTACATATACCAGATCTTTTATATACAATAGCATAAAACTGTACAATAACTTAGACAGTAATATTAAGTGTATTCAATCTGTAAGTTCTTTCAAAAAAAATTAAAACAATCACTCTTAGTATCTTAACTATTTTAACCATTATATTTTTTTTATATAAAAATTTGTATTGTATATTATATTCTTTAATGTAACGCCCTATTTTATTCCTAATTGTAATTTATCTTGAACGTGAATTCGATCTTTGTGTTTTACATTTGTATTTTATATTTATCTATATTTTATATATATATATTTTTTTTTCTTCAACAAAACAAAAAACTGCCATTATAATCGAGCAGCTTTTAGGGTTAGGTGTAAGAGTAGCTTTAGCTAAATCTCGCTCATTGTATCATACTAACATTATCTTTCAATAAAGTCGTTTATTATTATTATTATTAATTTTCTTAAATCGTTTGCCCAGGTTAGTCGAGTAATTCTCATTGGCCCAAAGTTTCTGAACGGCAACCAAAGTAAACGCCAACGAATTTGAAATTTAAAGTTTGTTACAGATGTTTCATAATGTTCAATGTCCCACCCCTCCGGTTATTACTCGTGTCTCTTGTAGTTTTACTTTTTTACTTATAGTTTTTTAGCTATTTTTTCTTTTCATTTCAATATTAACTTATTCACCACCCTATTTATAATCAAGATTATAATGAATGATCTATAAAGTCAATAAGACAAGAAATTTTATATTATTTATTTTAAAATTCCATGTACAAACACCTTTATGACACAAAAATAATATGAAACAACTTCTGCAAAAGAACTCTACGATCTGTCAAATTCCCTTAAATGAACCCAGTCTAAACTGGGTAAAAAAAGAGTACACTCCAGACTAATTTGACTCGGCTTTCTAAACGAGAGTAGCTAGTCCAAATTTAACATTCGACTGTTCTTGAACGAACCAAGACCAACTTGATCGTACTCTTTTTGGTCAGAGCGTGCTTCTGAACGCGCTCCTGATGTAGCTTCCAGCAATGACAAGTGACATAACATGTGTCTTTTTTATCCAACTGTTGTAGCAACGTTGGCATCGGTGCGGTATCTACCTGTCTTTTTTTTAGATTAATGATGAACAGCGCTGAATTTTTATCCAACGTTGCTACAAACGATGCAACATCAATCCATCACTTTCAATGTATTTTTCCGATTAGATGTGACAAATGACAGCTGGATTGCAGGAATTAAACAGAATTAAGGAGTTAATTAATTATTTAATTGTTCTATTGAGGGAAAAACCAAAAAAATGGGCTTTTAAAAATATACTTTCAAATTAAGGTAACTTCAAATAAAATTATGAATAAAAATTTTAATCAAAAATGTCAACTATTATTTATTTCAACGGTTAACCATAAATAAACCGAATCCAACACAAAGCGTTCTAGGTCGCATTGGTGAAACAACGTATCCACCAAACCGATGGAAAAGACACACGTATAGCTTCTGACATTGACAAGTGACATAAGCGCGAAATTCAAATCATGACGGATACGTATATTACAGCTTTAAAATTCCCAACATCGGGCGCTAACGCAATTAGCGTCCCCGTTATTTGAAATACTTATTGGGCATGAATAGCTGTCAAATTAACATACATTCGTTATTTTCAACTGTATATCAATACCAAATTTAAAAAAAAAAATACTTTTCAAAAATAATAAAGTGATTTGAGCGTTCAGAGATTTTGTACTAAGCCAGAATCAGCCAAATCTGCTCCGAAGCTGACATCAAATATGCGGCGTATATGGGGGTTTAGATTCGCGATATTATGACCAAATATTAACAATAAAATAGTATTTGCATGCATCTAAATCGGATTGACCGTTATACATTCACTCTTTATAACACCAACTTACCTGAGATAGCTCCCCATATCCATACAAAGAATCGCTGTCACCATACTAGTTAGCAAAGAGAAAAGCGAGTTTTTAAAAAGTAAAAGCAAATATTTACAGTCAATTGTATAAATCTATACAAAGATTAAGATTGGAGCGTTAAGTCAAGAAGCAAGAATGTGGTACTAACACTAGATAGCGTAAAACTACTTAAAAACGGTTAAAACTTCAACTAAAAAACATACTGTGTCTAGCTTGATAATTTACAAGTGTATCTTTGAAACATTTTAGTAAAAATTATTAGGTAACTAAATTGGAGGTGTTTCTACAAAAAAAAAAATAACATTTAGAGGTGTCTATTCTGTAAAATATCCTTTAAAAATTTAACTTTTAACCGTTCGTTAATTTTTTTTAATCGAAAATGGCATTCTGTGTCCACAATTTTTAGAGGGCTGTTAAAATTTATTAATTTTAACTTAATACTTTAAACTATCAGGGGAATGCTTGACAACGTCGCATTGATTAGTGATTACGATTCATTTAAACTAATTTTGACCTAAGTTACGCATGGGAGTAGTCCATTTCAGAAAATAAAAAGAAGAGAGGCTAACAGAACAAAAAAAAATTTAACATATGACAATTGAAACGGGTCGCTTAAGTCTCTAATTCACCTTTGAAGTAATCTAAATGCTGCCCTGAAATATTAAATGTAGGTATTATCTTTACATTAAAACTGTTATGTACTTCAAACCTTTCTTCATGTTCCAGTATTTCTTCAATCAAAACGTCTTAAAAATTAATTTTTAAAGGAGTATTTTAAAGGAATCTCTTTAAATATTGAAAGTTGTGAGTTAGTGAATAGGAAAATATTTTTAAAGCCCGTTAATATTTTAACGGCCCTTAAAATATAAAGGAATTGTTACAGAATAGACCCCTTAGGCAGTCATGATACTTTTTATTAAATGTATGTATATTTATGTCTGGTTTCTTAGCAGACAAAACCAATTTTATGTTCTTCTTTGTCTAGAAGTTGTTAGATTAACTACAAGGAAATGTTGTTTTGTTTTATAAAGATTTGGCATGTGTATGATTAAAATCTCTAATATATGGATGCAAACAAGCTCAAGTAACTCGAAAATTGCTGAGAATTACCTCATACACCTGGTTATTAGCTTAATATTCTTTTCAAGCACTGTTAATTAGAACCAAACAGTGAATGGTCAATCTTATCTAGTACCATTAGTAATTATTGATGAAATTCTAAAATGTTTCGTTAATTCTGAGACACAGACAATCTTTCAGTTGCACTCACTGTGTGAATTAACTATAGGGAATAGGTATTTAAGGTAAATATAAGCTACATTTATCCAATGGTCACTTTCTGAAGGAAAATGTTACTTTTTTAACCAATAATTATTATGAGTGAATCTTATTTCCAAAAACCAAACTTCTATACTATATAAAGAGAAAATATCTGCATAATTTTAACAGTTTATTAATAAATTGAGCAAAAAATACTATTTATTTATTATGTCCTAAAATCAACAGTAAATGTAAACTTCTGCTGAGATCTCTTAAAATAAAAAACTGAGTAATATAAATTAAATGTAAAATGATACATGCATAAATTATTTTCAATTATTTCAGTTGGCACCGTGTGAGATATATCAACTTCAGAGAGATAAAAGAAAGTACTATTTTTCTTATGTCTATGTTAGGTTGCATTTACTTATATGATTGAATGTTTTTAGTATATACTGTATGTTTGCCTTGCTGTCATTATGCAATTCCGAATTTGCGTGACGTTTTAAAATGTGATTACTTGGTTAGGTGAGTGTTTAAATGAGAACGAACAGTCATATTTAAACAGCCACCATTAAGTAGATTCAAAAATTACAATGGGCCATGTTCACATGTGAGATATGCTGTTTTATAAATTATATTGTAATAGTTAGTCGCTATACAAGTTATTCTAAATAGTCAGTTCGTTAAAAAAGCTAAAAGTTTTTAAATTAAGCCCAATTGAAATTTAAAATTTGAAATTATACGTCATTGGGAATAGACCAATCATCTTGTGTCGAAGTTTTTTTGTTATACAAAACCAAGCCAACGAACAAACCAACACACAGAATGTCGAAGTGAACGCACATCTAAGTGACATTAAAATTGACACCTCTAACCTTAGTTTTTTGTTTTGGTTTAATTTTATTATTAATATGAATCAGCTGGATTTATAAAAGTTGAATCAAGTGTTTTACCCATTGTAAACGAAAATATGATTACCGAGATGATTACTGCATTTTTTAACAATACTCAGTTTACAAAAGTCACAAAGGTAAGACTTTGTTAGTCACAAAGGTAAGACTTTGTTTTAATAGTAGGTAGTTACAGTTTATATGGAGCAAGTAAAACATATTTATCTCAGGTTTTATTTTTAGATCTGCCAAGCAAGTATATGGGGATAATTTCTTTTTCCATAAGAGAGAAGGAGACAAATTACACCTAAACATAAAGTACGGCAAAAACCTTCTGATGTGGTTGCATTGTAATTAACAAAAATGAAATTTTTAGTGCACAATATGCTAAGGATATGCTGCATGTCAAGGTTTGTAATATTTATTATGCTTTTTTGTTTTTATATTACATATAATAAACAGTTTATAAGGCCCTTTATTCCTATAAATATTTTTTTTCTAATTTTGACATACAGACATTTTTTGTAATCACAGCAAGTGTTAAAATAATCTAGAAACAGATTTTGTTAGTGAACCTAGTAATAATTATGATACCAAAGAATGCTGCAGAGCACCTATGAAATTTTGAGTTAAAAAATATGCCATATTTTTAGGCTATTTTTATACCCTTTTCAAAAATTTTATGCTCCTCGTTTTTTGCAAAACTTAAAATGCTCTATAGCTTCGAACAAAGTCAGCAAAGCACCTCTATTTTATAAAGTTTTTTCTGTAAAAACAGCAACACCATATATTTATGCACTTGAAATATTATATTTTTAAAAATACATGGTGCTTGCTAACCTTCGAAAGAAGCCAGCAGAGCAATTCGGTTTTTTAAAGCTTTTTTCTAAAAACCACACCCTATTTTTAGAATATTTTTAGACTCTTGAAATATTGTAAAACTTTACTAAAAAAATTGCTATTTTTAAATAATACAGGGTGCTTTGTTGGAACAAAGTCAGCAGGACACTTCAGTTTTTTAATTTTTTTTTTATATATAAAAACAACTACTTATGACACATGTTTAGGCTGTTTTAAAATCCTAAAAATGTGGTAAGTACATTTGTTTTCAGAAAAAAACTTTGAAGTCAGCAAGGAATTGCGAATTTTTTTTAAAATGCCAAATTTCGAATATTTTATAATATTGTAGGAGCCAAAAAACGTGGTGTGGTTTAAAAAAAAACTGGGGTGCTCTGCTGGATTCGTTTGAAGCTAACAAAGCATCCCGTAATTTTTTATTTTATAATACTCAATAGCCTAAAATGAGACATAGCTGTTTAAACAAATTGTATTTTTAAAAATAGCAGTTTTTTTCGAAAAGCTCTATACTATTTCAAAAATGTGAAAATGTGGTGAGATTGTTTTTTTTTAAGTTTTGAAAATCCGAGGTTCTTTACTGGATTCGTTCAGAGCTAGTAAAGCTCTGCTCGTCTTGTTACATAAAATAAAGGCATTTTGTAGCTGGTTATATAGTTATTTTGTAACCCTTTTATTTTTTCAGTTGATTGTAAATATGTGGCTTCATAGAAGAAGTGATGAACTATTTGTAACATCTATTCAGTGTTATTGGAAAGGCTCTAATTTATCAAAATGCGTAAATATTGATGTACACTTGGCTAGATTGTTAAAGAAACCTCTTCATCCACTACAGGAAAATAAATCAGTACTTTTATATTCTTAGGATTTGTATATATATTTTTTATTTGTAAATAAATTGTTTTTTACTTCATTTTTCTCATTTTTTATTAAAAGATTAATAAATAAAATTTTCACAGATTTTTATATTTTTGTTTGTAAACAATAATTGAAGAGTTTTTATTAAAAATCACCAATGTTAATAATAATAATAATAATTTAAGTCAATATTATTCTTTCTCCTTTTTTAAAGCTACTATCAATAAAGGTATTACTTGCTTGACCTATGATCAATTTTTAAATTTTGTGATATATTTGGTTCAACAGAAAAAAAATTATAACCCTTTGACATTGGTTTTTACTTAGATTTTCATAAAAAATAAACGGAACTGCAAACATGTTTTACTATCGTAATAACGAATAGCAACATTAAATTTTTTTTTACATTTATCACTGTTGTCATTTTCATAAAGGATTGATAAGAAGGCACACTTTCTGGTTTTTTGAAAAAGGTAGCAAGAATTGTGATATTTTTAAATTTATCACCAGTGATACCACATGTAGTTACCCGATTTATTGGAATAGGTATATAGACTTTGCTACCACATTCAACTGAACTTGGTTGTTTTTAATATTTATCACTGTGACATAAGCGTTTTTGTCAAAATGTTTCATTTTAAACTGCTGTAAATAGGTGCCTTTGTTTTGGTAGTTTTAGTCCCAAAAAAATCTATGCATGCAAGTACTCATTCCTCTTTGATTTGTTCGAAAAGTTAAAATTTTATAAAAAATTACATTGGCTGTTAAAAACTCATTATAATCCCTGAAAAGTGATAATTAGGTAAATTAAATTAAAAAAACAAACAAAAAAAATTTATTAAATTAATATTTACTCTTACAAAATAGGTTCTTGTAAGTTAACAAGCAATTATGCAGATATTACTAAATAAATGTACTTGCTTAAAATTCACACACGAATGTGGTTTTAACTTGTTAAATTAACTAACCCTTCTTATAACTCTTTCCACATGTATTCTTAGAGATGCTATTCTTTTACTTAATTGTACATCTTCTGGAGAACTTTTTTCATTCTGTGATACACTAGGTGTGGCTTTACTAAAGTGCATCCCATGTTTTCAAGTAGCTAAATATTCTGAAACCCCTATCTGCCATTATATGGGATCCAGGAACCAGTTTGTTTAAATACCCACATTTTTCTATTATTTCTTTATCACTAGTTCTTCCACAAAATGATGAATAAATTCGGTATCTTCAAAACTTTCAGGAGATTCTGCATTTTCTTCCAGAAGGGTTTTTAGGTTATACACCTAAGAATTTATAGAAGCGTCATTTTCAATTTCCTGAAGGGGACAATTAGCAGAAATTGCTGCTACATCTTGATAATCCGGTGTATTTTTATTAAAAAGTTTACGAGAAACATCGCTAGTAGAAGGTTGATTTTCTTCTTTCCAAATTTCTAGGAACACTAATAAATATTTTTGAAGATGAATGTGAATCATTATCACATTCTGGAACAAAACACTTTTTCGTAGTCATAATATTTATTTATAAAAAGTACAAAATAAACACTCAAATTCCAAATAAATTATTGATGGAGACACTATGACAGATGACATACAGTGCTGCCGTTATGCCATTTTCTGAATTATTAAGTGACTTTTAAAACAATAAAACTTTAAATATAGTAAAAGTTTAAACAGAAACAATACTTTCAAAAAACATTTGATATTATATATTTAAAAGATATTTGTTTAACGATGTTTTAGAAGTCTAAAAGTAAGAAGGAGTACACAAACGAACGTACATCACTTCTCGTAAACCTTCTAGCCGGCAACGTTGTGCGCTAGCTCCTATTGGTCTATTCCCGGTGACGTCATAAATTTTAAAAAAAATCATAACTCCAGCAAATGAATAGATAAAAAAAAAATAAAAAAAATGTAGTTTTATTTTTAACTCTACTATTCATAAAAAAAATTTCAAAATTTTTGAACATGCCCCATTCCGTTTTAAAGTTATTTATTTTTTCAAAACAGCGTTGCCAAGTTGAAATAAAAGTCTGATAATTCAAACCCGTTAAATATTTTAGAACACAACTATGTAGACATTTTTTTTCTCAATTTTACCTCTAATTACCTGTTAAAATTATGATAATATTATCACAAATATGTATTTAAAAAATAGAAAGATGGTTATTGGGTTAAAAAAATAGCTGATAAAAATAATTCCAAGATGCATGGCACTATACTGACCGTTTTTTTAATGACATGCCATAAAATCGAAACGAAACGTCAATCGATTTAATATTAAACTGCACTAGCAATGTTTGCACGTCATAAAAAAACGGGTCATATACAGTATAAATTTTAGGTTAGATAAAATTTTATTCAAGTGAGGGGTTATATTAGAATAAAAATACTTTTTCAAAATATTACTAAGTTAAGATCACGATTATTTAAATATATAATACATTTTTGATTTACCTGTGAACCCACACTATAATTATGGAAGTCCTGTCCCGGCTGTGTTGCCCTCCTCAATTCGCTGTAACTAGAACTAACTGGAGATGGAGGAGGTAATAGTTCCTTCGGTGGAGGAGGCAGATTTGTATTCACACTACAAGGTGCATAATCTGGCAAACCCGCGGATATATCAAGCGGGGGTGGCGGTGGAGGTAAATCGTCTAAAACAGCAATAAAAAATAACTCAATCTGTAAAATACACCATGGAATCATCCGTAATTCGTATAATATTCATAAATTATTAAAAAACAAGTCATTAATATATTTTGAAAGATACATCGAATCTTGACCAATAATTATTTGTTTTCGCGTGCCTGTCATTTGTCACCTATATGGAGATTCATTATTGTCTATTTACATTTTGTGTTCTGGCGGGCTTTCGTATGTTTGATCTGTTTATAAGTTACATTTAATTATTAAGTTTAGTTTATTTTTCGTCATAAATATATAAGGTTTGTTCAAACAGCTAATATGATCATCAGAAGGACGTCAGACGCATGCGCATTGAAAATATATCTACAAAGCCATGGGTAATCCGATAAACTGTCAGTAATACGTTTTGACGTATTTTCTGATTCGTACATGAATGAGTCGGCGAATTGTCAAAATGATCAGAGCTTGTGCAATTTATCAGCACATGTGCATTTAAACGTCTCTCCTGGTTCGTGCTATTTGTTTGTAATTGTTGAGATTTTAAGTTAGCTTGGAGTGGCTTGGGTTTCTATTTCTTTCAATTGAAACGAATAATTTTTGTTTTTTCTTGTGTACGGTTTTTTAAAGTAAAATACGAACTTATTTTTAATAAAAATAAACATCTTAAGGTTTCAAAATTATACATTCACATAGATCGTTCGAGACAGATAAAAAAATGTATTTTGTTTTATTTTAAATAATGTTTAAAATACCTATTCACTAAACAGGTGTTTGGTTTGTCCAATTCCATTGCATTTTGCGTTCCAACAAGTACAAGTCGCTGATTAAACAACGGACAAATAAACGGACTGACATGCGCATTGATTAGTTTACGAGTGCATCCATGCACGAGTCAGAGACACATCAGAAAAGACCTGTTGTCACATGTTTAAGACTAATTTGTTAGAAATTTTCACCTATCTGGTCTGCCATTGGTAGATCCTCTATCTGATGGTCAGCCAATCAGCTCGAGTAGTGTACACAAACCACCAGAAACAAACGAACAAACAACCCACGCTTCAAAACAATGTTTCGTCAGGAAAACAGACATAATTAAAATCAGGCATACCACTTGTTTACTGCGTAAGCATATTAAATGACAACAGTCAAATAATATGGGCCTGGTAAGGAGATGACTCATATAATCTTCAAGATGAAGAACATCTACAGGCTGGCGACCGGCCGAACACCTGCCTGCATTTAACGATTGTCGGTAGATCGGAAGAAGAGAAATTACTTTTTTTGTCTAATTGAGAATGTACATGTAAATTGTAAAGGGGTAAATAGTATAGTATTTTATTAATAAACTTGATGGAACCTTAACAACACATCACTATGTCAAGATTCTAGCTTTAAGTTAATTTGACATATGACGTTAATTGCGCAAGTTCGCGTGACGAGTATAGGGACCGTGCGTGAAATATAGAGGCAGCACTACTGCCGAACTTAGCCCTCTCTAGTGTTTAATTTTAGAATTAAATGGGGTAAACATTGCAAGTAAATAATGAAGTGTATTTTTTTAAATATTAAATATAGTTAAAAATAGATACCGGCCCGTACCAAACAATCGTGTACATGGTCAAAATGACGTAAAATGTGAAACATTATTAAAATCTGGACATGCATATACATTTTAAGCAAAAAGATTTAAATGGCTAAGTGACAATAAATTGTAAAGTTGTACCTTAAACAAGTGTATCCAATGTTAAAATATAGGTATTTAGTAACACTGAATTTAAAAGTATTACAATAACATTTAAAAAATGTAAATTAATAAAAAAGATTGATAATAATAATTATAAATCTTTTTAGCTTTATGTTAATCGAAATGTCATTCATCCACTGGCGTTTATGAGATGTTCAATGATACATATATTATAGATTGCTCACCCAACTATAAAAAAATTATGAAAAGCTGGTTGCAATGTGCCTTTCCTAGTGCTCACTAAATAGAGCCGTTCTAGCCCAAATGTGTTAAAATAAAATTTCAGCATTTTAATCTTTAGAAAAAGATAATAATTAAAGTTTTACTTCAAGACATGTCATTATGTATTTGGAAAGTTGAATTTTCATGTAGTTAAATAATATTAAGAGATCTAAACAATTTTTATAACAGATGGATATAAATAATTTTAGACTACTATTTCAGAAACAATTCTACATAAAATACATAATTGCAATATGTAATACAATTTTGAAAAGGTAATGTAAACAATTTTGATATGAGGTATGAACAACTTTGGTAAGAGTTGTAATTGGACACTTATCTATTATTCTGAATAATGTTTAATGGTAATGTCACTAAAAAAATTTACAAAAAATCACTGGATTTTTAATATTTTATAGTTTGTTACAATCTCTTTTGACAGTAATTGCAATGTATTATTTATGATTTGTTTATTTTAATAATAAATGAGAAATAGTTAATAAATTGTAAAGAGGGCCGTGATATTTTTGTCAAATTGGATATTCTTATTTCATAACATTCTACATTAGTTTTAATCAACAGAATAAACCATTATCTGTAAAATTATATTTATATAAAATGGTCATTTAAATATGTAAAAATCTTAATGACAAGAAAACACTAAAGATTCTAATTTTTCTGTAAATGATTTCTTTACAGCTGAGTGCTCAAAATTGATACAAGCTAGATAAAAAGAAAACTTTGCCCAGTGAAATACGCTTTTCGTCGTCTGATTTACATATGGATAAGCAATCTTTGTAATTATGTATATCATTGGGTGTGAGGCATAATTGTGCTCTGTGGAAATTTATAAAATTTCTTTACTATCGAATGAAATCCAGGTTTCTAAAGTGATGTGTTTGTACATCCACGGATGCAACAAGTTTTTTCGATATTGATATTACGAAAATAATTCGACTTCATTTTATTAATAATTATTAAACAATAAATGCCGTATAAAACATTAATACCCCCCAAAAAGTTCACATTTTTGTCACCAGTTAGCGTTAAACTCATGACGCACGGTCCCTATAAGGCCAAAATTATAACATAAAAATATATAAAAAACACTGGATGAGTCCATTGCAACTACTGGATGATTAAAAACATGAAATAGAAATTCTCAACCAACATTTTCCAATGAGCTCGCCATCAAAAGATAAAAATCAAGAGCACCTTTTTTTATATAACGACTATTAATTTATTTATTAATCATACAAACTTGTACGTTTTTATTACATGCATAAAAAGAGAGTTCAATAACAAAATGTACATTTTCTTTTAATTTTATGATTCAATAAAATTGTATAGATAAGAAAACAAAATTTTCCAGTTTATTTACTTCTTATATCCATATTGGAAAATTGATACTAATGAGAAACTAAATATTTTGTAATATGACGAAGATAAATTAATTATTTGAGTTATTAGTTCACTATAAAAAATATTAACAGATGTCCATTCTAAATCACAGAATGCCAAAACAATTTGGTAATTAAAGCATGGTGATAAGAACAAGAAATGATCTAGTAGTTAGTACTTTGATCATATATTATAATAAACAAAAATATATAAGTGTGAGTTATTGTTAAAACAGAACATTTAATAGTATTAAAATACAATTATATTCCAGCAAATCCAATCATACATTTTTTTTTTTTTTTTTTTTTTGTAAGAAATTGTAGAAACTGAAAACTCAAGTTCTTTTGGTAGGTCGTTAATAAAAATCATTGAAATTATATAAATTACAGTAGAAAATTGTTGAAGAATATTTTATTAAATAAGAATGTATAGTTTATTTAAAATATATTGTGCAGCGGGTTGCAAAAACGTTCATTAAAATTTATATTACCAGATGAATAGGGTTTTCAGATATGCATAATCATTGTGTTTTAATTGGAACAATGTATTCGATTTAATTTAGTGAAATTGACATATTATTAAACTTTTAGTACTTTTTAAAAACTGAGGGCGCTAGCCAAGCCTCAAGTCCAAATCTTATAGCCGAATTCCGTGTCTACTATAACAGTGGCGTAGAAAAATCAGGAAATGGAAAATTTTTCCCTTATTTCATCATTCAAAGTAGAAATATTTATAATATAAAATAAGCAGATAATATCCTACCTCCATTTGCGTAAGATGGGTTCGTTGAGGGCAAATTGCTATAAATATTACCACTATCAATTGGGGAATGAATTAAATTACTGTAAATTAGTCCTTCCGGATTTCTAGATGGTGCCATCTGAAAATTTAAATTATATTTAAGTTAAAAAAATCCCTAAATAAACATTTGGTAATGAGGAAAAAAGTAGGTAAAATCTATTATATACCTGAATATTACTATAGGCCACATTTTCATTATTTGAATAACTATTTGTCGTCATATTTGTTCTTGGTAAGGAACTTTGTTTCTGAGCATATTCATTCGATTGAACACTTGAGCCATAATTTCCTAAAGCATAAATAAAATGTAAAAATAAAACAAATATATGGATATAAATTGGCTTACCTTGTCTAGATAGAGGCGAGGCGTTATTAACCAATCCAGTATTCCTGGGTAAATTGGCATATTGATTGGCAGAATCATTATTTTTGGGCAAATTAGCATAATTGTTAATGTCAATGTGATATTTGTTGGTTAAAATTTGAGGCTGTGCATTTGAATAGTGCGATTGTATATTACTAGTTGGAACATTAGAATACAGTTGATGTGCTTGCAAACGGGAAGCATAACTTGGTTCAATTGCTTGTTTTAAAGGATATGATTGAGGAATCTAAAAAATTAAATCATTTAAGATATTTATTTGAATTCAATATTAGATAATTTAATAAGATGTTAGGTTGAGAGTTAGAATGATTCAACATAAACCATCTAACCATCATTAGGTCACAATAATCTATTCATGTAGTTTTAGTGCACATAAATGTGTTGTGGGTGGATGAAAAGATAATATTCATATAACTGAAACTCACTTTTAAGTTTCTTTCTAGTACTATTAATTTTATATATTTTATTACATGGTCATAATAGTTTTTTCTTCTGTCTAAAGTGTTATACATATAATGATCATAATAATAAATGAAGATATTGAAGTTGAGGATTACTATTTAAAATATAACATCCTGGAAAACGATGATTTCATGAATACCGTTAATATGGTAAAAAATGTGTAATCAATGATAAAAATTGCCAGGTCTGAGGTTTTGATTTAAAATCTCATATTATTATCTACACATTGTACCTATATTACTTCCAACCAAACCATATTTAAAATTATCTGAGAAATTATCTCTCAATTTGATTAAAAATAACAATTATAAAAAAAGGTAAGTTTTCTCCAGCAAGATTTCTAATTGTGTAAGGAATTAAGTTATAACAATTATTAATAACATTTACAATAATTTCAAGAGATAAAATAACAATCCTTATAAGTATTATAAAATTAAACCTTGGATTAGTAATACTATTATTGTTTCCATAAAAAAAAACGTGATCAAATAACAAAATATATTGTGAAGATGTTTAGATATGAAATCCTCCAATCACAATGCACATTTATTATTCTGGCTAACTATTGTTTTACAATTTCAAAATAGTGACAAATCAGATGCACTAATTGTCTGTAGGTATATTTTGAATTATTAAGGTAAAAATAAATTAGAAATGATTAAATTTAAGTGAAGAAAAGATCAATAATGGCAATCTAGAAGATATTCTTCTATATTTACAAAGAAACCAACAATTTTAATAAATACATCTACATTAAGAAATATGTAAGTTGTTGTTACAAGTTACAATTTGTTCCTTTGACAAAGTATTGGAAATACAAATCAATTTAGTGAACAGTGTCTCAATTTTAAACGAATTTTACAATTATTATTTTATTATATTCTGCCTGCATAGCTTAGTTGTTTATTTACTTTCAATGATTCATAGATTTATTATTTTATGCATCTAATGCATGAAGTCATTGTAATAAATATTTTAACTGTGAAAAATAAATAAATAAATAAATAAAAAATGTGAATACAACAATGTGTTATCAACTATGTTCAATATAGTTGCATTCAGATTTTATTAGTCTTCTGATTTTTTTAAATGTATTTTTATAATGTATATTTAGTGCAAATAAAGTTTATTTTCTGGAGAAGAGAAAGTTTTATTTAAAAGTATTCCTTATTTATTATTTTGTTAAGGATTTTCTGCACCCTTTAAAGCAACTAAAAATCCTAATAGATTCTTCCATCTGTTCTACATAACAAAATATCACGGTCCTTATTATTTTATTCCTAGAGTTATACATTATGTTAACTTTGCCATCCTCACTCCAGTATAACGGTATAGAAACACAATACTATTTATTAGAGAGAAATAGAAGGTGGACCCCAATATCAATAATGTTGAATCCTTAAAATTACAATAAAAACTTACTTGTGGTTGAGCTTTCTTAGGTTTAGGTGGCACTGCTGGCCCAATTTTCTTTCCAGGTGTGCCCAATGAGTTAGAGTGTAACTCAGATTTATTAATCAAAGCCAATTCGGCTAGCTGCCTGTCCAAATCATTCATTTTAAAAACCCAAGGATACCTATTAAACTATCTATTTTGAATATATAAGTGCATACAGACACTGCAATAAAATAAATTAATAAGTAAGATAAACAAACTCATAAAATATTTTTTTGTTTCCATTAATTTAACCTTCAAGTTTCAGCAAACAAATGTAACCTTTTAACCAAATGTACAATGTCTAAATCAATTTTAGTTTATCAAAATTTAAACCAATTAATTTAACAATTTTCCAGATTTTCCTACAATATTATATACACCACTTGTTGATTAAATAAATGAGACTTAAAATACTTTTAAATGATTTTGTTTTTCTAAGTAGGTACTTAATTAGTCATTCTCCAAACAGCTGCTGATATAGAGCTTTTTAGTACATTCATAAAATAACTGTAGGAATAAAATCCAGTCCATTTATGTTTACGTGTAATTATTTAACAAAGGTTTAGTAATCTATTTTTCTAAAAAACCTACAATGAAATATTCACAAAAGAAAACAATGTTTATACAAGTATTGGTACAAGTGTTTTATTATTTGAACTGAAAGAAGGAATATTAATTAATTAATATCTGCAAAATGTATTTACAGAGTTGTGAAATAATTTCGATCAGATTTTATTTAAAAATATATAAATAGTTTAAACATATTTAAGTTGCAACAAATGAACACGTGAATAATTTGAGATGCATTTTAGAATGAAACAAGTAGGTAATTAGCTAAAATATCTTACCTTTCACAACCACCTTCTTTTAAGATAATACGTTTTTAAAAGAAATAAAATGAATACTGTTCTGGTTTCTGGTAGTCTAATAAAAATCACATACAAATGATAATGTTATCAATGATATCACTGCAAAACTCCACCCAAACAAAAAATGAGTCAAATCAAATCAAATAAAATTGTCAAATGTCATATATTCAAAATAGGGATGGGGATAGGCTGCTATCTGAAATTGGAACTGATACTGCGGAGTGGACCATGGAACTGATCTGAAATCTGAACTCGTATATTGTAAAACTGGTTGCCTATCCCATACCGCTCTGGGATCTTTAAAGGGTCAATTTAAAAACTTACAAGATAAGCTCTGCCTCTGGGGTACATTTTATAAAGAGTAGGCATCAGTATTGTCGTTATTATTGCAATTCTAACAAATCTATTACTTTAGATATGTTCATAGTCTGTTCCAACACGCGCGAAAACCTTAAAATTAATTTTATACAGTAATATTATGGTTTTTACATGTGTTGGAAAATACTTTTTGTTATCATATCTATCTATTTATTTCACAAGGCAAATGATGAAAATAGAATTAAAACCTCCAGAACTTCTAAACACAAAACTAAACTTCTAGCCAATACCTACAAACAGAATAAACAATTATAAATCTACAAGGTCTTAAATACAGCTTCTCAAGAATGCAAGTAGCTCTAAAAATTATAGAACAGTGGTGCAATCTTAAGAAGACCGAAAAGGTCATTTTCACAAGGAAAAGGATGGAAATGGAATTAAAACCTTCAGAACTCCTAAACACAAAACTTTAAAACAGAGGTGAATTACATATGTCTCACCTTTGACAGCAAGTTAACATCCGTAAACTAAAACAAATTCAAAGAACAGCATGTCTCAACATCAAAGGAGCCATGAAAACAACACCTACCAGAGCCAAGGAAGTAATTCTTAATCTCACTCCCCTTGATATTTTTATCAAGGAGGTTGCTCTCACGACAATGACACGTCTTCGCACGGTTGGAATAGAAAATGATGTAGGATCGGGTGAGGCGAGACGTCGCTTTTAGCAGGAGGCGCTCGATACGCTCCCACTGCTTCAAGCGAACATGGACCCCATTTCACCGAGATATATCTTCAATAAGCCATATAAAGTTATAATAGAACAAATAGAGGAACCGGAAGTGGCAGGTACGATTTATATCTACGCCGACGGTTCTAAAACAAAACAATTCTCAGGTTGTGGAATATACTCCAGATTCTTAAACCTAAACATAAAATGGGCTGTGAGCAATAGTGCCAGTGTCGTTCAAATAGAGCTAACAAGGATTCTCATAGCAGCAGAAGAAATAACCAGAAACAATATCACTGGAAGGAACATGCTCATCTATACAGATAGCAGACAAGCACTACTCACCCTGAATAGACCACAAATTTACTCAGGGTTAGTACTAGAATGTCACGAAGCTTTGGCCGAAATATCCATCAACAATGTGGTCACCTTAAGATAGCCAAGAAAGCAGCCAATCAAATACTTTTTGGATCTGGCCCTTCTATTGGCCTGACAAAATCGGTAGTGACAGACCTAATCAAAGAACATTCCCTTGTGAAATTCAAGGAAAGATGGGATGAAACAAGAAACTGCAGAGTTGCCAGGGAGCTCTTAAATTATTCTGACAACGCTGCAGCAAACAAATACTTGACTATGACTAGACAGAATCTGCGCCTAGTCACAGGCATTCTGGCTGGTCATTGCCAAGTACGAAAGCATCTCCATATCATGGGGCTGTCAGAATCCGCACTCTGCAGAGGGTGCGAACAAGAAGATGAAACCATCGAGCATATACCATACGATTGCTCGACGCTCTCATTTATTAGAAGATTGAAAGTTTTTGTTTTATTCAAATGAAAAATGATAGATGAAAATAGCAGTTTTTGGTTTAAGATGCTCTTATATATAATCACAAATGGTAGAAACTTAATTTTTGATGTTGAAAACTACCTACTACTTGATAGAAGCGTAGTAATTTTGATTCGCGGATGCTCTTTTGTGCGTTTATCATGAATTTGATTTTATTTGTAGCAATTTTATGTTTTACATAGTTTTTAAGTGTTTTATTGATTATTTATTAAAGATTACTTATGTGGTACGAAGTATATAGCGTAGTTACTAAAGTTTTATTTACCTATAATGCAGAAAAATATGTATTTTAAATCAATAAATAAATTATTTTGATATTTCAAATAGAACAAATATATAATTTTTTGTTAGTGATATTTTCTTGTGCAAATGGGAAAAAATGTTTGCGGTGGTAGGTGGTATATTTCATGACAAAAAAAATTTTTTTAATGCCGTTTTTCGAAACAACAAAATATATGGTTGTAGATCATTTCAATTTTTCATTGTATTTTTCTTGAAAAATACTGGTTTTCTATATTTTTTTGCGAAAATTTACTATAAAAACTAGTTATTTTTGGGTGTTGACAATTTTTTTGCAAAACTCGCACCTGAAGTCAGCGAAAATTTCGCTCATGTTCCAAAAATAATGAAAAATTAAGGTTAGAAAAAAATGGTTATATTTTGAAATAATCCACACTTTTTTGTAAAGAATTAGTCTACCACATTTAAAATGGTTCTATTTCTTTCTAACTCGCTTACTTTTTGTGACACTAAAGTGTTATGGACCCCACCCAAAAGAACAATTTTTCAATTTATTAGATGAACAATTTTTTCATTTTAGTAATTTTTCCAATTACGGCTCTGTGCACTTTCTCATTTATTGTGAACGGCGAAAATCAACCGTTGGCGTTTGACAACGTTGTTGAAATTAGTCGGAGTTTGCCGAATGATCCGAATGTCAAGAACGATCGTTTATAAATCTAACCAATGAGGAAGCCAAATTTAACTTCAAAGTTACGGTAAAGGATTTTTTTGTTCCAAACAAAGTAAAAATATAATACAATGTGGTTAAAGGTATCGAAAGTATTGATATTTTGTTACAATAAAAAAAGTGGAATCTGATGACACAATTTCGGTCACATTTATCAAATAATATTCTATTTTTCTGTTGTGTTTCTATCGATGTTGTAACCAAAAAGTCGCTTCGCCAAAATGGACGAAGTTAGACCTATCATTCACAATCAAGGGTCTGTTTGTAGTGATTCCAACGGAGATGATACATCTCGAAATGATGGTGAGTACAAAAAATAGATTTAATTAGTTTTTAGATACCCACGTTTGTAAGTAGTGTAAAGAATTTAGAAATTCTTTAGGTTATGTTGACTCTCTCAAGGTTATTATGATGAGAAAATTCACATGACGATCTTTCCAGTTTTCCTTCTTTATAATGTTTTTATTTCATTTATTAGTGCCTCCGAACTTGGATTTAAGAATATGCTTGGTAGGCAGCTTAGCTAATGATTCAGAAACGCAAGCAGTGGCTCAAACATTTGGTGTTCCTATTGTAAGCTCAAAAGATGGACAAGACTTTGCTCAAGATGACAGTTGCAGTACTGTGTTCGTTCTAGAGGAGTTTGAAGGAGATGTATTCAATAGATTATATAGGTCTAAACTTCAATTGTTGGGACCAGTGGCTCTTAAGCAATTGGCCCTTAAAAAGGAGAAACTACCTTGTAATACTAGGCCTTTGCATAACCTGGCTATGACTGGTATTATAGTATGTTTCACAGGATTTAGAGAAAAGGAAGAACTAGTAAGTACTTACCTAATAAATTGATATTATTTTCATACCTGCAAAAATACTTTTTAGTCATAATGTTTGTTTATTTGAAGAGTAAAGTGAATATGTAATAACAAATAACCCTGTTTTTATATGAATAAGGGTAATTTCCTGACCGTAGTAGAATTTTATATAAATAAAAAGTTGTTTGGTTTACTCGGACATATAGTTTTTATTTTTTATGCACAAGCACTACATGTTTCAGAACATTTATCCATCTTCTGGTGCAGTCAATATTTATAATAAAACATGGGTGATGATTACAAACAGTTTAAAATTGTTAAAAATAACAGAAACCCCATCTTTCCTTTTAGTGTTTTTATATGTATATCATAACCTTATACATTTTTAAATTGTAAAGAAATCAGCTTTTGTTGTATATTTTAAAGATACTTTGTTAAGACTTTAGTAATTTTTTATGGTAATATATCCATAGTTTATTTTCTATTTTCATCAACATTCTTAAAGTGTCTAAATTAAATCTTTAAATACATAATTACATGTTTGTTTTAGGCAAAATTGGTAACTTTAATACACCACATGGGAGGATCAATAAGAAAAGACATGTCTGCCAAAGTAACTCACTTAATTGCTAATTCAGCTGGTGGTGATAAATACCAGTATGCAGCTACATTTCGTGTTCCTGTAATGGATCCTAAATGGGTTATTGAAAGTTGGAAACGTCGTATGGATATGTATTTTACTGTCACCATAGAAGATTTTCTGGTAAGTAACATTGATGAAATATATGAACCTAATTAAACTACGTATTACTAAGTTAATAAACCTGAAAACACATTTTTTTTTTTGTGAGATATTGCATTAATTATAGTAGTTGAATGACTTGACATGTTCTTCATCAGTTGATTATCTGTTGTTACCTTCTATTGTGATGAAATTAGTGTCAAATGAAAGTTAAAAGTCTCGTCTAATAATAACTAGAGTTGAATTTGTTGGTAAAGTTACAAATAATGGCTGAATTGGCCTTTTTATTGCTGTCGAGATAACCTCTTCCACAAGATGATATAGCTTAAAAGTGGCTTTTTTGGCTAAAATAATGAAAATGGATATAAAAAATTTAACAATAAAATTGATTATTGTTTACTACATATTTTTCATTAATACATTGAATGATAGTTAAAGTTATAAACAAAAGTCAGTATTTTATTATTTTTGTTCCTACTCATAATAACAGGGCAACACAAATATTTTTTATTCCCTTTTTTATAGACTTAATAGTACATTTAACATTTGTATTGCTCCGATACTTATAAATCCTCTGGATAATGTTATAATATTTCATTCTTTTTTAATTAGATTTAAGCACAATATTCAAAATGGACCAATGTAATTTTTAACAATTTATTGTAATTTCAATGGGCTTGCCCATTAATAAATAAATAAGAAAAACTGTAAAAAATATAACAAACAGATGTAACTTTTCATACCCAAGTCCAGTCCCGAATTTACATTTTTAATTCTGTATATTTCTTATTATTGAGTTTTTTGAAAAAAGTTATTTGAAAAGATGTATATTTTAATGACATCTCTAAACAGTAAAAAAGTATTAAATTAGGATTCACCCTGTATATATTCCGGCGCAGTCTATAAATGTTAAAACATTTTATGTGAGTAATAAATAAGAAAAAAATGTATTTCACAAGCCCTTTTTTATAGACTTGGTAGTACTTAACATTTGTATTGCTCCAATGCTTACAAACTCTCTGGATAATGTTATAATAATTGATTCTTTTGTAATTAGATATAAGCACAACATTCAAAATGCACCAATGTAATTTTTAACAATTTATTGTAACTTAAATGGGCTTGTCCGTAAATAAATAAGAAAAACTGTGAAAAAGATAAAAACAAACCGATATAACTTTTCATACCCAAGTCCAGGCCCGGATTTGGATTTTTAATTCTGGATATTTCTTATTTTTGAATTTTTTGAAAAATAGTTATTTGAAAAGATGTTTATTTTAATGACATCCCTAAACAATTAAAAAGTATTAACTCAGGATTCACCCTGTATATAGGTCCGGCGCAGTCTATAAATGTTAAAACATTTTATGAGAGTAATAAATAGGAAAAAATGTATTTCACAAGCCCTTGTGAACTATTCTTTCCACACAAATATTTTTTATTCCTTTTTTATAGACTTGGTAGTACTTAACATTTGTATTGCTCCAATACTTACAAACTCTCTGGATAATGTTATAATAATTGATTCTTTTGTAATTAGATATAAGCACAACATTCAAAATGCAACAAAGTAATTTTTAACAATTTATTGTAACTTAAATGGGCTTGCACATTAATAAATAAATAAGAAAAACTGTAAAAAAGATAAAAACAAATAGATGTAATTTTCATATTCAAGTCCAGGCCCGGATTTAGATTTTTAATTCTGTATATTTCTTATTTTTGAATTTTTTGACAAAAGTTATTTGAAAAAGATGTTTATTTTAACGACATTTCTAAACAGTTAAAAGTATCAACTTAGGATTCACCCTGCATATATGTCCGACGCAATCTATAAGTGGTAAAACATTTTATAAGAGTAATAAATAAGAAAAAAAATGTTTTTCACAAGCCCTTGGTGAACTATTCTTTCCACACAAATATTTTTTATTCCTTTTTTATAGACTTGATAGTACCTACTTTTAACATTTCAATTGTTCCGATACTTAAAAACCATCTGGATGTTATAATATTTGATTCTTTTGTAATTAGATTTAAGCAAAAAAACATTCAAAATACACCATTGTAATTTTTTACAATTTATTGTAACTTAAATGGGCTTGCCCGTAAATAAATAAATAAGAAAAACTGTGAAAAAGATAAAAACAAACCGATATAATTTTTCATACCCAAGTCCAGGCCCGGATTTAGATTATTAATTCTGTATATTTCTTATTATTGAGTTTTTTGAAAAAAGTTATTTGAAAAAGATGTTTATTTTAACATCTCTAAACAGTTAAAAAGTATCAACTTAGGATTCACCCTGTATATATGTCCGGCACATTCTATAAATGTTAAAACATTTTATGAGAGTAATAAATAAGAATAAAAAATGTATTTCATGAGTCCTTTGTGAACTATTCCACATATTTTTTTATAGTAATTTTAACATTTGTATTGCTCCGATACTTACAAACTTTCTGGATAATGTTATATTTGATTCTTTTGTAATTAGATTTAAGCATAACATTCAAAATGCACCAGTGTAATTTTTAACAATTGATTGTAACTTAAATGGGTTTGCCCATTAATAAATAAATAAGAAAAACTGTAAAAAAGATAAAAACAAACAGATGTAACTTTTCATACCCAACTCCAGTCCCGGATTTAGATTTTTAATTCTGTATATTTCTTGTATTTGAGTTTTTTAAAAAAGGTTATTTGAAAAGATGTTTATTTTAATGACATCTCTAAACAGTTAAAAAGTATTAACTTGGGATTTACCCTGTATATATGTCCGGCGCAGTCTATAAATGTTAAAACATTTTATGAGAGTAATAAATAAGAAAAAAAATGTATTTCATGAGTCCTTGGTGAACTATTCCACATATTTTTTATTCCTTTTTTATAGACTGGATAGTACTTTTGTAACATTTGTATTGCTCCGATACTTACAAACCCTCTGGATAATGTTATATTTGATTCTATGGTAATTAGATTTAAGCACAACATTTAAAATGCCCCAATGTAATTTTTAACAATTTATTGTAACTTAAATGGGCTTGCCCGTTAATAAATAAATAAATAAATAAATAAATAAATAAGAAAAACTGTAAAAAAGATAAAAACAAACAGATGTAACTTTTCATACCCAACTCCAGGCCCGGATTTAGATTTTTAATTCTGTATATTTATTATTTTTGAGTTTTTTGAAAAAAGTTATTTGAAAAAGATGTTTATTTTAACATCTCTAAACAGTTAAAAAGTATCAACTTAGGATTTACCCTGTATATATGTCCGGCGCAGTCTATAAATGTTAAAACATTTTAAGATAATAAAAAAATATTTCATAAGCCCTTGGTGAACTATTCTTTCCACAATTAAAGAGCCTTAGGTGGAAAATTGTGCCAAATTCCAAATTTCAAATTCCAATAAAAAAACAAATGTTGAAATTAATTAACAAACCGTTTGGTATCAAATTATTATGTACTCAAAGCAGAGTTTAGTGTAAAATTTTCTTTTAAAATGTGATAGAGAAGAAAATTGTATTGGTTTCCCAAATGGGTAGGGTATTTAAAAATGTGGGTTTTCTACACAACTATGTTTATCCAAGCGAAGTTTTTTGTCCCTAATTGATTTCTCTAAAGTTTATTTTTCTAAAAAATTTGTTAAATTATGTATTTCTACTATTGTTTAATGGGAAAATTTATTATTTAAATATCTACTCATAAACAACAGTTAATTATATTTATTAATTTAATTGCAGGTTAAACACAAGTTGAAACCTTTTCATGGCGCTCGGGTGAGTTTTGTTGGATTTCCTGAAGAAGAAGAGAAACACATGACTGAAGTGTTGGTTTTGAATGGAGGCACGGTGACAAGTTGTGACGACACTAATTGCACACATGTGGTAAGTTTATTTTTCTAAAACGCTTCTAGTTCCATTTACTTAATGCTAATATTTCTTGGGGTGGCCTTATAAGCTTTTCATTTTTGAATCATAACAAGGTGGCTACTTTCTGAAAAAACGGGAAAAGCAAGAAAATAGTAGTTAGAGAAATTTTAGATGATCATCTATAAATTTGTTGAGAATATTGTGTTTCATCTCATTGTCATTCTAAAAAAAAGTAGGGTGATGTTTTGAGCTATTTGTTTACATAACTAATATATGATCCATTCTAACTAATTTATTTTGTCCCTATCATCTGCATGCTATTTAAAAAAAGATAGAAAAAATTACTAACATCCCAAAAAATGTTTATTCTATTTAAATTTAAAATAAATAATTTATTTGTTCGTATATATATATACAAAACACCAGTAAGGAATAAAATCATAAAACATGTTTATATTAATTACATGATTTTCAAATAATTGCATAAAAACGGGTTATTACAATAAATATTAGAAATATCAAATATTAAACTTACTATTAATTTATCTCTCACAATAAATAGGATTATTATGTAAAAATATTATTTTTTGGTCCATAACATTAATTTTATTGTATTGGTATAGGTTAATAAAATCGAAATGTGGAAAGTACAGAAAAAGTTGAATTAGAGGAAAAGTGGCCACCTTGTATTTAATAGTGAAATATATTTAATTAAATTGAATATAATTATTTCAGTAAAATAAAATAATGTGTGGTCTAAATTTTTTAAACATTTGGTATTACTAAACCTTTAAAATATCATCAAACAGAAGCTTAACAAAGTCAGATTTTTTATAGTAATTTCTTATTTTTTTACAATGCCCCACATTTTCTACAACTAACTAGGTTTTTAAATTAGAGTGTTGAAATTCACCTCAAAAACGATTTAATATATTTTTTTTATTATAAATGGTGAATAAATTATTTTTTTCTAAAGTAGGCCTTGGAATGCCTTTTTAAATGTCAGTTTGGGAATAATTTAGAGATGTGCGCAGTTATCTTGATATCTCATTCTTTGTCAGTCATGGCCTACTTTAGAAACCTTTTTTGTTAGACATTCCAAACAAAATGGTTGCGCGTAGGAAATGACAGGCCACTGACATGCACATGATAGGTTATGATATGGCAACACTGTGGGACTGGTGATTTGACAGGTTCAATGATATAGATAGTTATATAGATTGATCATCTATGTTTTTCAAAATAAACACAAGCTTATGCCTTGAAGTAAAAATGTAGGTAATTATTTTTTTAATATATTCAAAGGCTGGAAATTGGTTTTAAAACATTTTTGCTAAACGGATTTGTATTAATGAACAATTGCCAGGCAATATGGCCGCTCGCAAAATACCCGCTTTGAGCAATCTATATAACTATACATGTATCATTGACCCTGTCAATGACAACAGGCCCACAGGGTTGCCATATCGAAACTGTCAGTTCCCACTGGTAGCATTTTGACAGGTCGTTGGAATGCCTATCAGAAAGTGTTTAAAAAATATGATTTCTTTTTCTTTAAAATAATTTATTTTTATTTTATTTATATTCTACACAAAAATGAAAAATATTCAGCATAAAAATACAAATACAAATCTCTTGTCTTTTTTTTGTATCAAGATACACTGGCAAATTTAAAGAAACGAATATAATTTTCTTTTTGACTTTTATTAAAGATTTCAACGAAACTTGTCAAAAACGTTAAACTAATTAATTACAGTTTGTTTTTCATTTAAGAATTGTGGCTCTTTTAAGTCTAAAAATAATTAAAAAAATTATACAGATATTATTTACCAATAACATGTGTGTATCCTTTACAAGCTCTTAAACTGTCTCTTCATAGTTCTGATGCCTTTGTTTATTATTTGTTGTGGAAATCTTTCCTATTTCATATTCTGATCTATTGGAGGTCCATGTAATATAGTGTGAGAGCCAGCGACCGCCAGACCTACGTTATAGTATGAAAGTTAAGATTTTTTATATTTGTCCATATTATAATAGATAATAACGTTTTGATACTGTGTTTATGAATCTTGACTTTGAAGATAAAGGGTCCTCATGGTACCAAAAAATGTATCAGCAAATACGTTATAGCATGAAAGCTGATTTTTTAATATGTTTAACTAGGTGACATTATAATCTCCAATCAACAATTGCCTCACACTTTTCGCGGGGGTTACGTTCAAAGTGTCTATAGATGTCTGCACAATCTTTTTTATTGTTAATTTCTCAGAAAATTTTATTTGGTATAAAAGTTAGTTCCAAAAATTTCATACATACTAAAAAATTTGATCCTTATACAGGGAAAGTAAAAAAAAAATATGAATTTATCTCGAGAGTAAAAAACCTTTATTTTTAAAAGCAGAGAAAAATGTTACATGAAAAACTTATTTAAAATCATTATTTATTAACAAATATGAAAAATCACAACCACCATCCAGAAAACAATGGTTGAATAAATTGAAATAAAAATCTTTACTCTTGAGCCAAATTCATATTTTTTAACCTCCCATTTAATATGTATATTTTATATGAGGTTTGTACTGTATTTTAGGTCATGTACTAACTTCTATCAATAATAAAACTTCATGAAAAATGAAAAATCAAAAAGTAAAATGAAAACGTTTTTCGACACACTACTAAAAAATATTTTATATTCAAAAATGTTCATTTCTTATTGACTTCACTTATACATTCAATACTCACACTAGAACTATTGTGCACGATTAATGCTGTTTCGCTCGTAGTCATGCCTGTCCTTTTACTGTTAGACCCGTCGGATGTGTCAGACTGTTTGAATATTATTGTTAAATTGTCTGATGAGAACAATATAGTGGCAAAACATAAAAATCAAGAATTTTGAGTTAAGCCCACTCATCGTCATCTAAGTATGCCCTCTTTTATATGCGAGGGGCTTAAAATTATTTCATTTGCTTATCTCTAGAGCTTGTATTTAGGGTAGGTATGAAATGGACTAGTACTTGATGTTTTGATTTGTCTTTGGGATAGTGTCGAACATTTATGTCATTAGTGGCAAATTTGTAACTACACCGTGATCGTACGTTTAAAATTTGATGCTATAATGACGTAAATAAAAAAAAAATACTTATATTCTTTTATTTATTCAAAAAACACTTATACTAGTTACTTTAAATAACTAAAAGCAGATTATGAAAAAAAGAAACAACAATTATTACCTATTTGTTAGTTATATTGTTCAGAAATATTAGCAAAACTTTAATTGCGATTTTCTCAAAATGTTTACAGTTTCGTCCTTAATGTTTTTTACCAGGCGAAATAACCGTCCAAATAACATAAAAAAATTAATCTTTTATACTATGACGTAAGGTCATAAAATGTTTACAAAATATTTTTATGAAATAGCAAACAGAGAACAATCGTTTGTTATATCCTCTCTTTTTTAATATTGAAATGCAAATTGCAAGCTGTGCATCTAGTTCTGTAAATACGCACTAAAGAACAGTCAAACATGAAATTTGTTCCGTACATACAGTGTGTCTACTTGAGTTGGAACCATAAGAAAAACTGTTTTATTACTGGTTTTGTGAAAAAAATTATTCTTGATAAAAAGTTCTGCATGGTCCAAAACTTAAAATGCAACCATCAGATATCATTTTTTAAAGCTGTATACGAGGTTTGTCAAAAAATATGAATTTTACATATATACAAAGTAATACACAATTCACTTCATAATATAAGAATAAGGATAGTAAGATTTTTAAATAAGTTCATCAATAATAAACGTTTGGTACCTGAAATGTCGTTTAAACTACATAATAAAACATGTCCTAGGTTTAGTACATATTTCTAGATGTTCTTGTAGCAACCAATAGGTGAATATTTCCAACAAATTAAGTCATACACGTGATAAATATATTTAACACGAAAGCATGAAAACTAAACTTAAATTAACACTAAATGAAACTCAAAAACACTATTATATTGAGAATATTATCTAAAAACAGTTAAAAAATCACAAATACAAAATCCCGCCCAAAACAAACACGTATGCTGCGTTTGAAAAGTACCTCGTTTTGCTTTTTTTACTCGATACCGCCCCTTTCGCTCCGTTTCCTCCATTGATATGGTTTGCTCGATGTCACGTGACCAAAAAATCTACTCGCTCTGCTCGATGAGGTACTTTTCAAACGCAGCAATGTAAATAAACAAACATCCTACTTATAGGTGACAAATGACAGGCGTGCGAAAATTAATTTGAATCGCGAATACCATATGTTCGACTTTTTATGAAGAATAACTTTTTTTCTAATATTAATAATAAAAAAGTTTCTCATATACCAACAACTGTCTATGTAAGTTGGCGGCATATGAAAAACTTTTTCATTATTAATATTAGAAAAAAGGTATTCTCGCTAAAAAGTCGAGCATGGTCCAAAACCTAATATACAATCATCGAATATCAAATTTTATCAGTCAAAAATAAAGATACTTTACTCTTCAGCAAAAATCAAATTTTTTGACAAACCTCGTATACGGCTTAAAAAATTAATATCTCATGGTTGCATTTTAAGTTTTGGACCATGCAGAACTTTTTATCAAGAATAATTTTTTTCACAAAACCAATAATAAAAAAGTTTTCCATATGATTCCAACTTAAGTAGACATGTCAGATTTTTCAAATATGATTGTAAATAGTAACAGATGATTTAACAGTTAACAACTCTATGTGTGTCACTAAATATACGACGTTCCACCCATAACAACCTGCACCAAATCCAACAAGAGCAATTTAGGAATAAAATAGTTTAATTATGCATTTTGTTCTTATTGTACAATTTTTTCCTACCGTCAATCAAAGTAACGCAAATACGACTAATTTTTGAGTTTTTAAGCAAGTCTGGTCGCCCAACTTGATGAGTTCTCCATGGCTTTTTTGGCCTATGCGACTAGAACATAAACTTAGAGTAATTTTATAACTAATTTGCTGATTAATACTT